AATCGAGCTGGTTCACACTGTCTGACAGAGTAGAGATTGTCTGCCGCAATTCCCTCTCACGCGCCTCAGCACGCTGGCTAATGTCATCATATCGTGCTTGAGCTTTCAGGAGCTCAGGCGTGAGGCCTTCAATATCACGATCAGCCTTCTCAATGGCCTCTCGTTGCTGGGCGTTGAGATTCTTGTACTCTTCCAGCCGGGCAAGGAGATCGGTTTTCTTCTCCAGCTGGAACTTGGTATTATCCAGGCTGCTCTTCGCATCTCTGAGCTGCAGCTCCAGTGTAGTGATTTCAGTACGTGCCTGCTCTTTGTCATGGGTGAGCTTCGTGAGGGTCTTCTTCAGAGCTCTGGATTTCTCGCCAGTCGAAGCAATCTCGTCCTGGATATCTTCGAGAGTGCGGGTAGCGCTAGTATCTTGCTGCTTCGAGGACAGCTCCTGGATCTGAGACTTGATTGACTTGATATCACCATCGTATCTCACAATCGTGTTCACCGTCTTCGAGAGAGACTCGACATCTCTCTTCTTCTCGGCCTTTTCATCAACCACCTTGTCACGGTTCTCTAGTTCTGACAGAAGCTCGTCCCGGCGCGAATCGTGTTGCTGCTCCTCCTTCTCCAGTTCAGGAATGTCCGTTTCCCGCAAGCGAATCCATGAATCATAGGCAGTACTGGCTTCACGCGCAGTATTGAGGTCCTCTTCGAGTCGTCGAACATCCTCGTCCTCGGCTTGCATCTGCGTCTTCTTGACCAGTTGTTCCAGTTTGGCTTTGAAACTCTGGAACTCGCTGTCGTTCCTGAAAGGTCTGGTACATAGTCGACACACCTTGGCTTTATTGGCCGTTTCGAGACAAGTGGTGATGTACTCGCCAACACCGGCATATTGTTCCGCATCTTTTCTAGCAATGTCAAGCTGGACCTGTCGTTGCTTGACAATCTCCGGGTACTCTTCAGGCTCGTCATCAACAGCTTCGCGAATCTCCTTAATGCAGTCCTGGAGTTCTTTCTGTCGCTGGCTTAGTGTCTTCTTCACATTTTTCAGCTTAAATTCCACTTGCTCCAGTTCTCTACTGACGCCATTTCGATCGTCCTCTGCATTAGCTACAAGTCTAGACTCTTCATCCATGACCCGTTGGAACTCCTGTTCTAATGTCTCTGGTTGCCAATCAGAGTTGACGAGTTTTGTAAGGCGTTCGCCGTGAGCACCCTTCATGGTCGCGAGGCTGCGCTCTCGGTCTTTCAATTCCTTCTTCAGATGGTCGAGACGAGCCAGATCACCAGCCATTTTAGTAGCCTCGATGAGTTCCGAATTCAATCGCGAACCCTCATCTTCCAGATTTCGAATCGCTGTGTTGGTTTCCTGGATCTCCTTATCCCAAGAAGCCGCATGCGCTCGTTCCTTGGAGGAATTCAAACGGGAATTAATGTCCTCGATATTCGACTCTATCGCAGCTTGAACACCTTCGTCGACATCAATTTCGTTAAGCTTTCCTTGGTATGAGGTGGCCTCCTTGTCATTCGAGGCGATTTGCCGTCTAGCAGCGTTCTTGCTTTCCTGCAACACAGACTTTCGCTGGCCGATTTCGTTCAAAGTGACCTGCACTTCACGAAGTTCGGTTTGTGCTTCACATTTCGCACGGTCTAAAGTCTGATTCTGGTCCTTCAGCGACTTTCTGATTTTCCGCATGAACTCGTCAATGTCAGCCTGTTCCAGATCATCATCATAGCCGCGGATGTTATGGGTTCGTGCGATTTCCCTGATCAACTTCTTGCGTCTTTCAAGCTGTCGCTCGTAATTGGCCTTGTCGTTCTCAAATTTGCCGCACTCTGCTTGCTTGAGACCAAGCCTATGCCGAGCCTGCTCGATTTGCTCCTTGATTTCCATGTAGTTTTCCTTCTGAGCCTCCTCATTCTGCTGGTATTGAAGCTGTTTGGTTTCGAACTGTTCCAAATTCGACTCCAGCCACTCGTCCGAGTCATCGAGCTCAACAAGGTGTCTCTTTAGGTTATCAATCGTCGCCTGTATACTGTTTGCTTCGATACGTCTCCCTTCCAGAGCACCCAGGATCTGGGAATAGCTTTCAGACTCTTTCCATGCTTTGTCGGCGAGATCAGCAACCCGTCGCATCTCTTCGGAAAGCTGGTGGGCCTCTGTCCGTAATCCCTCGATTTCTTCTTGCAGCTTGACAGATCTCTTTTCCGCACGATCTGCCTTCTCCTTGTCCTCTTTGGCATGCTGTTCCATAATCTTGTACTTGGCGAGTTCCTCGTTCTGCTTCTTTCTCAGAACCTTGATATTATCAATAGCTTTGGTGTACTTCATCGCCTCGAAAATCTCGTCGAATCTCTTCTTCAGCACGGATGGTTCGCTCATAGGCCACAGACTCTCGTCCTGGTGGCAGAAGATGACCGAGTCCAAGACGGCCTTAGACACGCCTAGGTATTGGGGCATGATCTGATCCAATTCCGCGACCCGCGAGGAGATAGCCGTTCTCTCCCCATCCTTGACCATCAATAGTTGTCCTTCCAGTGTCTTTTGTTGTCTTGCCGTTTTCTTGACCGTAAGTTGTAGGCTTCGGGTGGCTACCATCTTCGCGCCGGATGTGCCTTTGAACGATAGCTTTACTTGAGCCAGAACCTCTTTCTCCCCGCAGAGCTATTATCCCATCTCAGTAAATGCTATGACAACCGAACAGATTTGGTAGACGCACCTTCGGGTCGTGAATAAAGGCTCCACCCTTGCTGTTGGGCGGAAGATCGCCGGTTGTCGCATACTTGAGACACTCGATGATGGTCTGAACCTTTCATCAGCCAAAAGATTCCTGCATATACAACCATATAGTCCTACCGTCTTCCCTGAGCCATTGTATCCGACGATCAATGTAAGAGGTGTATGGAACTGGATCGTTTCGCTGCGGGTGTTGTCGAATGAACGGACACTGCAGTATTCCCTCCATCAGTAACCCATCACTGTATCTGTATGTGTGACAAAAGGAGCATACCCCAGAATCGAGAGCTTGTCTATCTTCGCTGTAGCACCTGTCAGATAAAGATACTTTCCATCGTGGAGATCCGCATCACTTACACCTAGATTAAAGATAGCTACCGGTCAGCAAAAGAGCAACCAAACCAGAAGAAAATCATCAGCGCAACTCACATGGTGATAAACGACGCACTGGTTCTCTGTTCCTCACTTAAATCCAGTGCGTGCTATCCAGACGAAGAAGTTATCTCTTTTGTTCTTCTCTACTACGGCGTCTACGCGTCGGACGCGGGGCAGCAAAGCGCGAGGTCACGTGTGCGACTGGAGGAGAAGATGGATCACTTTTGCTGACAGGCGAATGATTAACCAGGGGAATTCCAATCCACAGCTCAGGTGGCAAATTGCCTGCAGGCGAAACGAGGATGTGTCTCCGTACAGAGAGGAGCTGTCTTGAGGCCCTCCGGCCCAAATCTGTCGACTACGAAGCGCTGATGCCTTTATTTTCAGAGTGAGACCACTCATACTACGTCAAATGTGTGCTTCCGAGTCGCGCTTTTCGACATCATTTTTTGCAATTTTCCTTTTATTTGCTGCGCACGATCGGCTGTCGCATGTGTGGTCTTGAAATGCGACTGTCGAGTTCTGAGTGACGGCCAGAAGTTACAGTTACTAGAACATGGATTCTGCTCCTAAAAGACATGGCCAAACATATGGCTTGCAAATCGACGGAGTCAATTCCTACGCAGTGCAAGCCCAGAGCATGCGACAAACACAGTCCGGCGATTTCGGGGCGCAAACCGTGCAACACCCCGGTGCCAAAAGCTGGCCACAATGCGCAATAGCTGGAATGAAGGATATGTATCTGCTCTTAAGCGCAGATGGCAGAATAGCATACGCCTCGCCGTCATGTCAGTCAATTACGGGATACACGACGCAGCAATTGGAGGGAAAGCCACTGTCCCACTTCACACATAAAGATGATCGCGCGATCTTCTCCGAGGAACTAGGCCAATGTGTTACAACGGGATGTGCTCTACGTCTGCATTTTCGGTTCAACCGCGTGGGTGATTCGTATTGCATTCTGGAAGCATCCGGACATCCACATATATCGAACCAGGACGGGAACAACGCAGACGGAGATGGGAAACCCTACGACGGAGTTTTCCTCGTATGCCGGCCATATCCCACCAAAAGCGCCCAGCTCCTCGACTCCTTCCTCGAACACAAAATCGAGAATATCCGATTGATGCAACAGGTCGCGCGACTCAAGGAGGAAGAGGAGGAGGAATCAAAAGCGGCCAAAGCACCATATGCAAGATCGGACCATTCAAGCAGCAGCAACAATACACTCTTCAACCAACCTCGACGTTTTATCTCATCAAACCCGGCTGGTTTCACCGGTACCATTGCCCCCGATTTCACCACATCGACAGAGGAATACGAATCATCAGACACCCTCACCAACCTCGACGAGCCAGAATCCAAGCCTTTTTCTACTGAAGATTTATCTCATATCGAAGGAATCGAAGTCCTGACAGGCCTGCACTACGGAGAAGGAGAGAGATCACAGGGCATCAGTACTGGTATCCGCCGTGGTCGCCTCGTCCAATGCGACACCGATTTCGCTACGATGGACCATCAAGTCCGCAGTATGGAAGAGAGCGATAGGAGGAAACGACTGAAAGGAGAATATCGATGTAGCGACTGTGGGACTTCGGACTCGCCCGAATGGCGGAAGGGTCCTAAGGGACCTAAGACTTTGTGCAATGCTTGTGGATGTAGGTCATCTCCCGATGGAAATTCTGAGTCTATATACTAACGTATCCTCCAGTACGATGGGCCAAAAAGAAGCGCCAGACACCAACCTAGGTTTCTGTTTTGGATGTACTGCTCGCCGCTCTTTCTTGACTTCAGTTTATGTATAGCGAAGATACCCCCGTGTTTTGCTGCTTCTTGGGTTGTATAAGATTTAGCATTCGTCCTATAATCATGCTCTTTGCTGAATAATGAACAAGATAATAGGAGATATTGATTACTATTGAGCCTCGTAAACCGATTGTACAAAAATTTCAGAGGTATAACGCGGAAAAACAAAACGCAACAAAACGCAACACAACATGAAAGCGGGTATTTTGTAGGACATGCAAACTGCATTCTGAAACGGCAAAACAAACATAGATCATCGAGTCACTAGCGATACAGTATCCCAGTGACCATCAACATCATCACAATCCAAGACCTCTCATTTGGTTACCGCCTTAGGAGGAGGTGGGAAGAAATGTGGCCCTGATGTTAGGGTTTCCGCTGATTCCTGGTGCGTCGAAACACGAGAACCAGGCTCGTTCCGGAATGGCAGATCAGAAGGTCCGTTGGTCATCGGGTTGAAAACAAAGCTGTGCGGTGTCATGGACGGTAACCCGCCGGTGTTGGGCCCTGGTGTCATGGGGATCATGACGGGAGACTTGAGGATCTCCTCTTCGTACTCCTTCATGGTTCTCTTTTCCTCTTGACGTTCGCGGCGCTTGTCGATTTCTTCTTTTGTGGGGACGCAGCTATGAAGGCTTAGGACGAGCTCGACGAAGTAGAGAATACTGTCATGGATTAGCATCGGATAGTGCGACAGGCGAAAAAGCCACCTACATGACGATAATGGTCATCGCAAACATTGCCTTTGCCTGTTTGCAGTATTCGATATTGTTCGGGTGCGCGGCGACACTGCAGCTCTTTGCGATATGCCATGGTGCGCCTTTTTGTGGGTGTTTCGGGTCGGACATGTCACTGCCTGCTTGGAACGAGGCTGAGGCGATATAGACGGCGAATAAACCCGCATGGACGAAAGCCGAGACAGGAGGGTAGAAGAGGCGGAGGAAATGCAAGGGAACTTTGGTGATCAAGAAGAAAGTGCTCAGGACACCAAGGGCCAAGTTGTAGTCATCCGTACTGTCTTCTTGTTAGCTGAGACTCTCAACCTCTATGAGGTGAAGAAGGGAGAACATGAAACACGCACAATGAGCTCCAAACTTTGGGCACTTTGTATGGTCGGTAGTTGGCCATGGCGTATAGAATTTCATCCGGGGCACTGTTGAAGCCGTTGTCCGCGCCATCCTGCCAGAGTCGAGTTCGATACAAATCATGCGATGCAATTCCGGTAAATGTTAGGATCACAATGATGAACGGCAGCTCAACGGCCATAAGCCAAAGAAGCACTTTATGGTACCGGTGGTTTCGCGGGAAATATAATAAGTTGGGTTTCCAAGACATCTTTTCCGGTGGTTTCTCGTGTCTCGTTTTGAAATTATAATTCGATTAATTATTCTGTTCGCTGAGGCCAGACCGGCTGGCTAGACATTCGTTCACACGCGCATTGAAAGGCGACCACCGAGAATTGAACCGTCCAAATAAAGAAGAAAGCAAAGCCTTTCTTCTCGTCGATGCACCGGGACGGGCACCTAGATATGTAAAAGACACAGGAAAACCTTCCACAAACGCCGCTGCACCATGTCCAAAAGAGGGGTCATCACCTAGTAAACCCATGTCCCAGTGACAGAGAGAAGCCAGAGATGCATCTGGCCAATGCTGGGCCTCGAGCAAGCGCTCGCACCCAGAGCCATCGCCAATGAGACTGGCCGGGCTGGGGACGAGAACGTGCTGGTGTGACGGTCGTCACACGCACTAGAGGGTGTGATGCGGATTCGATCTGCACAGGTTGAAGCAATCAGACGAGGCCGTTAAGATATCACCCATGCTTGGAGCTACTTTTGTTGCTGCTCAATCAGAGTGCGTCTTGTCGGTTTAAGCGCCGCGGTGGAGTATCTGCACGAACGCCCCATAGTCACTCAAATACAAAGTACGTGCTGACTATGGTTGTTCTGTACGTTTGTAGATACCATCTTTGGAAAAAAATACCATTCATAATGCATGGTGTTTGATAGCACGAAGCCGGGGTAGAAAGAAAGGCAAAAAAAAAAAAAAAAAAAAAAAAAAAAAAAGAAAGAAAAGAAAAAGACCGCATGCTTCGAACTCGGGACACGGAGGTCATTGCGGAGCTCTGCAATGATGACTAAATCTCCAATTTTGCACTGTAATGAGTATAAAAAAGAAAACCAGTAGCTCCCTTTGGGGAAGCGTGTCATCCTTGTGCAGGGGCTATGCTAATCTTCTCTGTATCATTTCGTTGACCAAATGCCAAAAGGCACTGGGCTCCTGTTAAGGTGGTTTATATGTCCATCTAGGCAGAGAACTACGTCATTTGCGTGGTCAGCCTGACCTCACTAAATCGCAATCACCGCTGCCATCACTACTATATACTGTACACAGCTTCAGCTTGAACTGAATAAAGGAACCATTCATGCACGGAAAGAGCCTCCAGTGGCTGTGTTCCAATCATCTGCTCCGGTCACCGTTTATAATAGCCAGAACCCTCGTACAACGACATCACCACCCACTTTCTAAGTATCGCCAGATGAGCTCCAAACCCAAGACAGGTGTACCTCACCAAGTACGCACAGCAGCAGAACCGCGCCAAAATAGACTGTTTACAGTGCGATTAACGCATATTGACGAACTCAACCCGACTGTCCGTCTGCTCCAATTAACCATCCCGCCTAATGTACAGAGTCTAGAGAACGACATTCAAGATGGCGATGTACGTACATGACAAACCAGTCACTGTGTAAACTAGACTAACCCATCATAGGAAGACAAAACACCCCAACCCCTAACCTTCCTCCCCGGTCAATGGCTAGACGTCCATATCCCAACCATTCCCAATGCCGGCGGCTTTAGCATTACCTCCACACCAGCAGATGCAAACGTCCTACCAATTCCCGAGCAACCGCCAAAAGAGCATTTTGATTCCGTCGCGGAGCCTGGTCTCCCACCTGTTGACTCTGCAGGGAGACCACCCTACGTCGAATTGGCTGTGCAGAAGGCGCTGTCGAATCCGGCGAGCGCATGGCTTTGGAAACCCAAGGATGAGATCCTGGGTACGGAACTGGGGATTCGTGTAGGTGGGGGTTTCGTCTGGCCGCCGTCAGGGATTGATCTGAATGATGTCCGGAATGTAGTTTTGATTGCTGGAGGTGTAGGCATCAAGTAAGTATAGCGATACCCCAATCACAAAACGAAACTAATGTCCAGCCCTCTCATCTCAATTCTCTCCCACCTAAACAATAACGAATCCAACACCGTCCTCCCCAATCCAACAAACATCCAAGTCCTCTACTCCACTCGCCTCCCCGACCCCACTCCGTCCTCGACCGAAACAACACTAGACCAAATTCTCTTTCTCTCGCGTCTCCGCCATATCACCCAGTCGCAATGCCAATCGCATCGTCTGCGCATCGGACTTGATCTCTTCATCACGGATCTACCAGATAATTCGCCGCTAAGGACTGCTCCACCGGTCGATATTTCTATTCATCCACGGAGGATCAGTCGTGAGGATCTTGGAGTGGTTGTTAAGGGAGCGGATGGGAGTGTTAGGCCGGAGGAGACGGTGTGTTATCTGTGTGGGCCGCTGGGGATGACGGATGAGTTTGATGGGATACTTCGAGGGCTGCTTGGAGATGGGCAGGAGAGGATTTTCTTCGAAAAGTGGTGGTGATACCGTTGTGATAATCATATAGTACTATAACGGATATGATAATGATAACTCAATAAGGATAACTTTTCGGGGTTGAGACTGATTCCCATGTATCAACCAACCAAGTATTGTACAGCAGAATTAAAATGATAACCATGATATAAACCCGAAACCTCACGCCAACCAGACTTGAAAAAAGAATATCCTAATTGGCCCCATCAGGCCCTTTCACCGTGCCGCCGTCAATAATCATCATCTCGTCGATCCGGGACTCGATCTCGCCCCATTCCAGCCGCTTATATGTCACGACTCGTCCAGCGTTCATGTCAAAGTCGAAGAATCGCACTCGTCGAACATAGTCATTGTACCCTCCGTAGCCACCAAGGCCTGAGCCACCGCCATAGCACATCCACGAGGAAGGCTTGTCGTTTTTATCCTTGTTAACCATGCAATAGTCATTGGCATGATCGCTGAATGAAAGGGTTAGTCAGGTATATCACAACAGCATGATGGATAGTTGACTTACTGTCCACAACTAACGAAAAGAACACCCTGTTCCTCCATCGCATCCTTGAAGCCAGTGTTGAACCCAGGCGCCGTAGGGGCCTCTGGCCAACCGCCTCGGAAGTAATTATGATTGTCACGATATTCGGGAAGCGGGATGTGAATGAAAGCCATGTTCATATGCATGTGCGTGTAAGCTTGGTGTTTGGTTTTCAGACCCCGGGCTGCGTTCTGGAACCACCGAATCTGGTTCGGTTTGATCCAGTCATATCCGCGGAACTGTCGCTCGTCGGGGGAATAAGAATGTGTGTCAAGGAGATAGAGAGTCAATGCAGAATGGGCCGATTTCCCGCTACCAAGAACCTCAACAATGTAGTTCCCAACGCCATCTATGTCATCGGGGCCGGCAGAGGATAGGGAGTAAGGGAGATCTTCGTAAATGTCCATAAGTTCCGACCGGTTAAGGTCACCCTCATCATCATGGTTGCCGAAAATGGCCGCATAAGGGATCTTGCGATCCACAAGCAGCTTGACAGGCTTAAAGAGCGCGCTTTGGGCGTCTTTCGAGGTCTCACCGTTCACCTGGTCTCCACTGAGAATAACCAGGTCAGGTTTCTCTTCATCCAAAAGCCTCTCCACAAAATCTAGAGTTCGAGGATCAGCCTCGCACGACTGGCCAGGTACAAGCTCGGCCGGCACTGGCTCTCGACAAGCGCCCAGACCAGTACTCATATGCAAATCTGCCAACTGCATAATCTTAAATCGTCCATCATCGTTGATCCTCGGAACGGCCCTCTTGGTCTTTTGTGGATCACCTCTTCGGACGGTAACGCGAGCCTCCAATTGCTCCGTCCAGCTGTTCAGCAGCAACGGAGTATCCCTGACTTCCCAACCAATGCGCGGGTCAACCGCATCAGCCCCGAAGAGCACATCGACCGAGGTGACGGTGGTCTGCGAGTCGCTCGCGTGGCGTTTGGCCGTCCGCTTCAACCATATACCTCCCGGTCTCTGCTCCCATAGTTCTACATCGCTTTTGGAAGCACCCTCCATCGACTGGGGATTAAGTCGGCCGATTTTCATATCAAGGACCACCCTGTCCGTTGGAAGCAACTCCTCCTCCTTCTTTCGTTCAAAATGAATGTATGCGCTCGACGTCCATCCCGTGCGCAGGTAGAGATCCTTATCGACCCGAGTCCACGTGTCCTTGTTGACTTTGCAGTTGGAAAACACGTTGAATGACGAGCAGGTACTGACAGTTACATCGGTAACGACGAGGCCAGAGTAATGTGTGGGTAGGTGGCCGTGAATCGAGGCCGGTAGGACGCGATACCGGTTATCGAGAAATAGGACTAGGAGCAGTATGAAACCTGCAAATAGCGCAAGCTGTACGCCTGCCCGCACCTACATGGAGACAGCGGCATTAGCAAGCCTCTTTGCCTGTGAATTGCTTAATGAATACAGGGAAAGGGGCTCGTACAATTCGGCGTGTCATGTTGGCATCCGATACCCCTGGCAACTATTCAGTAGATAATAAGTCGCCGGGCGCTGGATCATGGTGCAATTCAGAATCGTAATAAGAAAACAATGTAGAGGCACTCCAAGACGACCATCAACCGGTCATCTAAAAGAGGCCTTTTGCAAGGATGAAAGTTAATATGCTTTCTTGCCCCGATTTCCCGCTCTGCCGGGGAAGGCGGTCACATGTCGCTCTCACTAAGCCTCTTTGGGACATATACATAGTTATCATGTTCGTGGATTCATGATCGCTTGTACGGAGTACTAATTATCTACATCGTGTCGACAAGGTACCCCGAGTCTTTCTATCGTCTATCCCGTTTACCTGTCATAGTCATCTGCTCAGGCCTCATCTTTTTGCTCCTTTTCCAGGCCTTCTTGGGCTACTTTCTTGACGCTGACCTTGCCGCTTAGAATATCCTTAGAGGTGGCCAGAATCGAACTCCAATCTTCAAAGGTGGTGAATGGCATTCCTTCACGTTCGCAGAAGGTCACCAGATCTGGTCTCGGTTAGCTTGCGTTCCCCCGAAGTTGCAAGTAACTGTATTGAGCATACCATTTCCCTTCTTTGCGAAAAGAAGATCAGTCTCGGCTGCAGCAGAAAGGTCAGAGACACCGTCTCCAGCGTACAGCAATGTAGGGCGCTCATCATGTGGCAACTGGGCGTATGGCTTGATTTCCAACGACTTGTCGTGGCCGAAGTGACTGCAAATAGTTCTGATCAGTATCTTGATACCCTCTTCAGAGCCAAAACATCCTGCGACCTACCTGTCGTCGTGGTACTTGATCTGCCAGCCACCTGGGGTGTTGATGTGCTTGCCATCACGGCTTTCCACGTCATTGGCGATGATAACAATGTGGTCAGGTTTGTGGCCCAGCAATTTCTCAAGCAAAGCCCTGATGATAGGGATCATTCCAGATGACAAAACAACAATCGGCACGTTGTTTGCCTTGGCCCACTCATAGAACTCGACGAAGTGAGGGTCCAGCTTCATTACCTTGCAAAGCGTCTCGACACATTCACTGAAGGGGGTCTTGACACTGCCCAACATCTGCCAGAAAGCGTCTCTTAACACAGGAGCGAGAACAGTTAGCCTCTCTCATGAAACGGCGCGAGACTGCCCACGCTGTTGTATCATACCGGAAACTGGTTTTCTTCTCGAGAACATTGATGTTCAACTTGCGACGCTTCGTCTGTCCAAAGCCGAGATTGTCCGTCTTTTATAGATTGTCAGCATATGCGAAGGTTCATTCGGAGATTGTATATCGTACCAAGTAGTCATTGCCTTTAGACTGCCGTCAGCGCCTGCTGTAAGAGCACGATCCGAGTCACTCACTGTCTTCAAGTGTAATTGTGCCATCGAAGTCCGTGAAGAAGATCACGGATGGGTTGGTCTTCAAGTAAGGAAGGTCGGCGGGTGCCATTGTGGTCTAGATACGGCGATGCGTAGTTTATCGAAGGATCAATTTGCTGTGGTAGAAAGAGTTAGCTATTTGCGACAATGCCATATTTATAAAAAGCCCCTCCAATCCCATATCCAAGGATACCCAAGAACTTCAGGCACGGCGAGCATCATAGTTGGAAAGAGCAAACCGGGAGAATGATGTAAGTGATTGACCCACCGAGATTAAGCGCAGGAGGTAGTAGAACCGCTTAGATAATCCAGAATGGTTCTTTTGGTGTTCTAGAAAGAGGGGGATTTCTAGGAGAAGTTGAGAGATGAGAAGAAAAGAGGTAGAAACGAGGGAGAAGAGGACAGAGAGCGAGACCCTTGGCGGGGAACAAAGCAATGAGGGGGCCCCGCTACTAATAACAATACCCAAAATGGATCGGCCGGCATTGACCGGAAAGAATAATCTTGATCTCCGATAACAGCACTTTTTTGAGCCACATCTTCAATCGCAAACATATCTCACAACAATTTCAATCCAGGTCGCTTGGATGGCTCGTTTGCTGCAGTCCCTCCGTCGAGTCTTGGGACTGAATACGTCCAAACCAGCGCTTCCGAAATTTTCACGGTCCCTCGACACGGACTTTTCAATCTTTCGCGGTATGGATTCCAATTGCGGTCTTAGCTGGAAAGCAAATGCTGATTCAATTGGTTTTTTCTAGATGGCGATCGCGTCATCGTTCATGGCAAGAATCCAATTCTGAGTAAACCATTGCGACAAGGTCACAGGACCGATACTCGTCGGGGAACTTTATACCATGACACCATTATCGGCCGGAGGGTACGCGATCTGTATCCTGCGCATAAAGGTTAGTTGGCATAATTGAGCAACAGAGGATATGCGCGCGAACTGACCATTGGTTTTCAAATGACTAGGCCCTGAGTACCGACTTTCCCTCCCCAATCTCGACGAATATGTCGCCATGACACCTCGTTTGGTAACGCCGGTATGCATTCACATTGCTTGTATTATTCATATATTGGGTGCTGGGCTATAAAACGGCTAACGCCGTCTTAAGTAGATTTATGCGGCCGATGCCAATTTAATCGTCTCCCTCCTTGACATCCACGTTGCTCCTCACGCAGAAGGCGAACAACCAGCGCCATTGGAGATCCTCGAATCCGGAACTGGACATGGCTCGTTGACTCTGCATCTTGCGCGCGCAATTCAAGCGGCCAATTCAAACCCACCACCGTTACCCGAGAAATCCCAAATCCAATACCCACCGGACAGGCCACTCCGGCCAGACGAGGACGCACCCAAAACGCTTCGAAAAGAGCAACAATCCGACGGAGACGCCGCAGAGGATCCAACACAGAAGCAATGGGATGCCTGGCGAGCGTCTCGTGGAGCCGTCATCCACACCGTCGACGTATCCCCCAAATTCTCCGTCCATGCTGAGAGGACTGTCCGCGGCTTTCGACGAGGGATCTACGCAGGAAACGTCGACTTTTACGTAGGCCACGTGGAGAACTGGATCGCAGAGCAGATCAAACAACGCGCAAATGCTTCATCGGCATCAACAGGCCTCCTATCCTCCCTCACAACCCGCGATAACACCCACCCCGACCCCTTCCTCTCATACGCAATCCTAGACATGCCCTCCGCCCATATGCGGATTCCCCATGTCGCCCAGATCCTGAAACGGGACGGTTTCCTCGCCGTGTTCATGCCCAGCATCACGCAAATCGGCGAGTGCATCGACATCATTCGTCAACAGCGACTCCCATTTGTTCAGGAGAAGGTCGTCGAACTCGGTGCTGGTATTAGTAACGGCCGTCAATGGGACGTCCGCTTTGCTGTAAAGAAGTCGCGAGCTGATCCGTCTTCTTGGACAGGGACTTCATCATCCACCGAGTCGGATGAAGGGGGCCTTCAACAGGATCAGGAAGAGTCATCGTCATCGTCGAATGTCGAGGAAGAAGCACCAAAAGAGGAAGATAGCGTCTTGGTCTGTAGACCCAAGGTTGGAACGAGGATCGTAGGCGGTGGGTTTGTGGGAATCTGGAGACGGATTGAGGATTCTGCCAGGAAGTAAACTCTGTTCCCTTTCCTCTCCTATTTGTTTTTGTATTGAAGTTATCCGTTGTACAATAGTTACGCATTGATGTAAAAATATGGGTCAAATGGGCATTATATAGAAACAGTTACTGGATTGTCGAGGATTTCTTGCGAGGAGCTCTTAACCGAGAGGCCAAATTGACTGCGTCGGTGTCTTCCCGGGGTATTTGGTGATGGGTGGTCAGATATGTAACATCACCCTAGTTAATAGACATACGTTCACTGCCCTCAGTAAGGACACATGAATTAGTTCTGATATATATCTAGCTATCTTACTACTTCTTATTAGTCCAGACAGTGGTTTCCCTGAGTAAAGAAACCAATCACCACCAGCTATGAGCAATTACCTCGCATTATCTCAGTAGGATATTGATGTTTGCTTACTTTCTGAGTAGATATCCAATGGTGAATAGCGAATTGTCAGAAGCAGATACGTCTCGCTGTCGCGGCTTCTACATAAATAGTGACCCACATCTTCTTTAGCAACCGAAACTTCAAAATCGAAGACCTTTGCACCGTTCTCTGTCATCAGAAAGTTGTATCTATTGGGGTCCCCATGAACAATTCCGAATGTATGCAATAGGCGAACTGTCTTCACGCATTCGCTGAGATTTTGTATATCTGGCGGGTTTCCAAAAATCTCCTCCACCAGGAAGCCAACTGTTCGATCTTTCGTTTCCTCGTAGACGTAACCAATGAATCGCGGAGCAAGCGGAAAGCCAGCCGATGTCAGTGTAGAGTATACTGAAACCTCTTGCTGTAAATACGGAATTTCATATTTGAATTGTGCGACTTTCAGTATCCGCGTCTCACCATCACAGCTTACCCAATAGATGCGATCACTAATTCGAGAGACCGTTCTCAGATCTGAAAGATTGTAAAACATGGCAGAAGAAACATTAAGCCGTCCGAGGTCCAATCCGTGTGGCGAGAATTCGTCTGGAGTACTTTCAATACCATGGGAGCCACTTCGAACAGTGAGTGTTTTCCATTCTTCCTCCCACCTTGGAACTTTCCGCAACTTCGAAAGAATCCGAAAACTATCTGACCTGCAGTCAAGCGGAACGATATCTCCGTCAAGGACAGAAACATATACAATCCGTGTATTTCTCTTTATTCGATAAAGATAGTCATTCTCCAGAAGATCTAGGGACAACACCTCCTTTTTTTCTCTTAGCAGGTTTGCTGAAGAGGGTAAATTCAGAATGGCTCACATCGTCAGGTGCGGCGGCAGCAGGCTGACCGAGGAGAGGTAGGAGTGAGCTGATCCTCCTAGCAAGGGACGATATGAGGAGGCAGAGAGTAGGCCAAACCCGCCATCGAAACAGTTGAGAGATGCCGAGCATACTGACAAGATGCCTAAGGTACGTTTGAAGAAAAGAAGGTGAGACTTGCCCCTTGGATTGCTTAATAATCATCCCCTAACGTGTCAGAAATCCGGGGTATAGCTTGGCAATCTTCGTTGATGAAGCACGTCTTGCGATGTGTCGCTAACCGGTGCTATGGGAATTTTCTGTCAATTAAATGTACGGTAGGCTACCACGAGTCATTTGTACTGCTCAGCCGCTCCTTTCTACTGAGGATATGCGATACCAATTCATTAGGGCTGAGCGCTGCCTCATGAACCATCCTCCCTTTTGCCTAAGATGAAACCCCCCGTTGGAAGTAACGGCGACCCTACATTCTACTTACACCATGCATACCTAGCTCATGTTTGGTGGCGTTGGCAACGGAGAAACCTGAATGGACGCAGCGTGCCCCCGGCCTATGTGCTTGCGATGGGCAGCGTCTCCTTCTCTAGTGACTCGGTCATGAAGTACAATGGCGATCCGGGAAACTTCGTTTATTAGAAATAGGGATTTTGACCTTGGGTACCAGGGGTAGATTGAGAAAGAGAGAGCAACATGCAAGGGGAATGATACATCTAGTTTCATGCGTGGCTTGTATATAGAGGATGACCGTCGGAAGTCGTTTTGGCCTCGCCAGCATGATATTAAATGACTCTCAGGCTTTACAATCAACTCCTTACTTATTCCATTTTCACGACCGAGCAGGCCCTGGGCATGCCCACTGAGCCGTGTCGCCCAGAAGAGGAAAGACGATAATTTTAAAAATCCCAGTACATATATGTAACCAAACACATCCACTTCAAGAGCCCAGCATCACTATTATTCAAGACCAGTTTACTCTTACGAAAGAAATTGAGATGAAAAAGAATCAAAAAGCACTCTGAAGAGAGGCTTATCATAATTTCCTGAAGAGCGAAAAATAGTAAGAAAACACCAAGCCAAAGACAAAACATTCATATAGCAGACAGAAGAGAACCCCATTCGCCTAAAATGGAGAAAGAGGAAAATGGCAGAGGGAAAAAGAGAAACATCTAGCATAGTGTTTTCTTTTACTTCTTTTCATCTGGGCCCATCGTGGCACCAAACGATCAAAAGATCTCTACCAGGTCCCCAGGAAAGTTTCAACCCAAACACCAACTCCCTCCCTAGACGTCGTAAACACCATGGTTGTAGTGGACGTTAGATGAGGTGGGATGAGAAAGATGAGGCAAAGTGATCGCGAGTAAGGAAGAACGGAAAGAAGCCCAAGATAGATAGCATCCCAATGGAAGAAAAGAAAACTTGCTGCGCCATTGACTACTTTCCAAGAACATAACAATGTGGGTTCAATTGAAACAAGTGCCCAATGGCGACAGCAACACAATGAAAAGAAAGGTAGGCAATGAGCACACAAGAAGGTAAGATGCAGAAAGGAAACGCAAGAAGAAGAAGAAGAAGAAGAAGAAGAAGAAGAAGAAGCATCGCAAGCAAACAACACACGAGACCCCCAAAGATTCCGAGATGACAAAAAGAAACTGAGAACACAACTGGTTACGAAAACACCAGTCAATCAATGACCCTTCCTCCACTCTTAATTCCGTTGCGGCCCAAAATCTGCCTCCACAACCTTGCCCTTCTTCCCTTTAATAGTGAACTCAGCGAAGAGTGCAACGTGATCACTAGGGAAATGGTAGTTCGGGAAGCCGGGAACCCGCTTGAGATATTCCTTGTCTACTTCCCCGAGCAATGCCGAGACGTGAAGTGAAGTGGACGAGAACCAGATATAGTCGAGGATATCCTTGAAATCTGGGGTGTAATTTGTGAAGCTCATTTCGCCAATTGTACCATACGCTGATCTCAGCTTGAACGGATGAGTCATACCAACCCGGCTGAGGTTTCCGTAAAGCCGCTTCTCGAGATCCGGGTGTTCTTCCGTCAGTCGCCCGTTCGCGATCAAGTTATACGCGGCGGATCCAGGCGAAGAATTGAAGTCACCACACATGAGAAGTGGAATCTGATCGCCACTAGCATACTCCATCGACGGAGCAGGCTTTGAAAGCGGCGTATCGGATTCTTCCTCTGCCTCAGAGAACCGGAACGCTGTCTTGTCAGTACACGCAGGCCACTTGGCGTAAGTATCCGAGAGTTTCGTAATCTCTTCCATCAGAATGGCGGTCTGGATCAGTTTGACATCCTTGAAAGCAGGATCCCAATAGAGATGTGCATTCACGACGATGAACCTCGAGCCAGTTTGCCTGTTCTCCAAGAAGATGACAACTGCGATATGGTCTTTCTGCCAAAGTCGGTTGTAAATGTCATCCTGGCCCTTGGCGTCAGGCCGTCGCACAGCCGTCTGACCAAAGTTGATCATTTGCTTGTCCAGGAGAATGAATTTCTTTTCCTTGAAAAATGTCGCGCAGCCGTCGACATTTTTAGCGTCATCCTCCTGCATGCCCATTGCACGACCTCGTGGCCAATACACTCCCTTGTAGCCGCTATAAGCCAACTGCTCCCGGAAGTATTCGTTGTAACTTCCTTGATCGACTTCCTGAAGACACACAATATCCGAGCCATGGGACCTGAGCTCGTTGAAGATGAGCTCTCGCCGGAATTCCCACGACAGAACACGAGAAGGGGCGTATCCATAGTGCGATTGGGTTGCAGAGGTGCTGCATAACGTGTTATACGAGATAACAGTAACTTTCTCAGTGGGGTTATTAGAAGAGTTGGCAGTTTCATCGAGAATAATCCAGTCTCTATCGGGAGGAGGAAGGTGTACTGTGAGAAACGGAGCAATTAGTATCAAGGTACGGACATGGTCTCAAAAGGGCAGACGTCAACCAACCTGGCGTTTCCTCTTTGAGATATCTGATCAAGGCCTTCGTGCCATCCTTCATGATTTGTGCTTTCAGGACATCGTTCAACGGGTTACCCTCGATTCCCAGAGTCTCCAGCCTGTAAAGGTATCCCATCTCATAAGGAAGAGTGCGAAGGTTGTTGTCGAATAGATAAAGCTTCTTTAGGCTGGAAAGCATGCCAATTTCTTCGGGAAGGTCGGTCAAATCGTTGCCGGACAGATCCAAGTGAGTCAATTTCCGCAGTTGCCCAATAGCCGGTGGAAGGACCTTCAGTTTATTGTGGTTAAGGTATAATTGTTCCAGGAATTTGTAGTGGAATAAGGATGTGGAAAGAGCACGCAACCCTTGGCCACCGAAATCAAGAGCGTGCCAACCCTGCCTCGGAGCTGGCTTTGTCCTCACCACACCATTCCGTCCGTCGGTGCTCACCTCTTGAACTTCGATCTGACTCGGTGCGATCTGGATACCCTTGGCTTGTTGTGCCACACTACGAGCGTGGTAGTGCGGGGAGCTGGCCTGTCTCGACTCGGCTGCCAACTGCAGCTGCTGTTGCCAATGTTCATTCATCTCATCAATGTCATCGTCGAGATTGGCGTGGATCCCATTCTGCATAGGAGTTGGCGTAAAATGCGGCGTGGTGGTTGCCAATGCTGCCGCGGAGAAGGCATGCTGGGTAAGAGGCTGATGATGGTGTGCGTGAGGGTGGGCTTGCTGCGCATGTGCATGGTGGGTTTGCGTTTGGAATTTGGGGATCTGCATGCTGAAACGTTGGTGGGCCTGGCTGCCATTCATCATGACATGCTGGCCTTGGTGGGCTTGACTGTACATGGCGAAATTGAGGGCGGCTGCTTGCGTGAGGGGCGGAGAACGAGCAGGGGAAGGAGTGTCGTGTGTGTATCTTAACTTTCCCGAGGGAGAGTTCGTTCCGTTTCGAAGGAGTTGTCGTTGGTGAGATTGCTGTTGCGGTTGCGTCTGGAAGAAGAACTGCCCGGCCCCAGGCTGCTGGAACCTGTAGGTACCATCTGCCATTTAACGTGGCAGACGAGACCTGAGCTTATCGACTTGAGAAGGAGTGTATGAGGAAACCCGAACCGAGAACGCCGGGTTCAAAGCAGTGAAAGAAGACAGAAGAGGAATCGGGGTTCGGATACGATCTCTCCTTCTCTTCCACATGGAGTTCTGGAGCGGAACGACCACCCCGGGCTATTGTGTGTCCAAGATCACCGGTCTACAGCGACACACAAAGAGAGGGAAATCCCAAACAACCTTGTGCCGTCCTCGGAGTGTAATCTGATAAATACCCGGATCTAATATGGGAATATGGAAGAATAAAAGACACGATGGTCGAACGATCGAAACCGGCGTCGGGGGCGAGACGAGTCACAGGACGTCGGAGGGACGAAGATCTGGCGGCAATTCTGCTTAATACCGGGCGGTTAGAGAAAGAGAAAAAACGACCTTTCGCAGGCGAGAGCAACAAAGAAAGTAAGAAAAAGAAATTAGACAGGGAGGACAAGGCGCACTGTTTAACGAATTGATGGATGCGGCAAGACCTGCGTGTTGGTCGATATGTTAACTCTTCCGGCGTGTCTTGAGGCTGCTGCGAAGTGGTTTGCATCGAAGGCGGAAGTTGTTGGGTCACGTGATACACTCGCCGGGGACGTGATTCGTCCGTCCGGTCCACTGATCTTGCGAACGGCTCTGGGGAGGACGGGGTATCTCTGCTCTATATCTGGCAATGAACATCCAGCTTCCCGGTCGTGGCCAATCAAGAGAAATAACTATCATTCCTACAAGGGTTCCTTGACTAACAAACAACAGACATGAAAGACCCCGAATCCCGCTGACCAGCTTGACCCCAGATCAACATGTCAAGTCCCTTTTACATACGGAGTACTCCAATCACTCAGGGTTCATCCAATCCTGGCAGTGTTCATCTAGGCTTTCAAGTGCCAGCAAAATCGATATTAGGTCATTGTATTGCTTTCAGAAGTAAGGTGTCGATCGAGTTTGGAAACAGGACAAAGTGTCAACACCCATCTAAGTTCACCCCTCCTGGAGAAGCAAACAAGAGGACAATGCGCTGTCAACTGCGGTCTACACACCATTCAAATACATGACAGTATATTATTGGTTTCGGTACAGCGGAAACAAATAACAATCTTTCAAAATATCCAGCGAGAGCAAGCTTAGGAAAGATATACAACCATGACCGGGCTCTTGCATACAGAAAAGGAAATATACAACAGATCTTACTTTATACGGAATATCGAGGAGCGCTTGTACTACGCCTACTCCTGGTAGGCTGAGGCGTGGCACATTTGCATCGCCCTAAGAATGTAAAATGAGCCAGTACTGGCCAGTGAGCTACTCCAGAAAGGCCTATTGGGTAGTGTTGGACAACTTGCAGGCAGGCTGTCATACTCTGGGAAGTCACTAACAACATTCACTGAACAGAGGAGTAGAACCCCTCCCGCTGCTGATTCCGCTCCGCTGATACCAGCGGATCGAATTCCCATTGGCCAAGCACACCTGTAGCCCTCCTTTCATCTCCAGTCGGACCTTGGCCACAAGGAAGAATGGGGTTGGGTCAACAGATCACCGCTGAATGTAAACTAGAAGAAAGCCATCTTGGCCTTGGTTGTTACATGATGTTTGAGACTGGCCAACTGTTCGTGTTCGTGGTTCATTTCGACAAACCCAGCGGATTCCCTCGTAGAAGGCAGTAGTTGCCATGAAGAACATAAGGACTGTATTTTTTGTACTCCGTATACCCACAGAGTATTAGGAGCGGTGACTCAACCATCCATATCTACTACTAAACGCTCTTAGTTATTAGATATTCGAGACCAAAAAAAAAAAAAAAAAAAAAAAGCGACATCAATGAGACTACCTCAACGAATGATTTGGGTGAGGTCATTGCTATCTTGAAGGACCAAAGAGAGTGATGGTCTATATTTCCTTGGAACCAGTTTAACCGTGGGGTGTTTTTATCAACAGAGCTGATGGGAAAGTCATATCTGGCATCAGTAACCAATGAGACCAACTATTTCAGATACAAATATTATTGAGCTACAATGTATTCAGCCGTGATCCTGAGAATTCAAATGAAACCGAAATAGCGACAAATGCTAGTTGATCAATCTCCGCGATTCATTTCGCTTCTTCAATTCAATATATTTTCCTCGAAGAACAAAGGTACAAATGCATGCATACTCGTCTAGAAAGTACAGAGTAGTACAGAGCAGAGATACTCAGTACAGAGTACACCTAGGAAGATACGCTACTAAACAATAAACTAATACTAACTGGGTATAGTCTTGGGACCACTATCTCCAATTCAAAAGTCACGCATATGTCAATATTACTCCGTAGTATAACCTATCACAACCCCTTTTTTCTTCACTGACGATGGATAAACGGGGTTGTTTTCATTTTGAAGTCTACAAGTTTCTTGAAGAGACGTACTTGCAGTGTATGCGATACTCAGATTACAGAGGTGATTCCATACTTTGTACGAGTACGAATAGTATCACACAGGGCTCCATTTTCCGGAGATAGTCCAAGGAGACCCGTCAATAGTTTGTTTGGTCTTTGCACGGAGCCACCTTCCGGCTTCCGACACTTCGGATGTGCCTTTTCCTTTTCCTTTTTTTGACAGTCAACGGCGTCTTGGTCTGTGATCCTGTACCAGTACGGAGTACTACTTCGTGCAGGGTAGTACTCCATATTATAGCGTACCATGAATAGAAAGCCGGTATCCGTGGAACCCGAGATATAAGCAAAAGGATTAAACTCCTTGACATCATGGCACTCGATATGTTTACCGAAAACGGGTACGTCTTCGAAAAGGGCTGATGGCGAGTTTCTTACCTATGAATGACAATCATCTTCAACAATTGGTAACCAAGCACTGGACCGAGTCATAGTCGAATCTTGGACCTGGTGTGTTGGGCAGAATCTAATCGCACTGGGCAGGCAAAAAAACACTGGGTTCAATTGTCGGCTTGTGCTGGGATCTCGAGTAATACTCCGTAGAAAGAAGAAAAAAAAAAAAAAAAGCGAAAAATTGAGGGCGCTTGTAACTCCGTATGTTCCGATGTCTTCTCTGCCACTGGGTCCAAAAGTCTGATTATGAACAGCCGCTCTGATTTGACGGTGGTGGACAATACACGGGAAAGCCGTTCGCTTAGTTCGATCCAGCTGAGAGTTAGATCCGGTTAGCCCTGTTTCTGATAAATAAAATTTGCGAGCTCAATCTGGGATTATCTTCAGGGTCAATGGACTACTGTGATGCTCAGGGATGACACACTGACTTACAGCCAGACAGTAGTCACAAACATTATTGAGGTTACAGTATACGAGTTTGACACTTTGGTAACTCAAAACCGATACAGTGGCCTGTCAGAGAATATGAATCATGGTCCCTTCTTCATTGAAGGATCATCCACTGCACTTATGCTTTTGGTTTCTAGATTTCTGGAATGTGTCTAGAGTACTTACAATGCTCCATCCGTAAAGGGGGAATGTGGAACTGGCCGCCATGTCCACCACCACCATGAATTGATACCTTTTTTTTTTTTTTTTTTTGCCCCCCTCTTTCTTCCCTACCCTTTCTCGTACTCCATTTTCCACGGTTCAATTATATCAATAATAACAACGATAATAATAATAATAATAACAATAATAATACTGAGTTATTCTTCTCTTTTTTAATTCTTTGCAATTCTTTTCTCTTTCTTTCTCTCTCCTATTGTCCAGTGTCACCTATACATACGCGCTTACCCACCCAATCAACTATCTCGACTATCCAATTTTTTTTTTTTTTTTTTTTTTTTTTTCGCAATTGGTGTATCGCTTGAGAATGCGCTCGGCCAGTGATCTAATTCGACTCGATTGACGAGACACACGAAGCAGAGAAGGAAAGAAATCTATGAAATAAAGAGATGGATATCATGATGTCCTCGAGCACAACAACAATTCCCACTCCCGCCGCGATGACAGCCGCCGCCTCTGGTTCCGACCTGAATTCGACCCTCAGTTCCACCGGCCCCGGCTGGGCAGGGACGTCAACCTCCTCCCTCTCCTCCCTACAGAATGACTACAGCACCTACCCTCTGATTCACCATGGCGACCGAACCTATCTCAGAGACCCCGAAAACCTCTACCCATTACCATGCGACCTGCCCGAAATCCATCGCCAATCCCTGCGCACCCTTATGCTCATTCGCGTCTTTGGCGGCCCCTTCTGCACTCCGTCGCTTGCTGAGAATCCCCCGAAACGAGTATTGGAATTAGCATGCGGCTCGGGTCTTTGGTCGAGCCTCTGCCACGATTACTTCGCCCGTCGCGGGAATCCCAACGTCTCCTTTACCGGTCTCGACATCGTCTCCATCGCCCCCGATCTGCGGAAAAAAGGTGTGAATTGGCAGTTTAAACGACATGATTTACGCAAACCGCGCCTACCGTTTCCCGATGACTACTTCGACTTCGTTTTCATTAAAGATGCAGGGATGTGTCCGTCAAGTCCAGCACAACAGGCATCGGGCTTGAGTGAGCCATTGCGCGTTCTCAAATCGGGAGGTGTTTTGGAAATCTGGGACTCCGATTGGGTTTTCCGATCATTGATCCCGAACCCTGCCCCTGCTCGCAAATTAGCGTCGAGGGAACAAGAAACAGCCGATGCCACCGCGACGTACACATTTTCATCAGCGACTCCGTTCACAAGAGCACAAAACAAATATCTGCAGGACTACAACTCCTGGCTCGAGACGGCGTTTGATCGTCGCAAACTTTCTGCGATGCCGTGCGCGACAATCGGTCTATCTTTCAATGCTGAAGTTGACGATTTGGAAAACGTGGATAGCCGTCGCATTGCGATCCCACTAGGGGAATTACGGTGGGAACGAGAAGGACAAGGCAGAGATTCTACCGGCCGTACTCGGAGGTCCTTAACCACAGATCAGTTCGCAATACGACGCACAGCTCTTCTCACGGTCATCCAGATGATCGAAGGCATGGAGCCTATGCTCATGGAAGCCAGTGGAAAGAGCCGAGATGAATGGGACAGATGGTGGACTGCAATGACCGCGGATCTGTTCCAGAAAGATGGCCTCACCAGTGGGGAATGTCTGGAAGTGAGTGCCTGGTGGGGTCGAAAGAAATAAAAAAAAAACATCTTACCGAAATTTCGGTAGACACAGGCGCAAAAAGGGAAAAAAAAAAAAAAAAAAAGTGACTGGTGTTCTGGTGGTCGGAAAAGTCGTGGCCATTTGCTCACATCATATTGGTGATACCCCGAGTCTACGTTTCTTTTGTTTTTTATGTACGGAGTTTATGTCCTGAATATTTCTTTTGGAAACTTAATATCAGCCCAGCGGGATTATGGGCTTTAATTGTTTTCATAGCGCTGTTTCATTGCACGATACCGTCTCAGGTAATATCTGGCGACATGTCAGTATCAGCTTTTGTTTCGAGAGTGTTGCATGATGTTATGATAGACGATAAGGATAGCGAATGAATATGTTAATCAGCTCCACAAGTAGTATTGTTTTTTCTGAAGGCGTGATGGACATGAAACAACCGTGATGGGCAAATAGCATAGGAATTGGTCTTACAATGCCTCTATTTCTAAATGACGATTGGTCGCATTAGTAAAGGGTACCCTTAGCAAGACCAGCACCAAACAGCGCACCTTTCTTGACAAATTCCGCCCTCGCAATACCCTTCTTAATCTGCTCCTCATCGTTCAAATGCGCCTGACTCGAGAACGCTTTATGCAATCGATTTCTGAAATAATCGTACCCGAGAGGATACGCCCGGCCGAGGTTGAGGAGTTCTGTAGTAGCGTGCGCTGTCAACACCTAGACTGTAGAGCAATAGCGTCTCTTGGAAGAGAGCATTTTTACCTTTGTAGATATTGATGACCTCCCGGCGCAGTGCTGGGTTTGTCATGGTGTATCCATTAAGCGGACACTAAGTCCTGGCTGAGTTTTCTGGGTTGTTGTTCAATGAAAGACTTGAAGAGAGATGCGTGTTCTGTAGTGAGCTCTGTGAATTGAGAGAAGTTGAGTTACCTTCCTCGGCTTCGAGATATCGGCGGTGACGTCGCCGCGGATAAACTACGGATAGAACAGAACTTGTAAACACTCGGTCCTGTAATGCAATCAATCAGTTAACCGGCAATTTATCCATGACTGCGTCTTCCTGATATGATTTCATACCAAATACGATCCAGCTTAACCAAACTATCTAACTACGTGCTCAAAGTATGCGGAGCGGAGAGCGGGGTTAACCGAAATCCCGGGCTCGGAGGTTCAATAGTGAACAGCAACATCCAATTCCTACCAACTAACTACGACATCTCATAGATTTGATAGTACTAGAATGAGAATACCAACGAAACAAGCTCTATGGCAGCAGGCCCTCGCAGCCTCCACTATCATCAAGCCCTCAATTGCCGCCGGACGGTTCTTCTCAACCTCACCAGTTCGTGCGGAGACGAAGTCGGCATCAACATCGATGCCCACACCCACACCCACGAAACCTCACACGATTGACCCGAAATGGCTTACCCTGACAAAGCGGAGGATCGGGAGGTGTATGATGTTTGGACTGAAGCCGCCGCAGATTCAGGAAGCGGGTGATGTCTTACAGCAGATCGCGAGAGATTGGAGGGAGTTGGTTTCGGGCAGTGAGGGTTTCTTGACGAATGAGATTGTTAGGGGGTTATTCCAGCATAATGTGGCATGGGGAGAGATGGTATGATGACAGCCTCTGTCTTTATTGTACGAATGGTGAGATGAGTTACTGATAGCTATGTTGTGCATTGGCATTAGGATACTATGGTAAGTCTACGGTGATGTCCCTTAATTTGAGTTCATGGCTGACTTGTCTGGAAGGGTATGCATTTCCCTAGGAAACCTTGTTATATTCGCGGCATCTGACTTGAACCAGGACATGTCAACAACGTGATGTATGTCAGATACGCCGAGACGGCGAGAGTGAACTTTATGCGCAACTTCGCAACTCACATGGATCCGGCGAATAAAAAGGCATGGATGAATCTCGTTGGCTCGACCGGGATTGGTCTCATCCTTCGGAGCATCAAGATTGATTACAAATTTGTGCGTCCACATGCCATCTTGATTGAGCGATTCCCAGTTTGTTGACGCCATCTAGCCCATGAAATACCCCGATAAGATCAGCGTTTATCACAAGCTAGTACAGGACCCGTCTTCTCAGGCTGATAAGTCGGCCTTTGAGCTTCAAGTCGTCATTCTTTCCGAGGCACATCAACGACCGGCCGCACGCTGTCACGAGGATATTGTCACGTACAACTATCGAGAGGCAAAGAAGACACCCATGCCTCCTTTCATGATGGAACAGTTCCAGAGGGCGTGGGCGTTGCAAGAAGAAGCAAAGAAGACCTGGCAGCAGAGAATTCTGGGGATTGAGGGCCGAGTACGGACCCTTGAGACTGAAAGTTGGGATCGTGAGGATGCTGTCGAGGACACGGGATCTGCGAAGAAGTAGATTGGAGAAGGGGCATTGCGACTGCATAGTGCATAGTGCATACTTGTACAGCGAACCACTAGGTAGATACAATTCATTAGGCATTATAATTCGCTCACGGCCATGAGCTCTTATCATTTTCGAAGCTCTGAGCCACAATATGCTGTCCTATCTCGAACGTGCCGCGAACAGATTCGAAGCGCCTAGAGATATGGTGTTAAATTGATTTGAATCGCTGAGAGCTTGTTTTATGCCTGGTCCTGGCCAATGCTAAACTGCCATACACAATCAAAGGAATATTAATAATATAGCGTACCGACCATCAAGGCCATCACTGATGGATGCCTTAGTCCCGCATTGTATCGTAACTATAATGTATTGTGTATCGTATAACGTATCATAAACGGCTTCGAGTGGAAACACGGCAGTGGCTGGACACTTCCCGGTTCCGATAAGTGGATGGTGCAGTTGCTCCAGCGGGCTCCATCCGAGTTTTGCAGAATTTTCTTAAACTCGAGTCCAGATCTGTCAGGACTTGTTTTTCCAGCGGGGTGTGCAGATTCTGGTTGGCTCGGGAGACTATGACCCTAAGAAAGAAAAAGAAAAAAAGACACTTGAATCTGGTGAAAATGCATGTGATTTTCAAATGCTTTTAATGTTTATCCTGTTTTTTTGATAGAAGCGCTTCCAATAGTATTCCGCAACGTACACTAGCTGCAGCTGCATAACACACCATCAGACCAACAAATTGGGTCTGTATCCTTTTTCCAGCTATGGAGCATCGAACCACGGAACCCGCAAGTCTCAAAATATCTTCCATACAAAAAAAGAAACTCGAGGACGGGGATCATACCGTACCGCGGATCTTGAGATCAATTAGGATTTGTCCGACCAAAATCCAACCTCGGCCGTGGGTCGAGTCAATTACTGAGAGAAGTGGTGATGCAAGTTGATGTATTACTATTATCTTGTTTTCTAACCTTTGAATATTTGAGCCAGACTTCATTTTCTATGCTTAAAGAGAATCTATAACTGTCGTGTGATAACCATGAGGTAAGGCAGAATCACCTGACAACAAGCCTTATGGCGGGGCACGTGCATCGCCGAACTAATTTAGGGGCGATTCCCGTTTTGGGACCCTAGACGGTAGATCCTTGTTACAGGGTCCGCGCGAATCAGCGTCGAGAATTGACAGCTGCATGCGATTCCTATTCTTTGCTGCTCATTAAGAATTGCCAATTCGTGTTCAGTGTTGCGTACTCTGTATACTCGAGTACCAGTACTCAACCCCTGTGAGGATCTTGACCGTTGATCAAAAGCAATGCGGTGGAGATGTTACCGATCTGAAATACCACGTTCTGGTATTGTACAGTACGGATTGGTACCATGCATTAACCATGGAAGTTGTGTTATTGTGTCTGCTGCAGCATATTCTGGGGTCTTGGATGATTGCACACTGTAGGTATCAACTGCAGGTTTAGGTATATTACTGGTAGTCTCTCACTGTACCTGCTTGTGACTCTTCGGAAGCATACATGGGACTATAAACTGCAAGGAGCTATCTATATATGCCGTTAGAATCATGATTATAATTGAAGATGGACTGAGCATGGCAATAGCCTTCTTTACCATTAATGAGGCTTTCTGGTATCTGCCACAGTACCTTTCGTCTCATCCCAGGTTGGCACCCGTAGAACATCAACAAATACCATCAGATTCTACAACTACTTGTATGTGCCTACCCCTCATAGGGAATATGCATAATCAACTACCGGCTCCCCTACATAATGCCCAGGCTATTGCCAGGATGAGTTATCACACAACGTCGACCCCGCAACAGACAAGAGGAAGATCATCAGATCATCCGGCTTAGCGGCGCTTCAGTTGGACTCGGATCCGATCCTGCCAAAACACAGGCCGGCCCTGTGCTAGGGTTGAACTAAAGCGCGAAAGTGTGCCGACAATTGAAAAATGTCTGTTTCGAACGGCGTTGCTGGCCTATCAGGGAACAATAGCAGTCGCAAGTCATACACGTAGCCAACAGCGACAGTTCCCTTTTGCCTTTTGCCCCTCAAGATCATCGTTCTGTTATCGGGGCAAAATGCGAGCAATCCAGCGGTCAGAATGAGGGGTGCTCACTGGTAGACCAGAAAGATTCGATACAATGGCAGCGTGAACAAGGAGCGAGGCTTTGCTTACCCCACGGCTTCGTTTCAAGACGGGCTGTGGATTTTGACAGCGACTGTGGCTGAGTGACTGCAGTGAGCCTTGAATACTCGCGATGTGTCCTTGTATTCCATAATCTGCTTCTACATAGACATTCTCATAGCAGCAACGTCTACTCGCAACTGTATCATACCGTACTGTACTAACCGTTACAGGTAAGTTCATGCCTGAGGCACCCAGGACCGATCGACAGCCGCAACAATTCCCGCCTTCTGCTGCTAAACTATCCCAATCCATTTTTTCCCTTCCCTTTCTTTAACTTCACCTCTTCTCTTTCCTCCCCGCCACGCTCTCTCTTCTTTCTCCCCCCTCTTTCCCCTCCCCCATTCTTCTCTCTATATTTCCATTCTTCCTCGATATTCTATCATCATCATTTGGTCAACCATTTCTCTCCTTTTCTCTCCGTTCTTTTTTCTCTTTTTCTCGTCTTTTTTAAGCAGTTCTGTCGTTCCCTTTCCGCCGCACATTTTCTCCGTTCCCTTCCTTTTCCGCTACTCATAACATCCGCCAAGTACCACCACCCATTCCTTCAACAAAACTCCCCTTGTCGTCGGTTTCGTCCCTTTTTCAACGCCCGGTTCTGGTCCTTGGCTGCTATCTGCCAAGCTGACTCGGACTTGGGTGTTTGGTTCCCTCGTCCATGCCACGTTCATCAGCCGCGGCTAGGAAGAGTCAAAGCAGTCGGCATGAGAATGGTCCCGTTGGTTCCGGTAAGAAAGTGACCAAGCAAAAATCGAATGGACATTTGAATGGACACGCCAACGGTGGCGCTGGTGGTTTTGCCTCGAGTTCGAGCTCCTCTCAAGTCGATCTGTCCTCGTCTCGCTCTTCCAGTGATCCCGCCATCACTCCCACGGTAGCAACGGCAGCCAAATTGAACGGAACGGCAGATTCTTCGTCCTCCCCTTCCAAGTCCGACAGCAATGTGCGCGGGGTTCTGAATGGGTATACCAAGGGCAACGCAGACATGTCGAATGGTGCCGTTCCGCCGAACAGTGGACTCACCGGTCCGGCCTCGCGTCGCACTGAACAGGCCGCCACGACTACCACTGCCATGGGTCCTAAACGATCGGGTTCGAATGCCTCTATCAATCCGTTGCAATTGGCTTCGTCCATTCTCAAGTCATGCCCGATGTACGACACCATCGCCATCCTGATTTTCCTCCTCCAGTTGCCGCCGATGGTCCTGACCTTGGTTCAATTCCTGTTTGCGTCTTTGACCTTTATGCCTCCGAGCGGTGCGTCAGCCGGTTCCTTTACGTCAAATTTCGACATCTTCCAAGGTCCGGCCGGTACACCCTCGTTGGCGACAATGCTCGCAGCGGACGGGTTCTCTCTACTCGTTTGGGGCCTGTTCATGTGGACTTGGGCGCAGAATTTTGCACTAGATCTAGCGCATGTGCAGGTGGCCATCACGCTGGGTGGTGGAGGGTCGGGAAAAAGCGAAGGGGTTAGTTGGGTGTGTGTTGGTATAGTACTCGCCTTGCATCTGCTTCGCAGTAAAGGTATACAGGATTTTGTTATGGGTTATCTCCTCTCCGCAAAAATGGTCTCTCCGGACATGCTATCTCAGTATTCCCATTTCTTACCCACTGAGTTTCGGCGTACCGAAACTCAGTCTTCTCCGAGTTGGATACGCAGTTTACTGGCAGTACATATTTTAGCCCAAGCAGGCACGGCCATGTTAAGGCGGTCGATGGCCCAAAATCGTTCGCCCACTCCCCCGCGCCTTGGAAAGCGCGGCGACACCGAGGCTTCCGCGGGCTCCTCGCAAACGCAGGCAGATTCGGCTTTCGAGTCGGGCGCCAGCCTTTCCTCGATACTGGGTACTGATGGCCAAATAGCGCCATCGTCCGCAGCCCTCAAGGACGGCCGGGATCGACTTGTTTCGGCGAAGAAACGGAGGAGACAGGCAAACCAGGTTCGGAGTCGCCAACCGTTTTGGGCGGCACTTGCAAGCACAAAAGTCACTGTGATGAGAGAGTACGAGCATTCTAGAGCGATGTCAAAAACCACCCGAGGTTCTACGATGACAGAGGAGGATCTACAAGGTGTTTCGTTGGATGATGGGCTTATTTGGGTAACGGATGTGGACGGTTCCTCGATCAGATATGCCGCGGGTGATTTTGCCTCGGCCGATGATCCTGCTGTCTCGGGCGCTGCCTGTGAAGCCGGGCACCTGGGAAACGAGGAAATGGAACCGTTTTACGTGTGTGTCAATGGTGCGCTGTGGGCCACTGCCACCGTCTACAAAGTCGACGATGCTTCCAATGGCTCGAATACGGTTCATTGGCGTGGCGAGATCTCAGGTCTTGCTCCTAACTGTGCTTACACTTGTTCTTTTGTACGCAGCGATACTGATGAAGAGATTTGCGTCATGAGTGTCAAGACTCCTGCCGCCAATGACGCAGAGCAAGGTAAGACTCAATCTCCCGCTTATACCTTTTCTTGTGATTCTAATCGATTGTCTTGCTTTTCTTTTCAGTATCTTCAGTTCCCACGCCACCGCAACCGTCTTATCGACCGTCGTCCCCGACAACCACTCTCAAAAACTCCATTGTCAATGCGGAAGCAAAACTCAATGAGAAGCGCGCTCGGCAGAAGAAGACTAGAGCCGACCATACACGTGTCTTAAATAAGATCAAGAGAGACATGGAAAGTTTGGGCAATCGCCTAAACAGTGGGACAGATGAAAACAAGCAGAAACAACGCTCTCTCCAGTTGGAACGGACCATTCGCCAGACGGAGGAAGCAACAACCGCACTAGAGGCCCAGCTGAGTACAAAGACACAGATCCCCGAGGAAGAGCTGCAGGAATGGTCGACCCAGAAAGCCGACTACGAGCGTGAACGGGACCAACTTGCCAATGCTAAAGATGAAATTGCTGCTACCCGTACCGCCATTGCCCGTGAAGTGTCATCCTTGGAATCTGATTTGAACTCGACGATTCAACGGCGCGAACGTCTTCAAAGTCGTCGTGCCAGAGTCAACGAACAGCATGAGCGAATTGTCTCTGCTAATGCCCAGGGTCTCAATGAACGCGAGCGTCGCGCGGCTGAACAGTTTGCCAGGGAGCAGGACCAGGCTAAACTGGAGGCGAATTACAACGATCAATTTGCCAGTATTGGCCAGTCCGTTCAAGATTACCACGTTCGCACGAATCAACTTCTGCAGCAAGCTGCAGCAATCGAGCAAGCTATACAACAGCAGCAGCTCATTGACCCTGGTCCGTTGACTCCTGGGGCTCCCATTTCTGACGGCATGGCCTTGGGCCCGTTGACCAGCACTGCTTCCAACCACCGATCGCTGTTGGGCCTCAGTTTCCCCCCATTGAAATCTAGCCCCCTTCAACATTCGGCAACTCCCGCTGGTACGACCTCATCTCACCCGACTAGTCCGGCGCCGCAGCCGTCGTACTTGCACCAGCACGTTCCGAGTTCCCCACTTGCCCATACCAATTTGTACTTTGCCACAGATTCTGCTTACCGGGATCGATCCTTCTCCAACCGATCGGGCCGAAGCGGTCAGTTCAACAGCACTGCCGAATTTTTGGACGGCAGCCGCCTGCCGCCTCTTCAGCTCGACCTGTCCGAACTGGTTACCGACAAGCGAGGAAGCTCTGGTTCTGAGAATAACAATTCCCTGAACTCTAACATGCGCCCGTCTCCGACTTCGTTCCAGCGGGTAGGTAGTCGTGGTAGTGGCAGTGGCAGTGGCAGTGGAAGCGGTAGCAGTGGCAGTGGTAGCCCGGGCTCTGCGCGCGATCAAGGCAACTAAGTCAGTTGAGGGGTTCGATATGTTGGATCAAGATGGGGTACTTTTCTTGAAACGGCGGTGTTGACGGTCCTCGTGGCGTATTTGTCCCAGATTCTCGTCTCTTTTTCTCTGCCAATGGTGTTTCTCGAAACAAAAAAAGAAAGTGGTGTCAAATGGTGTATGCCTGCGCTCGTGTGTACTCTTCTCATCCGGAGTCTTTGTGCTTGCTCGTTCTCAGCCTCTGGTACTCGGATCAGTCGTGTTCTTTCCGTTTGTTCGTTTTTCTTTGCATCGCCTGTGGACAATCCCTCTTGCGTTTTGCATGGCCTACATGTAGATCTCTAAGGCACTTTTAGGACAAAAGATTTTGGATCCCATCCAAGTTTCATGGGTTGTACAGCAAATCCGATATCCATGAACGTGGAAGTTTTACTTGGAGAATCCTATCATTAGAAGCGCGGGGTACATAGCATGGTACTGGAGTACAATCAAGGGTAGCGCCAGTTCGAGCTGAGGCTACTTGGTAAAGTTCTCGCATCACTTGCTATCTGCAGTGTTGTATGGATAGACGGCGTAGATGGGTCACTGAAAGTTCCAGACTTGTATATACAAACGTCTATTAATCTTTCTATTGTACAAATGCCAGCAATGAGATGGTCACGTCGACATCTCAGGGCACACCAATCGTTAATAAAAGGCAATCATTTCTCATCCCTTGATTTCATGACCCATCTCCCAGAACTTAGTATTAGCATACGTCAAGCACAGTTCACCAGAGTCAGCTTGACCCTTGACCTCAGCATCCAACGGACGCTGCAGAATCGTATCCACAACACGACCCAACACAATCGTGTGATCGAACACCTCCATCTGCTGCGGGAGAAGCCTACAATCAAAAACAAATGGGAAGTCCACGATACCCCGGCTACCCACTTCCCTCCTCCGCAGCAGCGGAAGAGGCCTCTCACTCTCCTTCTCGTCCCCAGTTTGCGCATGCGCAGCAAACTCAAAATCCCCCTCCCCGTTCACAATCGACAGGTTATTATTCCCCCTCGAGAAATCCCTCGCCAGATCTGCTGTTGGTCTTGCGGGTGCCAGTAGATGCACGAGGAACCGCCCGGAGGAGAGTAGTGCATTGAGCGTTTCTGATGGCCGTTTCACGTTAAATGAGACAACTGGTTCGGGGTGTAGGGTTACCGTGCTGAAGGAGGAGACGGTCATGCCGCGGTAAGAGTGTTCGATTTGGGTGTCTTTATGGTCATGGTTGTGGGTATGCGGGTCTGTGGCTGTTATGATGGCAACCGGGTAGGGGACTCGGCGCATGAGGAGGCGGAATTGGTCTGGTAGGGAGGGTTTGGGGGTGTCAACGAGGGTTCTGCGCTGCCATTGTTGCTGCGCAGGTCGATTGAACCCGAGTACGGCGGGATGGCGGGGAAGTCTGGTGAGATATTGCGGTACTGTATATTCATCAATTAGGATCATACGATGGAAAAAGGACATGGAAAGGAAAATACCATTCAGCTGCGCAACAGAATGACCCGTTAAGAGCCCCGATCGAGATGTGAAGAGCTTCATACCGCCGGTGGTAGCGGAGGAGCTCGAAGAAGCTCAGGAAATGGCGGGTGAGTGGATACAATCACTGAAGAGACTGTGGAAGCCCTCCCAAGTCATCATGAAGACTCGAAGATAATGGCAGAAGAAGAGTCCGCTCAATTGACAACCATCGTCGTTATAGACAATAGTGGTAGTATTTGTATGACATCTGAGAGGGAAAGAAGGGGAAAAAGTCATGATACTGCTTACATAAGCTCCGTATCTTGTCCGCGAAATTTCTCGGTCCAAGACAAAGCAGACCACCACCACCGATTGACCACCGATACTCCGTGACTACTCCTTCGATCCCACCTCACGCCACCGGAAAGAGGGGGAAAAAGCAATAATGTCCCTCACAACCCCCCTCCGCCGCAGCGCGGCCACAACATCCACCATCCGAACACCCACCACCTTCATCTGCTCACAATGCCGCCATGCCACCCTCCTCCGGCGCCCCAAGCGCCCCTACACCTTCACCCAACTCGTCACTCTCTCCGACGGCAGCACCTACACGCAACGCACCACCTCCCCGCTCCCCGTCTACCGCTCCACCCGCGACACCCGCAACTCGCTGCTGTGGAACCCGTCCAGCCACAAACTCATGAACGTCGAGGAGGACGAGGCCGGACGGCTGGCTGCGTTCCGCGCGAAATTCGGCCGCAGCTGGGATGCTAATACGCCGACTGAGGAAGAGGTGAAGAAGAAGGAGGACGATGTGAAGGTTCACACTGAGGCGGCGGCGGCGCAGGCGGCCGGGGAGCAGACGTTGGAGAAGAATAATGAGGTTGCGGAGGCTGAGAAGGCACGGTTAATGGCGGAGCAGGCCAAGGAGGATCAGGAGGAGGAGGATAATTTGTTGGATTTGATTAGTTCGTTTGGGCAGGAGGAGGAGGAAGCTGGGAACAAGAAGAAATGAGCGTGAGCGTGGGGAGGTTCGGTTTACGGTTGCGAGCAATTGTACGATATTCGAGGTTGCGGACAATCGGCTTTCATACCCTGATTAGTTTTATGAGGTTGAGATTTGTGGGTTTTATTGTCTTGTTTAAATATTTGTTCGGCTGTCATGTACATGTATATGTTCCTACCTTGAGAAATTCAACCACATCGTTGAATTGGCACAAGCGTCCAGATTCTAGATACGAGTTCTCGATATGACCACCAAGGCATTACTCAGTAGTCGAGCCATCATCATCAGTACCTAACATTGAAACAACGAGTCGTGCATGTAATTGACAAACATTCGCACGATTGAGGTATAAAAACAAAGTATCAGATCTTTACATAGGACAATGCAACGCTAAGCTCCCTCGCTGGCCGTGGTCGCCTCAGCACTTGTAGCTGGTTCAGCAGCAGGTTCGTTACTAGGAGTTTGTGGTGAGAAGAGGGGATTGCCTTCATCGCCCACATCCAGTTGCAGGAGGAAGGTCTCCCAGAGCTCGATTAACTGAAAAGAAAAAGTCAGCTGGACTGAGCAGTCAATGTATATTCAAATATTTGGGGGCTCACCTCTTTTTGTGCCTCAACAGCACTTTCCAAGAACGTCTCAACACCAGACTTAAAATCCTCTACCTTCTCCTTCTCAAATCGTTGCAGTTCGTTGCGCATCAATTTACCCATGTCCTCGAACAACAGTTTTGCCTGGTGCACCTTTCGTTCCGCATCGGCCACATCCGCGTTAACTTGGTTCAAACGGTCCTGCTGCGTTTTCCCTTGCCGAAGGAGCTTCTCCTGGGTATGCCTTCGCTTTGTCATTTCTGATTCAGCTGTGTGCCAACTATGATACGATTTCTGACGTTGATTAAAAGCGGTCTTGACACTTCCAATTAAGCGGATGTATTCGTCAATTGTGATACCGAGTGTAAGAACGTCCTGCATTGCCTGTCGCTCGTACAATTCCCGGATGCGCAATTGCAAGTCCGATAGCCCATCCAGAGGAGTCGAAAGCGCTGGTGACAACTCGACAGTTGCCAAGGCATGGAGTGAGGCAGAGAAATCGCCAGCTGCTTCCGCAAGGCCTTTCCGCTGCGCAACTACCGTGTCGATAGATTTCATTAAAGACTTTAATTGGTTTTCCAATGCGTCCAGGTAGATCTTGCGATCATGGAACCACTGTGCATGAATTGTCAATGGAATGAAAGTTGAGTTTCACGACGGAGCAGCAACTTACATCGTCATGCTCGACAAACTTGGTGCCTCCGCCAACGTTAATTCCAAATGAACTGAACATGCCCTTGTTCTGACCAAGGTCCGGCTCTCGGTTCTCCTTGTTCTTGACATCGATGCTGAAGGTCTCGCTTTCTAGGAAGATCTTGAGGTCGCCATCGTGTTGTAGGATAGGGTGTGCAGCAATTTTATTGAGCATGCGCTCCAGCGCAGCTCTTCTCGACTCGACAAAGTTCGTGTCAAATCTACCGACAGCTTGCTTCTCCGGAGGCGGAGGCACAACGACACCGGGGTTATTATTATGCAGGGAATTGTAAAGCCAAAGGAAATCGCGGTATCGACGGCTGACGGCAAACTCCGGCTGCCGGTATGCTTTGGAAGTTGTCTGCAGTAATGCCAGTGTCAGCTTTGCCGCCTTTCACAGGTCTATTTCGTCCGGTTTCTTTCTCCCTACCTGGGTCCGGACTTGGTACACAATGTGACTGCCTGTCAAGTCTCCAACTTTATGCGGATCCCCCACCACAATTTCAAACGTTGGCTTAGCAGCCTCGTCTATGCTGACGCTGGGTTGTGATGGCCTCTTAGCCCCCTCTACCTCAGCCGGAGGCTGCACTGGCGGAGGGTTCCTGAAACCAGCACCATTCTCTTCCAGGGTCACCGAATCCACCATCCCAGCGAGACTGGAGGCTTGCGACGTCGACGATGTAGGACGGGCATTGCGCGCTGCGAATTCCTTTTGAGGGGGCTCAGGTGCTTGTTCGATGGGTGAAGGTCCGCTCTCGACGGCCGTATCCCCAAGCGGACCGAGTGGATCAATTCCATCACCAACGGCTTCTAGTTTCGTCGCTTGCGCATTGATTCGTCGGTTGACTCGCGGGTTCCGTCGACCTGAGGAGCTCGGACCGGTCTGCTGGGGTTGTTCTGTGCCTGGGACAATGAGACGTCAGGTTCCAGGACAGGGTCGGGCAGGAAAGATAGCCTGGGAGAAGGACATGGGAATGGTTGAGTTTGCGGGACGAACGTACTTGTTTCTTCAGTGTCAGTGTTCGATGCGCCAATGTTTGCAGTCGATTGCGAAGGGACATCTGTCATTCGCGATTGTTAGACAACGGGGAACAAACGGTGGTGCCTCCTAACTACTTACCGCCCCACGGGGAGTCTCCAGCGTCCAACTCCATATTGTCGTTGGTTTCTAGTATGATAGATAAACAAAGCGGAGTTGATTAGAGTTAAGGGACAGGCACCTGCTAAATCGAGAGGGCGCTGGTTGCTGTGGTCGAACTGTCCGGAGTAGGAGATGACGGGATCGCACGTCTGGCGTTCGGAGGAGCAACAGCGGCCGACGGATTAGGTTTCCCCCGCCAATGTAGATTGCAGAGCACTTGATATACGATGGATGGATGTTGTAATATATGACCGGAGGAAGCATCAATAAAAGAAATAAGATGCAATTACCATTAATCAAATTCAAATATAGTCCACAGCTGACTCGGTATAACGGTACGGGAGTACCTCGATATTGATACCGCAATAACCCTAGCTAGACCTGAAGTCATTGCTACTTGAGGTCTTCATTTTACGAGGATCCAATGGATTTCCAGACATACAAGGCTCATACTACTACATTTCGTATTTTCTACATCCTTGTACAATCATCAACTATCATATGCATCGTCATCATGTTCCGCATGGCAGGCCTCAACATAGCAAGCCCGATTGCCGATTAAGAAGAGTTCTTGACCCATGGGAGACCAAGCTTGTGCATCTCCACGGCCAGCTGGAAAATATAATCCAAGCTTTCGCATTGGGTCTTTGCTTTGGCAACGGTGTCTCCCCAGACATAGCTGAACCACTCATTAGCATCCTGCATATTTAATGGTATGAGATCAACGGCGGCGCTCACATTCCATGTCTTCTGACCAGAACCGCGTAGGCGTCGGGGTACCGGTCCATCGCCTTCTCCAGACTTCCTGTGAGATCCTCTTCGAAAGGAGTGTTCTCAATAATCGGGATCCGGAGGGTGTCGTGGAAGCCCAGCATACCCTTACCCCGGCCGCGAGGGATTCCCTTGATCTGTTCAATGTCGCTGATCTCGAAGCAGCCATCGGGACCCTTCTCACGCTCGACCAGCAGAGTCACCAACACGGCCCACTGCGAATGGGTGTGAATGCTGCAGAGGGCGCCGCGTTCAAACGCAGAAAGGAAAAGAGGGGTACAGTCTGACGGCTTCAACGCGAGGGGCTTGCGGATGTACTTGCGCTCGGAGGGAGGGTACTTCGGAGTGGGCCATTGTAGGACGAAGATGTTGTGAGGTTGCATCATCTCCTTTTGAACACCGGACGGAGCGATGAAGATGTGGTCATCTTGGCGAATCGATGTCTAGTGTAGACATTCAAGTCAGCCTTATGTTAATCGCAACTTCTGTCGCAGACCAAGCAAGGCGCTCAGGATCACTTACACCACCACCAGTACCAGTCACCCAGCCCCAGTTATAGAATCTCCGACAGAGATCAGGGATTTTGTTGGCTGGGTGTTCAGGGTCATCGGACTGGACCAAATGGTCGTGGTTCTCGTTCTGGATGTCGGCCATAGTGGGGGTCTCCTAGAGGGGAGGCTGGATTATATGACGAATAAGCTGATGATATCAACAATTGGGCTCCTATCACTCAAAGATACTCCAGGCAGATGATATATCCAGTAAGCCAAACGTAGAAAGATGGAGTCAAGATCGACCAAGAGCGACAGAAAAGCACCAGCGGGGAAACATTTTTTTAACGGCGCGCGGAGATAATGGATGATCGCGCAATCTACAGTAATACTCCGTACTAGTATAGAGAGCAGAAAGAGGTCAATTACCTACAGCTTTACAATGGAGGCTGTATATAAAGCGAGGCCTACAATTAAAATACTGGACCTCAATGTCCCCTTTTAATAATTGTACATAGGTTGTAGTAAGCAATAATGAGTCCAGCCGCAGCCTTTTCCGATCGAACACTGAAGAATAGCGAACTAACCTGATTGGGCAACTACCGTGGAAGAGGCCACCTTTGACCTTCTGGCTTCAATCGTCGGCTTTTATATCGCGCTCTTTCTTCCACCTTCACCTCTCCTCTCTCTTCCTCCACTTCTGTGAGCTAGTTAGCTGGCAATCTATCTTTCTCTCTTATCTAGATTGTCGCCTCTTCTTTCCTCCTCTAGGAGGGCCAATTGATCCGTGACTTTTGTTGTTTACTTGTTCTTGTAGCTACTAGCTGTCGTCCCATCATGCGTTTTAACACTGCCTTTACATCGGCGCTTGTCTCCTCGGCCTCTCTCATGGGTTATGCCCATGCTGAGGAAGCTGAGAACAAGCCCGATTCGTCGTCCGTCGCCGAGAAGCCTACTTTCACGGTATGTTGGAAGCTATATCTCTCACCCGTCGCTCGTTGCCGAGGCCATCATCTATAGTACCAAATAGCACCTGCTAACTTCTCTTTTGTAAATACAGCCGACAAACTTGGAAGCGCCGTTCCTCGAACAATTCACCGAAGGCTGGGAGTCCAGATGGATTCCTTCCCACGCCAAAAAGGAGGACTCTAAGTCGGAGGATGACTGGGCTTATGTCGGTAACTGGGCCGTCGAAGAGCCCTCCGTTTTCAAGGGAATCGAGGGCGATAAGGGTCTCGTCGTGAAGGATCCTGCCGCTCACCACGGCATCTCTGCCAAGTTCCCCAAGAAGATTGACAACAAGGGCAAGACGTTGGTGGTTCAGTATGAGGTCAAGCCGCAGAGTAAGTCTGCTCCATGGGCGAGAACGCAGAAAAGGAAGTGCTGGGACACTGACAAAGTCCTTCTATAGACTCCCTTGTCTGCGGTGGTGCCTACCTGAAACTTCTCCAGGAGAACAAGAAGCTCCACGCCGAGGAATTCTCCAACGCCTCGCCCTACGTGATCATGTTTGGTCCCGACAAGTGCGGTGCCACCAACAAGGTACGGACTGCCTACACATTGCTAGAAAGTCCCGACGAAGAGTGAGAGCTCGACACTGACTTTGCTAGGTTCACTTCATTTTCCGTCACAAGAACCCCAAGACCGGCGAGTACGAGGAGAAGCACCTCAAGGCTCCCCCGGCCGCTCGCACCTCCAAGGTCACCTCCCTCTACACCTTGATCGTCCGGCCCGACCAGTCCTTCCAGATCCTCGTTGACGGCGAGTCCATCAAGGACGGCACCCTTATTGACGACTTCAACCCCCCTGTCAACCCGGCCAAGGAGATCGACGACCCCAAGGACAAGAAGCCGGCTGACTGGGTCGATGAGTCCAAGATCCCTGACCCCGAAGCCAAGAAGCCCGAGGACTGGGATGAGGAGGCGCCCTTCGAGATCGTCGATGAGGATGCCACCATTCCCGATGACTGGTTGGAGGACGAGCCTACCAGCATTCCTGACCCCGAGGCTGAGAAGCCCGAAGACTGGGATGACGAGGAGGATGGTGACTGGATCCCTCCCACGGTCGCCAATCCCAAGTGCAACGAAGTCTCTGGATGTGGTCCCTGGTCGGCCCCTCTGAAGAAGAACCCGGCCTACAAGGGCAAGTGGAGCGCTCCTCTGATTGACAACCCGGCCTACAAGGGTCCTTGGGCTCCCCGCAAGATTGCCAACCCTGCCTACTTCGAGGACAAGACTCCCTCCAACTTTGAGCCCATGGGTGCTGTAAGTTTCCTCCCAGACTGGTCTTGACATTATTAAACATGAGACTAACGCTCGCAGATTGGTTTCGAAATCTGGACCATGCAAAATGATATCCTGTTCGACAACATCTACATTGGTCACTCCGCCGAGGATGCTGAGAAGCTCCGCAAGGAGACCTTTGATGTCAAGCGCCCTGTGGAGGCCGCTCAGGAGGAGGCCGCTAAGCCCAAGCCGGAGGAGAAGGGTGCAACTCCCAGCGTCAGCTTCAAGGAGGACCCCGTTGTTTACGTCCGTGAGAAGGTGGACTATTTTGTTGGTTTGGCCAAGCAGGACCCCGTTCACGCCATCAAGCAAGTGCCCGAGGTGGCCGGTGGCCTGGGTGCCCTTCTTTTCACGATGATCCTCATCATCGTTGGAGCCATTGGCGCCAGCAGCCCTGCTCCTGCCAGCCAGAAGGGCAAGGAAGCCGCTGGTAAGTCCAAGGAGAAGGAAGGCGAAGCTACCTCTTCCTCTGCGGACACTGGCAAGAGCGGTGCTACCAAGCGTCGGTCATAGAGATTTTAGTTCATCTTACGAAAAAAGAAAAAAAGGGGCCGATATAGCCACTGTGCAACCAGTGTTATTCTTTTCTATTACTGTTTATTTGTTCCTGAGCTTTTTTTTTTTTTTTTTTTTTTTTTTTTTCTATTTGATTCTTTATACCTTGACCTCTGGGGGTGGAAAGGTCCAGTACTTATCGGAGAAGATGTTGTCACTTTATTATGAGATATGACATTCTAGCGAGAAAGGAAGGCGATTCCGAAGGATTTGTAGAGTACTCTATAGCCAGCAATTCCACTTTTTTGCTTTGAAAGAATCAGACATGTAGTTCCGGCATCTGCTTGATTGCAGCTTATCACATTCCTGATATGAAATTAAAGGTGATTGGCTGCAATCTCCGAATGGAGCACGGAGCTTACCTAACGCTTGGAGATCCCCAACTTTTCCCCCAATCGTGCGGCCCGCAATTCCCGTCATATACTCTGTACTCCATACAGACCGAGTATATATAAGACCCCTCTGTTGTACACAACCCCCCTGCGTGACCCGATACCACCTCTGTTCATCAATTCATCCCTCTCTTCTTTCATCTGTACTCTATATATTCCCCCTACCTTTCATCATGGCCGCCCGTCGGTCTCTTGCCCAATCTCTCCCCGCTCTCCGCGCGGCGTCTCCCCGCATTGCAGCTTCCTCTGCTCGAGTTACTTCGGCTTCAGCATCACGTTTTCTGTCGAGCTTGTCCAGATCGTCTTCCGCTATGTCGTCTTCGCAAAGAATCCCTTCATCTGTCTCTTCTCCCTTGACGGCAACCCGTAGGCTCCATGCCACCGCCACTCAACTCACCCCCGCAACCACCTCCGCGGCTAGCACCGCTACTGAATACCCGACCACCCACGAGCGAATTGCCAACCCCATTGACACTGCAAATTTTCTCAATAACGAATTCGTTTCCTCCAAGGCTACGCAATGGATCGACTTGCATGACCCTGCTACAAACAACCTCATCACCCGTGTGCCCCAAAGCACTGATGAGGAGCTCCGCGCCGCCGTCGAGTCGGCCGAGAAGGCCTTCCCAACATGGCGTGCCACCAGCATCATGGCTCGGCAACAGATCATCTTCAAGTTTGTCAGCTTGATCAAGGCCAACTGGGACCGTCTTGCAGCATCCATTACCTTGGAACAGGGCAAAACTTTCCCAGATGCTAAGGGTGATGTGCTCCGTGGTCTGCAGGTGGCGGAGACCGCCTGTGGTATCACCACCCAGATTACCGGTGAGGTCTTGGAGGTCGCCAAGGACATGGAGACGAGAAGCTACCGTGAACCATTGGGCATTGTTGCAGCAATTTGCCCATTCAGTAAGTTTTGCCATCTCCCTAGGAGAACTCGTACAATCTGACCCGAGGCTAACCGCGTCGATCAGACTTCCCCGCCATGATTCCTCTTTGGTGCCTTCCCGTTGCCACTGTGACTGGTAACTGTCTAGTTATGAAGCCCTCCGAGCGGGATCCTGGAGCGGCAATGATTTTGGCCGAGCTAGCCAAGGAAGCTGGCTTCCCTCCGGGTGTGATCAACATCATCCATGGCTCTGCGAAGACAGTGGACTTCATTTTGGACGAGCCTGCCATTAAGGCTATTAGCTTTGTTGGCAGCAACCGGGCCGGTGAATACATCTACAACCGTGGCTCTGCCAATGGCAAGCGTGTCCAGGCAAACCTTGGCGCGAAGAACCATGCTGCTGTCCTTCCCGATGCCAACAAGAACCAGACTCTCAATGCTATCGTGGGAGCTGCATTTGGTGCTGCCGGTCAGCGTTGTATGGCTCTTAGTACCGCCGTCATGGTCGGTGAAACTCAGGACTGGCTGTCTGAGATGGCTGAACGGGCCAAGGCGCTGAATGTCAACGGTGGATTCGAAGAGGGGGCGGATCTCGGCCCCGTCATTAGCCCCGAGAGCCAAAAGCGGGTCGAAGAATTGATTACAAGTGCTGAGCAAGAGGGTGCGACTATTCTCCTGGATGGCCGTGGATGCAAGCCCGAGAAGTACCCCAACGGCAACTTTGTAAGTTTTTTCCATGTCTTACTGCGGATCTCTCGATATTTGTTGCTTACCTGGCCCTAGGTTGGCCCTACCATCATCACCAACGTCACCCCCGAAATGCGCTGCTACCGCGAAGAGATCTTCGGTCCCGTCCTCGTCTGCCTCAACGTCGACACTCTCGACGACGCCATCAACCTAATCAATAAGAACGAATACGGCAACGGTGCCGCTATCTTCACCCGCTCTGGCTCGACAGCCTCTCGCTTCCAGAAGGACATTGAAGCCGGTCAAGTCGGTGTCAACGTTCCGATCCCCGTCCCATTGCCGATGTTCTCTTTCACTGGTAACAAGAAGAGTATCGCTGGTGGTGGTGCGAACACCTTCTACGGCAAGCCGGGGTTGCAGTTCTACACGCAGCAGAAGACAGTGACGAGTTTGTGGAGGGCTGAGGATGCGGTTAGCACGAAGGCTCAGGTGGTTATGCCAACCAATTCATGATTTTACTCGAAATTTCTTGATTTGTCTCTTCTATCCTATCTCTTGCCTTTCAAGCATCGTGACATGAATGTTGAGTCCATTATGGTCCATTGTTATTTTATTAGATATTATCACCTTTAGGTCACCAACCCAATGTCAGGTGATATGTAATCACTCCCCACATCCGAAATAATGGGTGGTATGCATTCTGGGAAATCTCCAGACAGCATGGAAGTAAGAATGCTATTTGCACAGTGCATGCATGATTGATGATTGACCTTAGCATGATTAATTTGTAGTTGCTAAGTGAATGACATAGTTCAAATGCACGTGACCCTCTAGGCAGACTTCTGGACATCCAAAGAACGTTCTTCTTCATTGCCATTCCTTTCTTGCCATCTTAATCCCTACCAATTCTTGAGGCCGTTCGGCTGAATAAACGATCCACACATCTGGCTCTTGCCTTCTGTTGTGGCCGGCTTTCGCTAATTCGCACCTTCCCTATTTAGATAAGACGCCAAGCGAGTGACCATGATGCTCCGGAGTTTTTTCGAATGGTCCGCTTCCCGACTCTTCGGAGACACGCAAAGGCAGATTCAATCTCGAAGGGCTCTCATTATGTTTGGTCCGTGTCGCTACACAGATAGCAAAGGCAACCCGATCTGCCTCTGTTCTGCTGGGACCTATACAGTGGGACAAGACCCAGACCAGAGCGTGTGCAGAGAATGCTCCCATTCTTTAAATGAGCATGAAGACTACCATTGGTATACCCTCAACTTCGATTCGTGTATGACATCTGACGCTTAGCTAGCTCTGGAACCCCCGATCCTACCGTCGTCCTCGTTCGACCATCACACCCAACAGCCATTTCAGCCAGCACCTAGTGATCAGCCGGGCTCGGGTTACGAAATCACTCACCAGCAAGAGGTTGCTTGTCTGTCCTCGGGCAGACACTATTCGCACACTACATGGCATGTTAGAACGGTACCATGTCATACATATACGAGGAACCCCAGCGTCGGGGAAGACTACATGGCGAATCTACTTTGAGTCTTACTACCATCATTTCGGAGTATCGGTCATAGTGGTTCCAGCGTGGCACGAACTTGAGAAACCAATCCATCCCATACGACGCCTAACTGAGATCGCCGATGCTCAAGGATGTCGACTCGATCCGCTCAAATTCCGTGGCTGGGACGTGGTCGTAATTTTCGATGATGCACAGATATCATATCACGACAAACATCTATAGCTCACGTCATAAAAACCCAAAGCGGCAACTCGGATGGCCCCGGATTTGCCTCCTGTCCTCTTACGGAAGCCCTAGTACGGGTCCGGCGGATTACCCGAAAGGAGCGACTCCTGTCAAGTTTGGGCCTCAGCAGCAAGTCTCTTACCGCGTCGCGTCATTGTCCCGATAATCCCCATCTATTTTATAATCGTACCGAATATGACGATGCCGTATTTCGTCTCTCAACTGACCCCACTTTGAAGCTATCCCTCAATCGCGAGGCCCAAGACCACCTATTTGATGTGAACAATGGTAACCCCGCGGCCATCAATGCCCTTTTTCGCTATCTACATGCGGTAAGTAAAGACCTACCTAATCGTCTCTTCCTTGGGCTCATGTTCTATTTCCATAGGTATATCGCTCGAAGACACTGCACAACCAAATCAAAGAGGTGACAAAAGAACTGGTGGTCGACGCAATCAGTAACGAGCAGGAAGTATTTGATATGCTACGACCGTATGCTATTTCAAGGTCTTTTCCACAGCGAGATAAAGTATTGCCAGAAGATGCAAACGTTCTTAGGACACCCTTCAATACGGCCATGTGCCGCGTGATCTCCACAACCCTGCGATTAAGAGATGCTATGAAGACGGCTGGATACATTCTGAGACTGCTGAGGGCTCGGATGAGGGCATTATCTGCGTGCTTCCCTCCCGTATCCACGAGAAGTAAGAAAACCTCCACCTAGGATAATCGTTACCTTGCTCATACTTCAAGATACGTCGAATTTTTCCTCGGGTCCACGGATCCTAAGCCATTTCCAAAGTCACTCTATCCGACTCTGCTCGAATTCTGCGAGGCTCTAGTACGGATATTTTCTCGGTAACGACTTTCTGCCAGCGCACGAGAGCGAGTTGGTGCGGCGGCGTTGTGAAGAACTCTCGAAGCCCAGTTCCAAGATGAGGTCTACTATGCTTTCCAATAATTATTAGGGCGCGGTCACGGAATATCGAGCGAGTGGTCCCGCTCTAGTGACGGCAGGATCGACTTCATGATAACAAGCCCTAGGTGGGGAATAGAGTTGTTGAGAGACGGAGACCAACTATCTCAGCATTGTAACCGATTTGTCGATGGTGCGTACCGTCAATGGATCGACTCCGGCCATATGCAAGATTGGATTATAGTCGACTGTAGGCACACAATGCCGAAGAAATACAGTGAGTTAACACCGATCCTGTCATGGCTGCATAATATTCTTGTCTAATGCGAGAATCAGGCGTACTCGGTACTAAAATATGGCGAGTTGTGTTTGCAGACGGTTACCGTTCAGCAAAGATACTCGATCATGATAACAACGCCATTGTGGAGGATTTTACTTTGATGAACTAAATTGGGCAGGGAGTTTGTTTGAAGAGATGGTATGCGCGATAGTTCCTCTTGCGTTTGTGTTGTGGCTACTTCACGGAGACAGGGCTTGAAAGAAATGTCTATTTGAGTTACGAGAAAAATGGCAACTGAATGCCTGTGTTGTTTTTTAGAAACAGCTCTGCAGTACAATGCTGTTTCCCTGAAAACGCGATGCTCAATGGAACGAATGGCCATCTAGCATAATCCACGAGAATACCTTGCCAGAGAATGTTCGCCACCCTTGCATCCGAAGTTGACAGGAACCTTGGATCAGTGGCATCCATTTTTGCTGCAAATGAATTGATTCGAAGTGAAGACAATAAGGAGAGGATGATGGCTATTTGTATTGCTATTCATATCTTATCAAGAGTTTCGATATCTACGACCTCTTGTGGAACAGTTAGGATCAGTTAAGCAATATTTCTAATGAATTGACGGACTCTTGGAGTCCGCTATAGGTCTAGAGAAACGCTAGTCAAACTGCGACGACCTCCGGCTCGGCTTGAAATTCCTCAATCCATGATGTTGCCACTGGTCTATCACGGATAGTGATTCTTATGGTTAATATTAATCAAAGCCCCGGTCACCTTTTTAGTATATATAGCACATAAACAGAATTAGGCATCCCGGTGCTTGAGGAAGGAGTAAACAAAGCGGATCATCTGGCATTTGCCATCCTTGGCCACCACGATACGGCGGGTGTAACGACGCTCGCCTTGGACAGTTTCGAATCCCCAAACCTGTTGCACACATTAGTCACCAAAGCATAGAAAGGAAGATTGAGGGTCTAACATACCTGCTCGGCGGTCCAGCCATACCCAGCGTCCTTGCTCACAACAAAGTTCTGAATGTAGAGACCTTCTCCATCACCGTATTCTTCACCCAGAGGTTCCACCTGGAAGCCCTCAGTCTCCGACCCATCCGCCAGGATCTCACCCCTCAAGAACCGCGCAACCTTGGCATCGTCGTTGCCATTGCCAACCTTGGTGCTGACCTCCAGGTTCGGCCGCACCTTGCCATCTGCGCCCTTGGCGCCCCGGACAACGCGAGACTGGCCCTCAACGTTACCGAAGATGTGGTCGGAGTGAGGACGAGCGGTCCAGTCGGTGATACGCTTCTCGCTGGTGCCCTTAATACCGCCGGTGGCTATTTGGTCGATGTCGATGTTGATGACGGTAGGATTTGCGGACTCGGGGTATTGGTGGACCTTGAGGGTGAGGGTTGCGAGACCAATTGCTTTGCGGGTGAGCCAGCTCATTCCTTGCTATTGAAAGGGAAGACTGTCAGTGGATAGTCGTATGTAGATCATGGATATAGGTACTCACCAGAGCCAGGACCGGGTCAGCGTCGTTGGAGACGGATTTGTCCTGTCAAGACGGTTAGCTCGAAGCATCGAATAGACTCCAAGGTAAGACGGTTACATACCAAAGTCCACTCTCCGTTGAGGTTCTTGATGGTGATGTCGGCGGGGGCAGCCATGATGTGATGCGGGGTAGTTCTAGGTGTAAGAATTGAGAAGAGTATAAGAATAGAATAAAGACGTATCTAGGATAACGGAAATGTGGAGGAAGAGAAGAAGAAAGAGACGAGAAAGGCGTATTTAAGTAAGCCAGAGTAAACGAAGGGAATCACGTTCAACTGTTGTTTTCATGTGCTACTGTACCTCCGCACTTTCCTGATTGGTCCAAGTCCCGTTCCGAGCCGTGTGACACGTGCTTATGCAAGCATAGTTGACTCAGATTGTAATGCTGAGATTATGCTCACTTCCCCTTTCACGTGCCCTCCGCCAGTGTGTCTTGGTATCAACACCGCCCAGGGCACATAGCACAGCACTTTGTCTGCTGCATTTGATTGCTGCTATTCTCCTGTGGATATGGCGCTCAACAAGAAATATGCCGGTCTGCCAGATTTGGTAAGCCCCATATTTGATATGGAATGTGACTATCATTGTTGACGTACAGCTAGGACCAAGCGCCCGACATCTACGAGACCCCCGATCTGACGGACGAAGCTTCCACTATTCCGGTGAGTCACTGGCTCTCTCAATTTCAGTCTACCTTGTCTAATAAGACAGACACAAACAATCCGCACGGCCTCCGAGGCGGACGAAGATGACTCCAACTCTGATATCGACCGACAAGGTGTCAATGCGGACGAAGCACGCGCCCAATTTATGGGGGCTACGGTCGACGCCCGCGAAGTGAATTTCTCCGATAGCATAGCAGCGAGACGAAAGTCATACAAAAGCAAGAACCGCCGCCGACGGGTACGGGATGACGGTCTGGAGGAAGTGGGGGACCTGAGTGACAGTGAGGATGAGAGTCTGGAAAGAAAGCTCGCGCGATTGCGGAGGGAGGTCGAGGAATTGAAGGACGAGATGACCGCTCGACAAGAAAAGGCCGATGCTGAGACTAAGGAATCATCCGCGGAAGGACAGGAGAAGCTGGACGGCGGCGTGCAGGAGCTCAGTCGGGCGTTGGATACCCTCTATGCTTCCTCTCGCAGCGCGGCAGGACCGCACTCCGCGGCCGCAACCCTATCCCGGAAGATCGCGACAGATGCTGCCCCCGATTCCACACCGCCGCGCAGCCCAGCACCAGAGAACAAAACGGAGGCCTCGACCTCAGCATCCTCCAGTGTCCTGTCCCACGCCGCCGCCTTCGACGGCCGCCTTGCCCTCGTCGAGGCTGCAATGGGCATCTCCAGCTCCTCGAACCCCTTCGTCGCAGACGGAAACTCCGAACCCTCCCTCCAACCCGTTCTTCCTGCTATGGACCACCTCACCTCGCGCCTCTCCACCCTTACAACCCTCCTCGTCGGGCCCGCACCCGCCTCCGCCGTCCCAACCATGGGCTCCGCCCCGCCCTCCACAATCGTCTCAACACCAAACCTTGAAGCCCTGTCCACACGGGTCCGTAAACTCACTACGGATGCCGAGGTACTGGCCTCTGCGCGCAAACGTGCCCTCGACGCCGCCAAAGCTGCGCAAACGGCAAAGGTCGCTCCCGCTCCCGTCGAACCATCAGACATGTCCGTTTCCTCCTCATCAACGACAGAGGTCGACCCCGTCGCCAACCAGCGTGACGAACAAGCCACCAAGATCCAAGCCCTGTACGCTACCCTCCCCACTATCCAATCGCTGCATCCCCTCCTCCCGAGCGTTCTGGAGCGACTTCGATCCCTCCGTGCTATCCATGCGGGATCCGCGCAGGCTGCGGAATCACTTGACGAGTTGGAACGCCGCCAGGGGGAGATGAAGAAGGAAATTGAGCAGTGGCGCGAGGGGCTTAGGATGGTAGAGGAGAGAATGGGACAGGGCGAGGCTTCTATGAAGAGTAATATCGAGTTGGTTGAACCTTGGGTGAGAGATTTGGAGAAGAGATTGGATCGGATGGAGGGGAGCGGTGCATGATGTCTTAATCTCTTGGTCAATACCCCCTTTTGTGATATCCCGTTGGGTATAGTTTGAACATACGCCTTTGATGAATAAATATCCTGTTATACAAACAAACTACTCAACCCGCCTCATAATTCTGATCCTAGGCTCTATCCTCAACTCAACCCACCATCCCTTCGTGACAAACCCTCTTACCAACTCTCGTCCCTTCTCCCAAACCCCAACCGCACGTTCAACCCCAATCCCCCTCAAAACACCCTCCTCAACAGACCCCCTCGCTTCCTCACCCGGACGAAGAACCCTAACCCCAGCGAACCCGTTAACGACCTCAACATTTTCCCAACGCGAGTCTGGCCCAGAGGTGAGTCTGGACTCCTCAGGTCCGACGGCTTCGACGAGTGCGTAATCGAATTGGTCCCAGAAGGTAGAGGAGGATTTGGTGGTTTCGTCTTCGGTTTTGTCGTATTTCCATGCTACCGTGGGAGTGTTTGATGGTATTTGTAGGAAACGGGTTACACCTGTTTGGCAGGCGAGGTTACCCAGGTAGACTGAAATTTCGGATTGGGAAGAAGTCTCTGCGTGGTTCTCGTGAAGGGCGCGGAGAGCGTAAGCGCCAGGGTAGTTAGCTGCCGAAGAAGGCAGGAGGACGAAAGTTGAGATGGCGAAGGAGGCTAATGGCGAGAGGAGCATGACGAGAGATAGTAAACGGTAGATGAGAGACTTCGTCCGGTGCGTCCAGATATACGAAGCGCCCAGAGCAGCAGCAGCAGTGAGTGGCGGGATAGCGTATAGAATAAAGCGCCATTCCTTGTGCGGTTGAGAACTGAATAACGCCACGAACGCCAACGAAGGAGTGACGAGGTATGCTGTCGCTGCGCGTGTTGAGGACTGACTGAGCGCTACCGGGATACCAATGAGATAGGTGCACGGATTCAACAAAAGACGAGGGATAGCATTGGAAAAGTAAAAATGCCAGGGCTGCGTGCCCCAAGCAGATGCTTGACCCGAGACCACATTGAACTTGAACGCCGCCAACTCGGGCCAGAGAGGGAATTGCTGCCAGAAGAACGAGTCCACGGATACGGTGGAGGCTAGGCCTATGGAGAGTCCCAGGATCCCGGCGGGGATGACCTCCCGTAGCAAACTGACACGACCCGTTAAGAGAAGGAAGAGGATATGCGTCGCCAGGAAGAGAGCCAGCTCTGATCGAAAGATGATGCCAACAATTGTCAACAGACACAGGGAAAGCCGGCACCGGGTCCTGTACTTGTGACGGACACCAGGTTCCGATAGAAGATACCGCATTGCCAGAGTCGTAATCCCGAAAGCAAACATGTTGGACAATGTTCTCGAGGCATAGTAGAGAACATGGAACTGACTAGCTTGGAAGAGCAGGTACCAAATGGCCGTAGGCTGTCCAAATGCCCGCTTTATCCCGGAAGCATACGACATCAGGGCAGAAGCATTGAAGAGGCCCAGAATGGCTCGTGCTATAACCATTAGATCATCACAATCTCACAGTATCAGGAAAGAGAGTACACACCCAAAACCTGCCGGTCAACATTCTCATTTAACCATATAAACGGCCGCGACAATTCCGACAGCACCAACGCTCCGATGAACGTCCGGGGCACTGCTCCAGGGAACTTGAAGTGGTCATAATGCTCCTGGAGATAGGTCGTAGCATCCCTAAGCGACGGAATACCATAAGTCTCAATATCATGAATGGCCTGGACGTGAAACGACTCCTCGACCTTGGTATAGGGCGCAACCAAGAGATGGAGCAGGACTAGCCCCGGGATGAGGAGGAAGAGGGACAGAAATACTGCATTTATTAGCAATGATCAAAGGAGAAGCATATAGGTTATATACAAACCGATATCTCTGCTCATTGTGGATCAATCAATATGTGAGATGCATGAAAGAGAGATCATCGTCATCCCAAGGCGGAAATCAAACGCCATCTGGCACTCCGCAAACTTTCCCACTTACAACCTCACTCCTTCATCCCAGCTACACACCAACAGCAATCATGTTCTTCTTCGGGCTCGGGAAACTCGTCTACGGTACGCCATTTCTACTAATTTTCCGTTTTAGTTCCGCTAACGAAGTAATCGCGCAGTCATCATCCTCATCATCAACGCTATCGCCGTCCTCTCCGAAGACCGCTTCCTCGCTCGGAGTACGTTTCCCTTTCGCGGAAATAACACATTGTGCAAATCGCTAAATAATATACAGTTGGATGGGGCCGTTCACAACAACAAGACGCCTTTGGTGCATCCTACGATAGTACAAGCGTCAAGGCGAAGACGATTGATTTGATCGCGAGTGTCCGGACGGTGATGCGGAGTATGCCCTTTTCCGATTTCTTATGGTTCTTTTGGTCCTCTGGAGTTGCGCATGGCTAACATCAACCTTTACTGAATAGTACCCCTAATCGGAATAAACTCCGTCATCATCGTCGCCAAACTCATCTGGTGAGAATCGCCTGCGACTGATAACGACTATCCCGAATACCTCCCTCCCACCCTCTCTCGTCCACCCTTCATCTCCCTCTATCCTCGAGACCTGTGTATTATAGATACGAATGCGAAAACATCGAGAACTTGCCGGACATACTTATCTCCTTGACATGACGATTCCTACTCCCTCGCTTCCGGTTGCGCACTTTCGACTGCGCTATACGCTGGGCCGACAAAGGCATACCACGCACCCCTCATACTGAAGGGTACAGGGGTACCACTGCTGGGATGGATAGCAGTGAAGGGAAGGATATGATTCCTGCATACGGAGCATAACTCAAGTATCGGCCAATACTTCGATTCTAGAATATAGCGGACAACACAAAATAATAATGGCTCTATTCTCTATTTACAATACACCGAGGCATAGAATGCACATATGTGGAATAATAATGAAAAGCCATGGTTCGCGCACAAAGAAACGCTTGTAAATCAGGGAAGCAGTAGAAATAGTCGGCTTTTCCTGTGTTTCTTCCCAGTACATGTGCTGTTCATCCCATTGAAATAAAAAAGAAAAGATAATCTAGTTGCTAATCCAGAAGACCCCTTTCAGCATACAACAACAGCTGAAATAACAAAGAATCCAGTGAACTCCTTGTGTGCGCCAATGAAATGTGACCCAGACCCAGGCTTGGATATCACAGGATCGATGAGTGAAAACAAGCTAATAAAAAAAAAGAGAAAATACCCCACATCTAGCCAGGGGATAAGAAGACTGCCATGAAATGGAAGGCAGGAAAAGAATTGGTGGTACATTGAAAATATGTGCGAGCAAAATCTCGAGGATATGTGCAGTCGAAGAGAATCCGTATAGAAACGGTTTTTTTAAAAAAAAAAAAAAAAAAAAAAAAAAAGAAGAAAAAAGACGATGAAAAGAAAAAGGAAAAGAGAAAGCCTTAGAGCATCTTCCGGAAACTAAAGCTTCTCCATTTTCCGTGTTTGTGTTCTTTGGGAGCGTTAGTCCCAGAATTGTGGTTGAGTAACGGCCGTTCAGGCAGTTCGCTTTTGCGTGGAGGTGAAACACCAGCAGAGGCCATATGCTCATTGATAGGTGTCCGGGGAAGATCCGAAGTCGATGTGCGAGAATCCTTGTCCATGCCGAAGCGGTGGCTGAGACTCTTACTGCTTCGCCTAAAGCGATGGAAACCGTGGTGGTGTGTTTTCTTCGGGGAGTCAACATTGCCATTATCTGAGACATTGCGTCGATCTTCCTCGGGCCTGGATGGCTTGCTTGTGTCGATAGTGGGCTTTGGAGCACTTTCATGTCGGTGCTCACGGTGCTCGCGGTGTTCGCGGGCGTTTGAAACTCGCCGTTGTTTTTCACTCTTCTCTCTTTCCTTTTCAGCAATCTTTCGTTCCTTCTCTTCTCGAGCACGGTCTTTCTTGGACTGTACATCGCTCTTCTTCGGACTCAGGGGCATAGTATGAGCTGCAGGTATGGGTGGCACAGGCGGCGGTGTGTGAACGGTTGGGGTCCGTGGAGAGGTAATGTCAGGCTCCGTGCGCTCTATTTGAGTGGAAAGCCGAGGTGCAGTAGGCGGCCGGGAAAAGCCATTGGGGCGAATAAACTCGGATGATGGTGACGAGAGCTGCGATATGCTCTGGAAATGGTTTAAGCTAGGAGATGGCGGGACACCATTCTGCTGCTTCTCGTTCGGAATCGGGATATCCATACTGGCTGCCAAATCCTCCTGCTCTTGTTCCTTCAGAACCGCTTCCATAGTGGTCTCTTGGTAAAATAGGACGTAGGCGCAGGCCAAGCCAGGTTTGTCCCCGAAGAAGTTGCGAACGTAGTTCTTATCCACCGGTTCCACCATCTCATCGTCAAAGAGCAACCAACCGCGGTCTTCCGTCTTCACAATCGACACGTAATGGCCATGATAGGGTCCTCCGCCAATGTGTACCACCACAGCGTATAACTCGTAGAGACGGTCCGGATCCTCGGCATCGTCTGTCGTGTTAAAGAGGCGTAGGTGATACGGGTACACGACACGGTGAAACAATTTCTGCAGCCGTTGGAGATCCTCGGTATACTTGAAGCGCTTAAGATGCAAGGCCAGTATCCGCGGTAGTCGCTTGATTTTCATTCTCTTCTCCGCCTCTTGAAGCCCTCCACAGTTGTCGCAGTGAAACTTGTTCCTCTCGCACAGCATCTCTTCCGCGGAGAACTTCCTCAAACACGAGGTCACGGAAGAGTGCTGCTCGAGATCAACAGACAGATCCAAGAAGATCTCATCGCGCTGGGAGACCTTTTCGCAGGTGAGACACTCAGTTTCTGATGTCAGTGTCCCCTCAAATAGCTCATGTACCCACCGCGTGGTATTCGGCGTTTTGGAGCCTGAGCTGTTGGTCAGGTCAAATGAATCCGCACTCTCTGTGAGCGGGAGGCTCTTGGGAGGAGGGGGTTGTTTTAAAGCTTCCGTTTCGACATTCGCGACGACTTCATTGAGTAGAAGATTCAGAAATTCGTGGGCGTCTTGGTGCATGGCGGTCCGAAACATCTCATGTTCACGCCTGAGAACGTCCAAAAACTGCTGCGGTCGTGTGATCCCTATTCGTGACTTGCTTCCCACCAGAGATTCAAAGATATCCTTCAACGCCGTAAACAATGATTCCGACATGCCATAACTGTTGGAATTGTTCTGAGTTTCTAGGAGTGGCAGGGTCTGTAAAGCGACTTTCTTCTTGTATTCGGGCGACTCCTTGTCTTCGGGCTTCTGAGGTTGGTTTGGTGGCGCGCCAATACGCTGAGGGTTCGCAGCTTTCTCTCTTTGGGCTTGCGCTTCGGCTTCTAAATAAGCGTTGGGATCTTGAAAACGGAGAGATTTTTCCAGCGCGGCCTCCAGGCTCTCGATCGGTGTTCGCGTGGGATAGTTGAGAACGGCTTCTCGGAAGGGAACGGAAAAGAAGAGGCATTGTAAAATCGAGTTGCAGTAACTGTTTCGAAGCAATGTATTAGCTTTTTGGTTTTTGATTTCCTTTTGATTTGGTTGGTTGCCAAGTGTGATGCAGGCACGAATCCGCTTACCAGGTGCTACCGTACTAAGAGCAAGGATCATGTTAGCCAACATAAACGCATGAAACGTGGGAATGTGTAGCACTCACGTTTTCCATTCCGAAAAACTTATCGCTACCATCGTTCCGAATCGGACCCATTCCCTGCAGCTTCTTCTCCAGCGGACTCATCGGAGGTGCTTGAGGCTCTTTCTTTGCGGGAGACGCCCCGCTCGAAGAGGCGGAAGACCCCTACAGATAGTGGCGTTAGCATTTATACCATCTAATTTAATTGTATTCCTCTCTTTTGTTCTGCTAGGAACAACCGAGCGGTCAAAACCTACCGCATTACCCCGGAAGCTCTTGAAAAACGAGCCCATTATGGCACCAAAATTCTTAATCGATAGTATATAGCTTCATCTGGCAGCGACTGAGGAGATGGTGACTAGGCCCGGATGTTGGCGACAAGAGAGAAGACACGACGCGCAAACGGCTAACGGATGCGATACGAATGGGGCGGCGCGCAGTTGGGCCAAAAAAGGAAGGGTGCGTGCGCAGGCAGTAATGCGGAGGCTATTAATCGTAGGTATCGAGTACAATGACCGACACGCTGGTTCCAAAAAATCCTTGGATACACAGCGAAAAAAAGCGTGGAACGATGGATGGCCAGAGGCGAAAGAACGGGAGATACGGCGGAACCAGGCTGAGGAGGAACTAGGAGAGGGTAGATGGACGAACAGGGAATTGAGAGAGGATTCGGAGGAGGACCGGAAGAAAAGAGTGTCGAATAGAAGGGGGGAATTAGGATATTAAAATGTAGAAAAAAGAAAGAAAGAAGAGGAAGAGGAAAGGGAAATAAGCTGGGGAAGAGGAGTTGAAGGAGAGCGAGAGAGCGTAGCGAAAGAGGAAAAAAGCGTTCTGTAAGCCGAATCGCTATGACGGAGAGAGCGGGTTGCGCGGGCCCGAGCGATTAGTATTCTTTGGAGATCTGAGTAATCAAATATGTTTTATACCATTCATCAAAGGAAAAGAGAAAGATTCTACCATTTCTCTCGCACTTTGGGTACCAAATATGCCATTAGAAAAGAACGGATGTACCGTTTACTTTTACTGTGTCTGTACTGTACGTACCATACAAGGTTGTAAGGTGGGCCCGTCTGGATTAGGATCCGGCCACCGCAGTGGGGTGTATACTTTTACATATCGTTACGTATTAATACCTGAGGAATCAATATTCGACTCCAGATTATATCTGATTCTGGAAGATGTCGGGACTTGTACTTGTATATCTTTTGTACTCTGGATAAAGATAAGCTTACTTGAGATCATCTTGCCGTCTCAGCCAGAGTTGCATTGGCATGGCCGCATCTGGCCGGGTTGGTTACTCACAGAACTATGAGTGATTTAAATTAAATGTATGTAGTCGGAGGAGGCCGACTCGATATCTTGGACTGCTGTAAAGTAAGAATGGCATGACCAGTTTCTTACTTCCACATCTTGAGAGCTGGTCACCAGGCTACCCCTCTTGCTGCCATATTCTATGGAGTGCTCATATTAAAGGACCTTACTCCTCTATGGACACCTACTAGAATAATCCAGAGTCTAGATATCTGCACAAAATACAAAGACATTCGCATGAAAATTCATGCTATGGACTGGGGGTAGGCGCAACTGCATTTAGTCATTGACTATTGCAAATGGAAAACAGGCGAATTGGGCAAAGACAGATGGAAACGGAACCCCAGATTTACCGTCAATCCGGTCATTACCATCAAATCAACCAGACCATAGTGGGAACTGCGTCAAAAGGAATGCAGATTCTTACCCAGTCCTTACCTCCTCCTAAGTTGGATCGGACCAATGACGCCAGTGATAATATTACAACGGTCGCCACGCAACTTGTGTTGCCGTTCGAAAAGTCGTATGTAGTAGACCCTGATAGAAACTTCTTGTGAGCGTCCAGTCAAGTATTGATGATTGAGGATAGTTGTGACTTCTTCTCTGTACAGTATCAAAACCTCAGGCAACGGTATCACCACCACGTGGACTCCAGGATAAGCAACCAATCGTAGAATTCCTCTTGCCCCACAGGAGGCTATCGTCGAACGAACTTGTCTCGCAGGCTTCTCTAGACTTAGCAACTTATGTTACAGAATATGCATGCGCCCTGCTTGGTGCATTTCCCAATCCAATCGCTTACATCTGCATCTCGTTTAGTATGCTATAAAAATCTCCTTACTTTCAATTCTGTATTATAATCTTACATTGCATACACTGGTTGAGAATCACCGGTCAATACAAGAAAAAAGAGACAGAAAAGAGTCCCTTGGAACACCCCATACCAGCATGATTGGCCCTGTCAACAAGCGACCCATTCCCACCGGCCGTATCGGCGTTAAGGTTCCCCGCCATTTCCCCCACAGCTACTTCGAGCACTGCATATGATTGGCTCTTATCAACAGAACAGGCCCCCACATGCAGCCACTAGTACGAGACTTGTATGCGCTAGTATCCAGTACCTTTAACTGACACTCCCCCCACGGGAAAACCGGTGGTTTCCAAGAATAATTAGCTGTTAGCGGTATGTCTGTATTACCGTTACCGTACATACGCTCCCAAAACTGGCTCGGGAATTTCGGAGTGTATCTCACCCGACAAAGTATATTGTGGTAATGCTAGTGCCAGAACCTTCTGTTCTGTGGAGGAAATGTTTTGAGTTCTGACACTGCCGCAGATTCAGTGCTGTGCTTGGACCTCGCAATCCAACAGTCCCCGGATTTCATCCGCTGCTACATCATTGCTTCTCGTCTACAGTCACAAAGGGTGAGGGGTAACATGACCAGTACATATAAGCCATGTTGAAGAAGAGCTTAATCGTGAATAATATATACTAGGGGCATGCAATTGGCCGACCGGACAAACGCACAATGATGATAATTGAGCAGCCCCCCGATATCAGCTGGATGACAGAATGACAGCTAGACTTGAGATTCAAGGGTCGCAACATTGATAGCTTCTCTTCTTCACTTTGCTGGCTCGTATTCGTTCTTCGAGGTGGTCCTGCGATCAGGAGTATAAATTTCCGGATGAATCCTCCTTTCAAGACCGCCCGATGTGGTGGTCATCGCACGCATTCCACGCCAATTGAGCTCGATGTTATCTGATTGCACCCACCCACGAACCTGTCATTTATCCGTTGTCTTGACCGACGACAGAACCCACTTTCAAACATCAGGTCGATGATGCATTCATCGATAAGCCAAGGGCATCCCAGCACTTTATAAAAGATGAATCATAGACAGATATCGGATGTCCCAATATAAAAGCCATTATCGTACAACGGGGTCAGCTAAATACTGTGTTAACTCAGAAACATAGGAATTTAGCGCCGGTTGAGGACACTTGGAATGTATAGGCATGTATTCAAGACCACTGTCGTTTCTTCAGGTATGAATTCAGCTTGTAGCCAGCCCTCACAGTAGCAGATGTAAACTGTTTTGTCAGTTTAATAGAAGTATTCATTTTCATCTATGCAAAAGAACATCAACATCGTTCGGATTCCTTTGTAGGGATCTTGGACAGATGGTATTTGGAAGTGCTCAGTGTTCGCTATCAATTTCGATGAATAGCTTGATTTGAAGCTAATGCTCACTCCTCAAGATGTTAGCGTGATTGTCACGCCGGTATCAATAGTGACACTGGTATAGACCGTTGACACTAAATCAACATTCTCTGTTGGTCATATCCTATATCGTAGCCATATAATAGAGATCTCTAACAGCTCAAAAGTGCAGGATCGTATGTCTTAGTATTCAGTTGTACAGGATATACGTTCACTCGAGCAGTGAATGGATATGGCTGGCTATAGTACAGTAGCTGCGCCACATATATGATACAGCCACACCATCAATTATCTTAGGGCTGTGGCTAGGCCTGCATTACCTCGGAACGGAGAAATAAGCCCGATGTGGTAGCCATAATCAAGAAAAACAGCAGCAAGGGAGTCACGGCTTGACTCATGAGATTGCGCACATCCTATCTATTTATTCTACCAATTGCATCCGATCGAGTGGATGAAGACCTCGCTATCCTCTAATCTTCTGCGCCCTGCTCAACGAGCCGTTTATCGCTGTTCCCTGATTAGAACCAGCCCAGCAGCAACCGTCATCGGCCAGAGAAAGAATATTCACCCCACCAGGATCCCCCACCACAACCACTACCGCCCCTCCTGTAACCAACCCCCCTGTCGCTACTACTCTTCGGAAAAGCCTTCGTTAGACACCATGCCGAAGGATAACAAGAACACGTTCAACCTCAAGACCCCCAAGGGTACGAAGGATTGGTCGGGCTCCGACGCCCTCCTCCGCGATCGCATCTTCAACACCATCGCCGATATCTTCAAGCGTCACGGCGGAACAGCCCTCGATACACCCGTTTTCGAACTGCGCGAGATTCTGGCCGGAAAATATGGCGAGGACTCGAAACTTATCTACGACCTCCAGGACCAGGGTGGAGAGATCTGCTCGCTTCGATATGACTTGACCGTCCCCTTTGCCCGGTGGCTCGCCATGAACCCCGACGTCCGCAGCATCAAGCGTTACCACATCGCCAAGGTCTACCGTCGGGATCAGCCCGCTGTCAGCAAGGGTCGGATGCGCGAGTTCTACCAGTGTGATTTCGATATTGCCGGTTCCTTCGATGCCATGGTTCCGGATGCGGAGGTTCTGAAGATCGTCACCGAGGTGTTTGAGGGACTTGGCTGGCAGGGACGCTACAGCATCAAGACCAACCACCGCAAGATCCTCGATGGAGTTTTCGAGGTCTGCGGAGTGCCATCGGACAAGATCCGCCCTATCTCGAGTGCTGTCGACAAGTTGGACAAGATGCCCTGGGCTGACGTTCGCAAGGAAATGGTCGAGGAGAAGGGTCTTGACGGTGCAGTGGCAGACAAGATTGAGACCTACGTGGTCCGGAGAGGAGGACGGGAATTGCTTAACGACTTGCTCAAGGACGAAGCCCTGACTGCAAACGAGTCCGCCAAGGCCGGTCTGGAGGAAATGACCAATCTGATGGACTACCTCGAGGCCTTTGGCGTCCTCGACCGCATCTCCTTTGACATGTCTCTTGCCCGTGGTCTCGACTACTACACCGGTGTGATCTACGAAGTCGTCACGGAAGGCTCCGCCCCAGCCGTCCAGCAGTCCTCCCTCCCAACATCATCCTCGGAAGCCCCCGAAGCCCAAAAACTGCAAAAGTCCGGCAAGAAGGACAAGTCCAAGTCCGGCAACCTTGAGGACGATGACCGCTCCAATGACCCCACATTGGGTGTCGGTAGTGTTGCTGCCGGTGGCCGCTACGACAACCTGGTCGGCATGTTCCAGCCAAAGGCCAACATCCCCTGTGTCGGTGTGTCGTTCGGTGTTGACCGTATCTTCTCCATCACCAAGGCCCGCATTGAGCGCGAACAGCGCGCCGAGGCCCTGCGCAGCAGCGAGGTGGATGTCTATGTGATGGCCTTTGGCGGTAAGGGCTTCACCGGTATGCTGAAGGAGCGTATGGACGTTTGCAAGACCCTGTGGAACGCTGATATTAAGGTATGTCTCTTTTAACCTCCCATTGAAACAGCAAGAGGGCACCAATACTAACAATACCAGGCCGAATTCTCCTACAAAGTCAAGCCCAAGCTCCCCCAACAATTCAAGGCCGCCGAACAAGGCGGTATCCCCTTCGCTATCATCCTGGGCCAAGATGAACTCGCCAACGGCAAAGTTCGTGTCAAGGAGATGGGTCTCGAGGAAGGACACCCCGAGAAGGAAGGTGTGTTGGTGGACCTCTCCTCGCTGGTCGATGAGGTAAAGGCTCGTCTTGCGCGGAAGAGTCAGTCGAATGTGGATGCCCTTGCGCAGCAGCTGGAGGGCACTAAGACAGAGGATGCTGGTGTTTAATGGCTTGACAAAAATGAAGGCATGAAAATAAAAGTTTCAATACCCGGTTTAGATTGCATTTAGCTCGGTGAATACGATTGCATGAAGTTACAGATACATTTGTTTTTCACTATTGTACAGTAATATCAACTCTCTGCGTTGCGCATCAAGAACGCCTTAACGAAGGGCAACCGCTCAATAGCCTCTACGCCGAGGCTACGAGCCCAAGTGACAGGTCCTTGTCCCGGCACATTATACAATTTATGCAGCATATCACACACGCCCCCAATCTTAGCGTTAATACCGTACCTCTCCGCGCTATACCGCTCCAGCGTGAGGATATCACCCATGTCCATGCCGTGGGTAACCGCGTATTCAATGGTATTCGACAATGACGCCACATCGCCAAGACCGAGGTTGAGACCCTGGCCGGCCAACGGGTGCACGACGTGCGCTGCATCACCAACCAGCGCAACCCGCGGCGACACGTAGGTGGAGGCGTGACGGAAGCGGAGCGGGAAAGACGCGATGCTGCCTTCTTGGACGCCTGTGGCCATAGGAGGGATGTGGGATGGAAGCGGGGTGTGCTGGAGACGCCAGACGAGTTCGCTCTCGTGCAGGTTCTCTGTGTCTGCGACAGAGGTGGAGGGTGGGCGCTCCATGCGCATCATGTATTTCAGGTCTGCCATTTCGAGACGGAAGGCGGCGTTTACCATGGCGATGAAGGCCTTGGGGGCGAGGGACTTGAGGTACGCTGCGTTTTCGGGGGTGGTTGACCACACCAGCGTTGCGTGGTTGTTTGGCAGCGGTAGAAGGGCAATTGGGCCTCCAAGTGACGGCAGGAAACGTTGGAATGCCGTTCTCGTGCCCAGTGGGAATGGAGCAGGGGCTGGGTCTGACAGGGCTAACGTTGCAACCACGCCCTGTCGGCCGTAGTCCCAACCATCCGTGTTGATATCTGCGAAGCGACGGACAGGGCTGTTGATGCCATCTGCGCCCACAAGAAGTCTGGCCGCAATCCGTGATGGCTTTTGCTGCTGTTGCTGCTGTTGCTGTTGGGTTGGGGAGATGGAGAGGACGGGCCAAGCCGACAGATTAGGCCCATCGGGATGGTAGTTTGTACCGTTTTCGATGGACGAGACGGTCGAATTGGCGAAGATGGACAGGTTCTCGTCCCCAGACGCCTCGATCCGCGAGAGTAGCGAACGGACCAGGTTAGCGTTCTCTGTCATCGTCGCAACAGTGCGGAGATCTTCAAACGGCGATGTCTCCATCGACCAATCGAACGATAACCGCGACCCTGTTTCGCCATCCCACACCTTCATTTCCTGATAGTTCTGTGCGCGGGTGGCATCCAAGTAGTCCCACGCACCAATCCGCTGCAGGAAAGACACAGACGATGGTGTCAAGCTGCTAACCCGGTTGGAGAACTCGTGCGGTGCGGAATTCCACGCGCGGGCCTTGCGGAGGTCCTGGGTTTCGACGAGGGCTACCCGGAGTTTCGAGGTCGCAGGCGATGCCCCTAGATGCCGCAGTCAGTATCCATAAATTAGTAAAAAGACAATCAAGCATACGCAGCGCCGCCAATAACCCCAGACCTGCAGGGCCTCCTCCGACACAAACAACATCGTAGATCTCGGGGGCTTGGTCGGGTTTCGAGGCGAAGCCCCTTCTCTGTACGGCAAATGCCCCAGGTCGGCACGGGGAGCGGACGCACAAACGAAGCGCTGAACAAGCAACGGGACGCATCGCGATGGTACGTTTGTCTGCGACGATTCAGAAGGGTTGTTAATTAAAACGTCCAAACCGGCAAAAATCCTACCGCCTTGCTTGAAGACGACTTTTCGGTTGCCCTCACTGGTCGGTATAGGTATCATTGTGACTCTGCATACAGAGTACTAATAGTACGATTGTCCGTTGTCCTTTCTTTTCCTTTCTTTCATCCTTACTCTGATTCACTTTTTGAACTCTTTCTTTCTGATATTGTGTAATTGATGACTCGGTTAGCGGGGTGCCAGAAACGGCTCCCTGCATCATTTTATGAGCAAGAGCTAACGTACATCCCGCCCTTGTAGCAAGCCCCATAGCACTCCGGAAGACAGACCATCACGCCGGTGGCTCAAATTCTACTCTGTGCTGACTCTAAGGAACAAGAGTCCGAGATACTTACAGACAATTTTGATTGTGACAATGGCGTTAGCCTTGACTGGTACTCAGTATGTTAAAGATCCGAAGTTGCCATGCTCTCTACAGTAGTCACTGATGCAGAAACCAGTCTTATTTATAATCGATCACTTTCGAAAAGATGTACCAGCAGAGGCCTGTCGACGTTTTGATTCCATACATACACCATCCCGAGACAATGCTCGTGGACGAGGATGACAATTCTCCATTGTCCGATCTGGGCCCATCTGCCAATTATGATCTTTTCACTTCCAAGAATCCTGATATCGGTAATCCTATTGCTTCCGTATCGCCGGTAATCAGTTATCACGCCGCTGATTTGCATTCAGCTGAAATCCGTAATGCATTACGGGGTAATGGTCAAGCTGGCATGGAAGCAGTCGACGATGGGGGTCTTGATCCTGTTCTCGATGCTGAAGAGTATTACGACGAGTTGGACGAACTGGCGCTCAAAATAGCCAAAATATGTAATTTGGACATAATCGTTGCGGGACTACCGAACCCCTCCTTGACGGAGTGTCTTATGCTTCTTTGGGGTTGCAGGGACACCTTAGAGAAACTCCAACACGAACACTTCTGCGGTAGCTTCTTTAACATGTTTGTCGAGGATGAAGGACGTGGTGTAGCGGACACAGTCTACATCTCCACCGTGGAGATCAACTCTCTTATTCGGTACATCCAAGAGCAGGTACCTGATAGCAAAAATGAGCTGAACAGAATCTTGGTGTGTCTCGGCCAGAAAATGCGCTTCCCCGCAGAAAATGCGCTCGAATCTATTTGCAAGGCTTTAGCGCTTGGGTTGGTCTCCTTCGCTGTCTCTCACGTCAACCGCTTCGATGTCGAAACGTTCCGTAAAGAAATCGGCACCTTCAATATGGGCTCATGTGCTACTTTTGCACTCCGAGAGCTAGCTTGTCTAGGTGATTTTGTCTGTGGGCCTGTCTGAGTCTAAGGGCGTAACACTTCCACGGCGAAGCTGAAGATTTCGATGGACGTGGACGATTTCAGTTTCCTATGGGGGCCTATTTGGTTAGTCGACTCGATGATTAGAACGGAAAGGGGGTTCATCGTGGCAGTAGAGCCAAGTAACAATTGCAAGAAGGAAGAAATTGAATGCCATTTTGGCACCGAAATTCCTCACTGTCACATTCGGAAAACCTTATCTGCCACATCCAGGATATTAATCGGAAGCAACCATCATATCTACACAGTCAATCGAGACTGCCTTACGACCGTTGAAAGCGTCGAAGACTGGGTGGCTAGTGAGCTGCAATTACTGGGTACGTCTGCCTCGGGATACGATTCCGGTGGGTACACGCTCGGAGCAAATGCCGGTAAGTACGCCACGGCGACTCTCAACAAGAGCTGGAAAAAGAGGCCCGGCCGAACCCAGAAGGATGTACTGTTCGACCCATTCAAACTTGACTCAACAGACTCACTCCCGCATTTAAAGCTCAAAGTGGGTTTGGAGGTTTCGATTTGTACTGGGAATGCTACCCGTACGACATTGTGGGACGCATTGTGTCTGTCTTTTATCGATACAACAAAGACGGGTTGGTGCTGTGCAATCATCCCATCGGGGATGTTGATTGTGTGGCTAGTTGCTGGGACCGATAAGTTGAAAACTCGTCTAACACTGTTTATTCGAGGCCTCGTGTCTTGGATAGGCGATCTTTACGAAAGAAGGCTGTGGAGGCTCTTACGCTACTGTCAGATACGGGTGTTGGTCCAGATGGTGTTCTACGGGTATGGTGGCCATACTCGGATAAACAGTTCGTCTACGAAATCCAAAAAAGACGAGTCCGTGGTCACGCATGTTGAAAGATACTCACATGAGGTCGACTTGGGCCGTTGGGTCTATGAAATGTCTGGGATTTCAGATGGATGACATTTTTGCAAAGAAATGTCAAGACAAAGAAACTACAAACACCGCGCTTTCGACTACGGTTCTTGTCAAGGAAGATCTGTCCAGGTGATAATATGGGACAGTTGGTCAGCTTACTAGCACATCAATACGGAATCTTTGCCCACAGATCATACATACTTTACTTGCTGTTATACTTGAGCACCGTTCCATAAACCTTCGATTCTCACCGCTCGCCCTTGCTCGATGTTGCGAACCGATTGACCTTTCATTCGGTAGAAGAACCAAACGAGCCGGAACCATCTTCTTCCCTGTCGATCACGCTCACTATTCTTATGACCCTCATGATTTATGCCCTTCTAATGTCTTCATGTTGTTGAGCAACGTTAGACAACGTGTACTGATTAATGAAGATAATCTGTATAACACTATGATAGTGCAGACAGTCTAATTGCGTGATCCAAATCCAATGAAAATATTTTATTCTGCATGAACCAAGACCGTCCCCTGACAGCCTATCCGCTTTAGAAGGGGTGTCCCTGCACGAGCCTCCGGTATAATAAGAGATGCGTGGTTTTCCTTAGTCGACCTAACCGTAGTAGAGAAGATGCGCAACCGAAAGCGAAGAAGTAGGATTGCTCTCGCCGACTCTCCTGTTTCCAAAATCGACAGACTGTCTTGTCTTGCTTCAGGGGTGCAGGGATCCGTTATACAACCTACGGATTGCAGAGTTTTATTCAAACTACGATATTTCCTGGGCACTCCTTGGCGCTAAGGGCAAGATCCAAAGCTTTCGCAGATATCAGCAGGGAACTAACAATACTCCGTACAAAAACCTCAGATACCCCAAAAAGGAAAATGCAACAATACCCCAAACGCCCGGGATAGCCGTTCTCGGCTTGATTGCTACCAAACTTGGCCCTATATTTATACCCGCATCCAAAACTCCGCCACAATCACGGGGATCCTTGCAGCGGCAACAATCAACAGGCACACAATGATGTTAAAGAACTGAATTGTGTTTCAGGCTAGACCTGCATACCGGAGTCCGGGTACATATCTTGCAGTGTGGCTTTGCGGGCTCGCCTCACCCTGTACAATGCAATCAATGTATGTACAGCCTCCATACCGGACGGGGGTGGTTTCATTTCTCATCTCATCTCAGCCTTGCCGGTGCCAGCGCCATCTTGTCAGGTTCGAAAAGGCAAAAAAAAAAAGGAGAATAATGGAGTGTGATTATATGGTTGCCTACGGAGTACATAAGTGTGGGATTTTCACGCTGCGAGCGAAGTGCGAAATCCAGGGTCTTTTCTATTCGTGATTCCGGATACCCCTCCCCAGGGGTAATAATACATACCCTTTGGTTATGGCTCCCTCTACCGGTAATTCATCATCAGCAGCTACGTCGAAATCAAAACCTCAATCGAAATCCAAGTCGAAAAAAGAAGATAATGAACCGCCCCTCAGCGCCAACTTCGCCCGATCCTCCTCGTCCATGATCGGCTATGACCACGAAGTCTATCTCCAGTTAATAGCTGGAGGGAAATCTTCTACAAAGACAGCTAATCAGGTCTATCGTGAGGTGTGTGTTCTATTTTTATATGATGACTTGAGAAAATGGTGGTTAATTGGTCAGGAACGGACAAGGCATCTCACCACTCGGGCGTTGGACCCGGCTATCCTAGATCCCCGGGGGGATCCCAGTTCGGTGGATTTTGAATGTGCTGAGTATCAGCGGAAGAAGGATCGGCTTCAATAGATTAGTGGACTGTTGGGTTGGTCTCATGTTCCGATAGGCCGGTGTCATGGTGTAGTCTTGTCCTACGACTAAGATCGTCTAATACGTAGGATGATCAAAAGTTGATATGTACTGGGTATGGAAATTGTCTGAAATAAACCATAGTATATCGTCATTACAGCCATTGATGTCAAGCAAATAATTTTTCAATCCACCAAGAAGCAATCGTAAATATCAGATTAGCAAAGAGAAATGCAAGAGTCAACCTCCCTCTCAACTACCGCTCTGTATTATCCTCCGTTCTCTCGGGATTCCCCTCTACCTCATCCTCCATATCAGCGACAAATCGCTCCCACGTGTTGATAGCCCCCTGATAAAAGTCGATGTGCTTGGCAGCAAACTCCCCCAGCGTATCCCGGAACTCAGCCGCCTTGATCCGCTCAAAGTCCGCCACCTCCCGCACGACCTCCTCATCGAACATCTCCGATGTCGTCTTAGCAGAGTCTACTTCGCGTGTAAGTTCGTCAATGCGCAACTCCAACTTGCGCACTCGTTCCCGTCGTGACTGCTCATGGTCGACGCCGCGCATGTCTTCCATCTTGGACCGGATGAAGGAGGCCGGGGAGGAGGTGAGTGGGTTGGAGGCGTAGTAGGAGGATGGGTTGGCGGCCAGCGAGTCCCGCTCGGCGACCGCTTTGTTGCGGTAGTCGACCAAGGCTTCAAAATCGAGTTGTTTTTGCTCCCGGGTCTTCAGCAGGTTTTTGACAGAGGTGATGTAGGAGTCCATGTCTCGTAAGGAACCTAGGTAGTTTTGATCCGTATGGTCTTTGAGCGTTTTGAGTCCCCGCCCCGTCTCCTCCACTGAAGCTGCGAAGATCTGTAACGGAACCTCGACGTTCGGCTCGAGACTGACCAAGCTGCGGAACTGCATAGCTAATTCGTTGTAGTCGGTTTCCAGATCCGTCTCGCGACGGGCCACCCGAGCCACGATCTTCTCGACATGGTTGAGATCCTCATCCAACTTGTCCGCCTTCTCCCGGACCTCAATGAACCGACGATCCGGCTTGTGCACCTTCGTGAATGCGTTGACAAAGGTATCCGTAAAGTTATCAAAGATCCCCGCTCCCCCGGCAGTCTCCGATGAACCCTGGGAAATGCGCGATGATCGCAGTCGCATATGCGCATTCCAGTCCGGCGATTCCAAGAATATCGTCAATATGGGTGCTCGACGGAAAACAGGATGCAGTGTCAGGCGTTTGAGGAATCGATGCAGGGACCAAGCACGCCGGGTGGTGAATTCAGGTCCGAACCTGTCTCCCCGCACGTACTCCATCTTGTGCTTATCAGGCAACGGCGGAACCGCGCAGGCAGGGTACTCTCGATAAAGCGTCTTGTATAGGAAGTAGAAGTCGGTGAATCGTCTGCGCACGAAGAATTCCGGTTTCTGGAAGGATTTAAAGTCGGTCTGTACACGGTAATCTCGTCGGTACTTCCATCCATAATCCCTTTGCTAGGCAGGCAACCATCGCGAAGGCCACGCAAAGCCATTACAGCAATAAGATAGAACAACACTCACATTCGTAGTAACCAAATACGAGACATATGCATCCTTCGTTCCATCATTCTCCTTCAAAGGCGACGAGACGTTGCATTCAAGCACCCCATCACCGATGCCTGCCAGGTCGATAGCGTCGGCCAACGCCCCGGCCTGCGGTTCGTCGTGGGCCGAACTCATTCTCCGTTTGCCATTGACATCGTAGTTGAATCCATGTTGTTCTTCCGTATCTGTCCCGGAGGTCGTCGGACGCGAGTTGTCGCTGTCCGGGTCGTTTCTCCACGAAACGCTGTCGAAATCGTCGTGCTGATCCATTGAGGGGGTTTCGATAGGCGCTAATCTGGCGGATCAGAGAGGTCTGTCACTTGCTTAAAAGAGGGTCTAAGTGGTTAAATATTGGAAACCTCAAGAATAAGACGTGGAGATAGTATTAGATGGGGAAGAAAGATGGGGAAGAAAGAGATAGCGACGGTGTTGCGGAGGGAAATGGATTGGTGGAGACCAGCGTCATCGCCGGGAACGCCAAGAATTACCTAAAAAAGCGCCGAAAGGGCTGCCTTCGCTATTACTAGAGTACCTTCTACCTACCTTTACAGATTTCTTAGAGCAGAAAATTTAGGCTTCCTAAATTCAAGCTAGCCTGGGCCTTGTTTTTGGATGTCAATGCCTTTCACTCGCAAGGAGCATCTCGGGCTATGAGGTTTCACCGTCAGACAACGCATTTGAGACAGCGAGAACCTCAGATGCGTTATCTTCCTAGCTACGAAAGGCCATTATATCGAGTGCTGGGCAGGAACAGGAGTAAGCATTCATGAATCGAGTTTGATAGTGCTCTCTTTATGTATATGTAAGTACCGATTATTCCACTCTCGCAAGCGAATTCATATTCAAAGAAGGAATACCAAAAGTAAAACCAGAAATCCAACTATTCAAGATTATCTATCTAGGGTGATGCAAGTATTTATATCATTTCTCCGGCTCATCATAACGCTCTCCGCTATTCGTTTCTCGTGCTTTGTGGTCATGGTACGGTCCTTCATCATCACCGCTGAACAACTCTTCATCACTTTCTCCGGCAAATGCGTTGTACAGCTCACCACCACGGCGCTGGGTACGGCCCGAGAATCCGGTCATGGCGTGCAACTCATCCTCGTCTTCGATGACTTCAAAGTCGTAGTCGTCTTGAGGGTTGTCACGTACGCGCTTGCGCCGTTGCACGTTGAAGTAGATACCAAGGCCAATGCAGAATACGATGATGGAGCCGATGGCAGCGTAAATCCACGCTTGGGTGCGTTTCGAAGCTCCAAAGGTAGGGAAGAATGATGGCAGGAAGCTCTCAGACACAGGGGTGCTGGTGGGGATGGACTCGGTTTCCATGGGAGGTCGAGGATCTGGGGATGCAATCGTGGTCGTTGCGGGATCTTGTGTTTCGCTGGGTTTGGCATTGATAGGGCGATCGACGGCCTCGTTGGGCTCGCCAGGGACTTGGGTCTTGGTTGGCTGAGGCTGGACGCTGGTCGTGACCACAATGGCATCTTCGATGGTGTGGTCGTCGTCGTGTTCTGTCGGGAGTGGGTGCAAATACTGATTGGTTCCATCGATGGCCTCTCCCCAGAGATTCAATCTCCAGTCGACAAACTCCCCAGAGTATTCGTTGACCTTGGCGTCTTTGACGATCACTGTCCATTTTCCAACGCCTGACTCACCCCTGAGGACTAGTTAGTCTAAAAGAACCGAAAAAAGGGAGAACTGAAATCTTACCAATGAGCAACAGTCATGAAAGTCCAATCAACATAACCAACTGGAGCACTGTCGGACCTTCTAGCCGTGCTGAGATGGCTGACGATTCCCTCAGGACTGCGCAATTCCACACTCAGATCCCCACGACGCGTATGGTTCACATTCATGGTCACGGTGACATGCTCCAATCGATCAATGTTGGCCTTCTTCAACATGTCAGTAGTCACCTCATATGAGCTAGACAGGCCCTGTTCGCCTTGAGGAATTTCGTGAAGAACGCGGAGCCATGGAGAGTTAAACCAAGCCTGCGGTTTCACCAAGTCCCAGGTCTTGGCCTTCTGGACCATGGAGTATGCATCAATCTTGCCGTAGCCCCAGTCATGGCTGAACTTCCGTCCAGATTTCGTGACCTGCCAGCTTCCGTCGTCTTCGTGAATCGGGACAGCCGAATCGAGCATCAGGTACTGAGTATCGCGCCACGTCAGGTCTGGACGAGCACTGAGAGCGAGGGCCACTACGCCGGCGCCGAGCGGGCCCGCTGCTGAGGTTCCACCATGGAGCTTGCTGCACGTGTCGGGACCAACATCGGTGGTATGAATAGCATCACCAGAGCCACTGCTGTACGCGACCACCAACTGCGCGGAGCAGGACTCGGAATAGCTTGGGTGCTTGCCTGCGCGGTCAATGGCACCCACCGTGATACTGTAGATGCTGTTGGTGTACCCGTCGAAATTGCAGTTATCGTCTGATGCAGCACCATTGCCAGCGGCAAAGACAAAGATCGAACCTTTTCCATCCCGACCATTCTGCACACCGTTCACGATGGCCCGTTTGATCATAATCCCAGGGCCTTCCATGGTCTGTCCATCATCGGGAGGTCCCCAGGAGCACGAGTAGATATCATTGTGTTGGTAGTCATAGTTGATGGAGGTCGCCTCGTCTGCATCGTCGATCGGCTTGGACAAGATACGGATGCCAGCAATTCGGCTGTCGTAAGCCACTCCAACACCGCAAACATCGTTTTTAGCCGCCGCGATTTCACCGGAGCAACGAGTGCCGTGCTTATCATCGTACAAGCGGGGCTTGGGCTCGGGGGTCTTTTCGTTAAAATCGTATGAACCCTCGGGATAGTAGTTGGGCCGGAGGTCGTTGCTGTACATATCCAGTCCGTCGTCGACAATAGCCGTAATAACACCCTGACCGGTAATCCCCTCCATCCACACACCCGTCACGTTCAAATCATGCCCAACCTGTACCGTGTTGTAAAGATGCCACTGGTCCGTGAAGGTCGGGTCCGTGATATCGAGGGCCATCGCAACCTCTTGTTGAGTCTGAACGGCTTGTGCGTCTACCTTAGTGGAGAAGAAGCTTCTCGGTTGATTTACCGGCGGAGGCATTCTTTTCTCCAATCGTTTCCGGAGAGCCAGCTTCTGTGACCACATGATGCCATCCAAGCCATCTTCCCTTTTATCTAACGCCGCGCCATCTCCCGATCGCCGCCGTAACTTCCTCCGCGACTGTAAATCCTGCAACAACGCATCGGTATTCGAGCCCTCTTCTTTTGGAAGAGAGAAGGTATGGTGGCCTGGTAGTTCACCTACTTGGCCTTCGTGGCGGGCGCCCAGCGCCTGGGCGACTTCGGAGGGCGACGTGGACTCATCGAGTTGTAGAGCGAAGAAATCGTGGGTATCGTGAGAACGGGGTTGAAGGTTTGCGGTAGAAGCTGTACACAGGAAGCCCAAGGCTACTGCTGCGCTGGTGAGAAAACGCATTTTCTGGTTGTAATTCGAGTTGAGATTCGAGGTCTTAGGGAGAGTTGCCTCTCCGAGGCGAGACGAGTTCAGACAAGTAAGAGTGCCATGAACTGCCGGGAACCAGCCAGCAGGAAAGACAACAGAAAAAATTGGTTTAAAATATATAGAAATTATTCTCTAAGACTGACAGAGGAAAAATAAGGAGGAAGAAGGAGAAGAGTGGAAGAGGAAAGAGATCAAATGCGACGGGGAATTAGGATCGTTGGATGAACACCGCCAGACGCGGCCGGGACAGTTGTGCTTTTCCTTTATTGCCTTAACAGATCCCAATATCAGCAGCCACGGGAATTCGCCTTGCGAGTATTAACTGATCTCTGGTTCTCTTTGTTATTCCTCGAAATGAGCCTCTTTGACCCGGATCTTCTACTATTCTACCAGGGGTACGCCTCGTCGGGCTTAGTCATGGCTCGAAGACACGTTTTCATCGAGGCGCAGCATTTGCCTGCTTGCGTGCAATATTCCTGTTGTTAGGCTTACTCTGGGTATACAGGGCATATCGGGTATAATATCATAGAGCAATCTGGAAAATACGGAGAGGACATTTGCTTGGTGTCTTGTATCTTCATACTTGTATTATGGAGTAAAGGCCTTACCGGAAAGGGTATAGTGTTACGCCCAATTAGGAGAAATGTCATTCTATACAAGAACTCCGACAAAATGCTTCAGGCCTCCTCGTCAAAGCCATCAAATGGGAAATGATCTTGTAATTTGGTCCTCTCGAGAGGATCATCACACATTTCCAGCAGCTTGGCTTTCACTTCCTGCACCTTTCCCTTGGAAGCTTCAAAATCATTGTTCGACACCCAACCGTCTACACCTACACCCACAGCCTCTCGCAATTGCTCCATAGCAGTATCGGCTTCTTCCTGTTCTGCACCAAGATGGATAATATCTTCAATGACTTTGTCCGAGTATTAATGGGAGGTGCAGGACACTACTGAGAAGAAGAACATTGGCCAGCTTAGAACAGCGTTGACCAACTCAGCCTGCAAAGTAATTGAGTCTCCTTCCCAGGGAGTACCCGCGAACTCGAAAAGCCGCTGGCGCACTACAGCAGATTGGTTGAATATCGCATTATAGTGCTCTGGATTCAACCGCGACGTTAGGATAGCGTAAAGGTAATGGATCACCCTTTTTCTGATAGTCTCGCGTACGGCTATCTGCTTGGAATGAGATAGAGAGTCATAGTCTGAAGGAAGTTCAAGCTTGGGTTTTTCAAGGCTTTCTGATTCGGGGTCACCGTAGTTCTGGAAGTACCGCGGCATCTGGGATGCAAGGCCCAGTGGAAGAATGGAGCTGTGCTGCCAATCGATCAACCCGACTATTTCTTTGCTTCAGACAGGAGAATTTTATTTGGTTGGAAGTCAGGATGATGCATGACCGGTCGGTTCAGTCTGCCTCTGAACCTAAGGGAAGGAACCAATGTGAGATAATCAGAGAGATTCTTGATGTGGCTATCTGGCGAAACTTGAGAGAAATTGGACATTTATCCATAGAGCCGTTCGTAAGGCAGGCGAGGCTTCGCATAGGCTTTTGCCCAAGTCAATTCCCGTTCACCAACTGCCCGGAATATGTCAACTGGCGACAGCCCTAGTGTAGTTAGCAGTGAGTTATACCAGTAGTTTTAACAGTATACACAAGGCCCTCGGTCGATATCAAGTTTGCATCTCGCACCTTGCCACCATCTATAATGCGCCACTGGCCCAATGCAAAAGTCAACCTCGCTCTGAGCTGACAAGAAGATCTTCTTCTCTGACGGGAGGTTCTTGTGATAATATAAACTGCCACACGCAGGAAACTCCAACGACATAAGCCGCGTCTCCCATTCAACAATTTGTTTCATGACCTTATGTTGCTCCTTTGTTGTAATCGAGTACCACGTATCGCCAAGGGGAATGCCGTCCAATTTTTCCATGATAATATACTCAGCACCAACTGGATTATCCTTTGTCGAACAATACGCATACACCTCAGGCGTACGAATCCCATGCAATCGGATATAGTCCAGAGTAGCCACTTCACTGGCCATAGTGTAGTGCTCAGGTACTGTAGAGAGATATGGCAGCCTTGCAATCACGCACTTTCTATCTCTAAAAGTCGCCTGGAAAATGCGGTTGGACCCGCCTTCTGATAACTTGGAGAATATGATGATATCGAACGAGGAACGATCAGATGCAGATAGCAATGGCATTCTTGATGGCAGGCACATCGAACTTTGAGGTATCGTTCCGAGAGACGTAGATGTTCATTATAGCTATAACTTGTCATCTTACGGGAACAGAAACATACATCCATCGTCCAGACGTATAGCGAAACAACTCATATTCGGAGTGTCTGATAGGCCTATAGAGGCATCTCACCTGTTGAGCCCCGCCATGAAAACACAGAGATCGAGTTTGTAGAGAGCTAAGGAGGTTTAGTATCCGCATGTTTAAGAATTCTGGATAATGGTAGAGTATTTGATCGACAGCTGAATTTCACTAGCATAGTTGTTTGCTTAGGAATAAAGTATCGCCGAGTGTTTGCGTACAACTGTGCGCTAGATGCTACATATTTCAAAAGATTTGGATCAATGATTGAACCCTCTCTTCCAATAACGCTTGTTGAGAACTGCCTGATAATCCAATTACATTCATAAGTCTAGCAAGTATCACGCTTTGTGGCATTGTGTCGGAATGTCGCAGTATTTGGACCCAATAGGCACGGCGGGTCTTCACACTGGATATAAAATGCATTAATTTCATATCCATATACCTACCAAGACCAGCAGAAGAAATTTAGTTCCACCTACAAATTCAATCCATAAACCTTTCGGGCCGTCGAATTCATCAAAAACCACCTTTTTTTCATCAAAGTTCAACAGACGCCTCGGGCCTGCAAGCATCTGTCCGTCTCGAAAAACGTAATAGTGACCAGCGACATACTTGAGCCTTCCTGATTGATAACCATCCAGAACAGTGGTAGCATTCGCGGTGTGTTCTCCAACGAGAGGACTTTTCAAAATGTGCTCAAGACCTTCGATTCGACGCTCAATAGCGGATTTTGGAGGAAGCAGTTCATTCAGTTCCTGAAGTATGGATGCAGCAGCTTTAGCATTGGGCCCATCGGCCTGAGTAATAGACTCGAGAGCTTCGCGGTACTCTTTGGAGCTTGCACTATACACCATTCAGTAATTGTAGTTGCCTCGTTTATAATTCTCTTACTAAAATGGTAGAGGTACGACTGGCTTCGTATCAGATACACTATCCAGTGTATCCGCCATAATGTCCTGCATCGAGTCCTTCGAGACCTTCATCGTGTGCAACTAATGTAGTAAGCGAGAAATGCTGGACTACCGGTCAATCGTAACAGTTAGTCAATGTAGGAAGCTGGAAGAGTGGGCAGAAGTCGAAATTTGGAACGGAGAACACTACGTCAGTACGGCGTGGATTGACGAAATGTTTGGGGATTTCATCGCAGACCACATGTACTCAGGAATACAATAGTAGTATCACCAATTGGTCATTAGACGCTGTATATTAATGGTATTGGAATTAGTTTCTGGTTCAGATGCGTCGCTCTCTTCATCCTGTAGACATTTGTCCAAGTAGATGCTTTCTGGCGGGTTGCCATCGCAGTCACGCGTCCAGCCAAATGCTTCACAAGAGGCCGTGGTAGACGCTTTCTGATCAGGTAGTGGCAGGGCAAGGATGGACTGTTGTAGTACAAACCATCGTCAATGACTGGTGGGAGATAGAGAAGTCGCCAAGTTGTAGCTCAAAGCCATGTAGTACGGAATTTGTTTGCTCAGCACATCCGCATCCAGATTATCGACCATTGGAAGAAGCCTTATACAATTTTTCGCGGTTAGTGATGGTAAAGTAGCAGATCTCACATAGTAGTTGTGTGCTGGTAAGATGACGGCCACAGCAAGAGCAGCAAGAACCTGGCTCTGGATATCAGAGAATGCGCAGAAGTCGATGAGGAACTGCAACGCTCGCCTGGAGGATGGGGGAGTCAATGAAGGCGCGACAGTGTTGGTATTTTTCTCTCGTCAGATTTTCAACTTCTGTTCACCATCCATAGCCACTGACCAAGGGGATATGAAAACATTCTTGCCGTCATGACGGATGACCGCTTTCCAACCTGGATTGGAGGATGTGATTGCAGACCACCATCTCACCGCATCTTCGTCAACATCACCGATTTCTATCGCGTCGTGAACTTCGTCTGAGGTTGTTCCGCTCGTGAGTCTGTGTACACCAAAGTAGAGTTTTCCTGCGATCCTCGCTCGACCATTTCAGCGGGAAAGATATACAGCCACCCCAGCACAAGTACACCAATCATATTGCATCGCAAGCCTGAATCACTCTTTTCACTCAACACAGAAGAGAAAGCATCGTTTCTGAAACACAGAGGTGTTGGCCGTTGGATATCAATCGGAAGAGAAGTAGTTCGCACTTTTCGCTTTCCGCGAACGCCGCAGTCGCTTCCTTCAGGAATTTCCCAGGTTGCTTGTGCTCTCAAATACAACCTCCCATTCGATGAGGAAATATCCAATGGCGCATGACAATGATGTGCGCGGTTGTCCGGAATTGATGGAACACGTTTTAGTAGCTCTTGCAAGGTGAGAGACTGTGGTGGAATGCCATGCTCGTGTTGGGCGACGACGTGCCGGGCTAGGCCATGCCAGTACAACCGAGATGCTTGTAAAACGTTGTTTGACTCCTCCGCGGTTGGTCCGAGACGTTCTGGTTGGTGTGTTTGCCTGGCTATACAGAGTGAGTGATGGCTTACCAGGCTTGCTCATTGGGTTTCATGTCGTTTTGCGAAAGATATTAGCCCAAATTATGCTTGTTAGTCGACGACTAAAGGGTGTCATGACGACAACGCTGTGGAGCGCAAACAAAGTCACTATACGGCTATACAGAGCAGTGAATGGATAGAAACTCGACAATTATTTCATTCGGAAAGTTGCAGCAGATGTGATATATCCTGATGCTTTCTATATTACCAGTAGAATGCTAGACAAAGAAAAAAAAATGTACAGAGTAGAGATACATATATAGCTGCACGGTGTGAATAAACCTGCAGCAGCCAAATCGCCGGGCAGCAGCATCTCCACCACCGAATCTTATGCAGTCGATAGAATAATCACTGCTCACAATCGAAAATATTTTCTCCAATTTTCTTATAATAGAGCACTTCCCACACCGTCTGACCGAGTCCGCAAATAAGATTCAACGCTGAGGGCTGGGGTGACCAGCCACCAGGAATACTATTCTTATCGCTTCCTCGTCGCAAACCGCTCCTCTTTCTTTCCTCTTCCTCTTCGCGTTCGTCTCGTGTTTTCCTTGCGATTTAATTGATCTTTTTTTGAATTTTGTTCTTATTTTTTCTTCTTGAATATAATTCGCCTCTATACACCTTGTTTTTACTCTGTATATCCGAGTCGGAGTATATATTATTATCGCCTATTGATAGCGATGCTCCGGAGCTGAGAGCAACGACGACACTAATAGCTGATTAAAGAGTCGACACGGGACTAATGTATGTTCTCAATATCTCGCATCAACTCTGCTTGATGTTCAATTCACGAGAATCAAAGAAAATGTGCTAATTGAGCAGTGATAATCCAGACCTACGAATTTCCCGCGGCGAGAATCACATCCGTAAACAATGGTAGTAGCCGCATCCCGAAGACTTGCAGATGCCACCAACGGACATCCTATGCCACCGCAAGAGACCGAGAATAACGGAGTGGAGCGGATACCATCAAGCAGACGACAAAATGGCTACGAGGGAGATGTCGCCTATCATCCTCGAGGGCCTCAGGCCCAGGTCTCCCGATCCCATACGGTCTCCTACAGAAGATACCCAGCACCAACAGCTCATGGGCACCATCGTTCATCTAATTCATTTTCCGCAAGATCCAGGAATGTGCCTCCAAATTGGGACGATAAACCACTCCCCCCCGAGCCCGAGTCTACGGAAAACGAGTATATTACGCCGAGCAGACGTCCATTGCCGCACCCCGCTGTACCGCAGGACGAAAGCGCGCGGGAAGACTCACCACAGACGGACCCCAGTACCCAACAAGCATCGCCGTTGAGTCGATCAGACACGACCCATTCGACCAGAGAGCGGCGACATGACTGGGCTTCGGACCGGTCTCCTCTACAGAAGTTGGAGGTGACTTTGGGTGGAATCAGCAAAGAAGAGAAACGTGCTCGAGTTATGGAAGCGGAGATGCGAGTCAAAGAGCGATTGGAGCGGCAAAAGGCTGGGAGCGAAGCTCGTGATTCGCCAGCACCAGCATCCGCTAAGGAATCTGCTAGCCCGGCTCCTGCTCTTGAGACTCCAAAGCCCAAAGCCGAAACGCCGCAGATGATCCTGGACCGGTCCACGACTAGAAGTATCAATTCCTCATTAGGGACAAACACCCCTGACGGGTACCGTGATTCTCCGGAGGAGCGTCGCATTCAGAGGTCCAATACCACAAGAGAACCATCCTCGTTTCGGTATGCTGCAGTGCCTCGTAACGATATGCGTTACGTTAAGCCCTCGGCTGGTCAGCCTGTACCCGCTGGTCAAGCTCCCCGGCGAGCCGTGTCAGTCAGTCATCATCCTGGAAGACCGATGCCGCGGCCATTAGTGAATGGAAAATTGTCTCAGGAGACTCCAGCGATACCCAGGAGAACTAAATCTCAAGCTGACCCCGTATCCGTGCCTCCAAGGAGAGTCATTCTCGACGAGAACCAAGCCCCACGGCAGGCATCAGTCCCCGTCCCGCGCGACCTTCCCGGAAGGCCAGTCAAGCAACGGGCACCCTCTGCCCCCATGCCAAATCCTCAACGGCCACCAGAGGGCGTCTATCCCGCGCAGAACGCAGTGGTCCCCGAGCCTACTCAACCAGTCGCGAAAGACCCAGCCGTGCAAGACCCCCTGCCTCACGACTCAAGCGAATCCACTGCGCCACCGAAGCCAAAAAGAAACACGGTTTCTTTCAATATACCACCGCCTACACCACCCCCATTGTTCGAATGGAAGAATGCACCGGTGGCTAGGCTCAACCTTTCTGATTTCGAATTCCAGAATCTGGATGCTGCTAGAATCAAGGCATGGTGGGGCGAAGGAAATTCCAACCGTCGGAGAAGCAGAGGGCTACCAAAGAATTACCAGATGCCTTCTCAGAAGCCAAAGTGTAAGCAACTTACCATTCCATCTGAGCCAAGCGGAGTATTAACAATTGATACAGCGTACAAATCCTTCCAACCATCGCTCCATTTGAGAAGCGGCCCTCTGCTTCGGTACACAGGAATGAAACGGGTGCAGATCGATGGACCCAATGGACCATTTGAAAAGGTGACATGGAGAGGCAGCATCATGATCGTGACACAAGACTCCAAGTCCGTATACGAGCCAGCACCAACTTTAAGACTCTTCTCCCAGCTGACGGATCTCTTGCCTCCTCCACCTGTTGTGGTCAACGGTGATGACGAGGGATCCCAGCTTCCACCCGAATACGTTGACCCGACCGCTGGGCTAATGAAGCTTGGACGCGACGGAAGGCCATTGTACGTCAAGCCCGTGGAGCATACCGAAGAGGAGTTGGATCTGTCGCATGTAGAAGACGACGATGGTATCTATGAGCTATCCGCCAGCATCCTCGACTTCAGCAGTGAAGGAGTCAAGCAGCCAATGCCAGCGAACCGGGTCCACTCGATGGACGGAGAAGTCGCTGGGGCGTATAAAGAGCTGACTGGAATCCGCCTCTATGCGGACCCAGACCGTGATGTGACTTTCTGGCGATTCAATATCGAAGTCGAACTAGGTGAAGCCCAGCAGCGGATCGCTTACCGCATCAATCATGGTCCCGCCTTGGGATTCTGGGTTCCAGCCAAGGCACAGATGATGAACATGACCTTCCACAGCGGAAACGGATTCACTCCTGGTGTTGACACCAACAAGTTCTGCGGACCAGACCCTTTGTGGCGCGACATCCTCAACGAGCACCAGACTCGGCCGTTCCATGTAATGATCGGTGGAGGTGACCAAATCTTCAACGACAAGGTCACGGCGGAATCATTCCATTTCCAAGATTGGCTCAAGATCAAAGACCTGGGTGATCAATATAACATGCCCTTTGACCCAGAATTCCGCGCGGAGCTTGAGAGCTCGTTCTTGGAGAACTACTTGACATGGTTCTCTCAGGGATTGTTCTCACTGGTGGGATCGCAGATTCCCATGGTTAACATGTGGAATGACCACGAGATCCTCGAGGGATATGGATCATACCCGGACGAGTTCATGCAGAGTCCGGTGATTTCGGGTCTGGGTCGGATTGCGTTCAAGTATTACCTGCTGTTCCAGCACCAGACTGTCATCGAGGAGACGGATCATGATGAACCCAGCTGGATTATGGGAGCTGAACCGGGTCCGTACATCAGGGAACGAAGCCGGAATCTGTTCATTCCGCTTGGTAAAGGTGTGACTTTGCTCGGCTTGGACCAAAGAACCGAGCGAATGAGTCATGAGATTCTCAGCGAACCGACATGCGATATCATCTGGGATAGATGCCATCGGGAGATGGACCGGGGAGAGATTAAGCATCTGCTCGTGCTTTCGAGTATTCCAATTGCGTATCCCCGAATGGTATGTTCTCGTATCGCCAGAAACGGATTCAAAGACTAACATGGCGTAGGCAATGCTCAAGAATATCCTAAACAGCCGCAAATCTCTAGGCAAAGCAGGTATCTTCGGTGGCCTGGTCAACAAAAACGGCGGCAAGATCGAGATATACGACGACCACTGGACCGCCAAACACCACAAGGCCGAACGGACATTCTTGATCGAAGATCTCCAGGACCTTGCTGCAGACAAGTCCATCCGAATAACCATCCTCAGTGGCGACGTCCATCTGGCCGCAATGGGACAGTTCTATTCGAACCCCAAGCTGAGCCTGCCCAAGGACAAGGATTACCGATACATGCCGAATATCATCTCATCGGCGATTGCCAATTTCCCGGAGACAGAGATGGTGTCGGATATGCTAAACCGGCGCAACCAGGTGCATCATATGGACTCGAACACGGATGAGGATATGATCCCGATCTTCAGTCATGATGTTGATGGGAAGCCACGGAATAACAAGCGATTGATTCCAAGACGGAACTGGTGTTCGATTCGGGAGTACCAGCCTGGTATGTTTCTTTATTTTCTTCTGATTTCTGACTTGTCTAACAATGTATGCAGGCTTGACTCCACCAGCGACACCCGACATCGAAGACGACGAGGAAGAACATCTCCCGGGAAAGCTCAAGCGGACATTGTCATTAACGCGCGGAGACCGACCGGCAGGCGGACTCCTACGACGTCTCTCAAGCCGTAGCCGCCCACCAACGAAAGACATCGACTTCGACAACCTAGGCAACGGAAAAGCCAGTCGCCGCATGAGCATGGACGGCCCCTATCCACCATCAAGCGATAGTTCGCTCCCACCGCCACGCTCTACCGAGTCATTCAACCGATCCGGAGCCGGAGCCGGGTCCTTTTTCCGCCGACCTACGAACCCCAGCCGACGGGGCTCGATCCGGGCAAAGAAATCGACTACGAGCAATACTAACAGCACAACCAACAACACTAAAGGGGATGACGACGGAATGGGCGGTCTGGTCAACCTGGAAGGCGGTCTGGCGATTACGTTGAACCTGGAACTCAACCCGAAAGATCCCGCTGGGATCACGACACCGTATAAACTGCTGGTTCCGATGCTACGGTATGACGGGGTGGAATTTGACCCGCCGGCGACACGGGTGACTAAGGGATGGAAGAAGTGGCTGGGGGTGAAGAAGGACGGTGATTCGAGTCAGGAGAACAAAAATGGAGAGGAAACCGAAGGAGACGAAGTCGAGTCGGATGGGGAAAACTACGATAACGGAGATCAACATGGGCAGGCGGAGGACCACTCGGATAGTGATGCGGACGTGGGAGCGGGACCGGCATCGGAGGAGGAGGGGCGGAAGAGGAGGAAGTGGTTCAAGCTGTGATTCTCTATGTTTTCCTATGATATTACCCCTGGGGGTACAGAGTAGTATCGTCTTTTATTTGGCGTTATGCTTGATTAGGTGCTGTATATTCTGCACGTGACACGATTGATGAGATCAGATAATGCAATGATGATGATGACCAGGATTATCAATCTAGCGTGGTTCCATTCTATGGCGATATTCCGGCATATGCTATCAAAGTCTCGCCCGCGCCGCTTGCTAAGCACACGCACGTGACCGGTCTCGCCAGACTTGATTAGAAGCGCAATTATTCATTCCAGAAGAATTCAAGTGTTAATTGAGTCTTCTTTTCTATCACTACTCTGTACACTACACAGATACCAGTACTGTACTCTATAATCTGTAATCTGTCAAGTTCTGGCTCCACTGCCCCTCGTCTTAATAATCCACCCCCCTCTTCCGCTTTTTTCTTTTCTTCCATTTCCGTCTCTCACCACCTCTTGATCTTCCTTATAAACCCTCCTCTATCCCCCCCCCCAAGAAACCCTCAACAGAAACCGTCAAGTTGTTTTCCTCCGCCTTTCGTCGATTTCCTTTCTCTTCCATCCGGTCTTCTCTGGGATTGACCGCGGCTGCTGCCTCTTCTCTGCATCAGAAATCTTCTCCATCTGCGTCTGTTCTTTCGAGTCCGTTTACGGCGCCAGCGAGCGTCAATTCGTCTTCCAGAATGGTGCACACCAAGGTTGTTAGTACGTATAACCTCACATCCCATTGTATTGTCCTCCCGCAGGTGCTGACTCCCTTCCCCCAGTCATCGGCTCCGGCCCCGCCGCACACACTGCCGCCGTCTACCTCTCGCGAGCGGAATTGAAGCCCGTCCTCTACGAAGGTATGCTGGCCAACGGCACCGCAGCCGGCGGTCAGCTCACCACCACCACCGACATCGAGAACTTCCCCGGTTTCCCAGATGGCATTGGCGGCGCCGAACTGATGGAGGCCATGCGCAAGCAATCCATCCGCTTCGGCACTGAAGTCATCACAGAGACCATCTCCAAGCTGGACTTGTCGCAGAAGCCCTTCAAACTCTGGACCGAATACAACGACGGCCCCGACAACGAGCCCGCCCACACCGCCGACGCCGTCATCATCGCCACCGGTGCCAACGCGCGCCGTCTCAATCTCCCCGGGGAGGAAAAGTTTTGGCAGAACGGTATCTCCGCCTGCGCCGTCTGCGATGGTGCCGTGCCCATCTTCCGCAACAAGCCGCTCTTCGTCATTGGTGGTGGTGACTCCGCCGCCGAGGAGGCCATGTTCCTCGCCAAGTACGGCAGCCGCGTGACCGTTCTCGTCCGTCGCGACAAGCTCCGTGCCTCCAAGGCCATGGCCAACCGTCTCCTCGCGCACCCCAAGGTCACTGTTCGCTTCAACTCCGTTGCCACCGAGGTGCTGGGTGATGCCAAGCCCATGGGTCTCATGACCCACCTCCGCGTCCAGGACACCGTCTCTGGCCAGGAGGAAGTCGTCGATGCCAACGGTCTGTTCTACGCTGTCGGCCACGACCCCGCCAACGCTCTGGTCAAGGACCAGGTCAACCTCGACGAGGATGGCTACATCATCACCCAGGCTGGTACCAGTTACACCAGCCGCGAGGGTGTCTTTGCTTGCGGTGACGTCCAGGACAAGCGGTATAGACAGGCTATCACCAGTGCTGGTATGTTACTCTGCCCCATACTCTCTTATAAACGATATACTAACAAGAAAACAGGCTCCGGCTGCATTGCTGCCCTCGAAGCCGAAAAGTTCATCGCCGAAGCCGAATCCGAGTCTCCCTCTCAGGCCGAGACCCAGGCTACCACCCAGGCCGAGGGATCGACCATCCAGCCCGCCGCCCAGGAGGTCCCTGGCACCGAGCGCCGGAAAGTCTCCCAGGGTGGTACCGCTGAGTACCAGCAGAACCCTCTCCTCTAAACCTCTACTTTCACCCTGCATTTCTCCTTGAACTCTTCCTTCCGATTCCCTGATGTCGTGATTCCTTCCTATTTGGTTGGTTCTCTCGTCTCTATGTAATGATTCTTCATATTTTGTCATGATTTCCGTTATCTGTCATCTTGTCATATTAGATTTCGTTCAGCGTGTTTTATTGTATCGCTGCCACTGTTAATGTCAGTGTTGTCTTGGGTTTTACGGCCTTTACGGGGCTACTTCAGTCGATAGATATAGAATTGTAACTCTTGGGATTACAAAATTATTCTCTGCACTGCACTGTAGTAGCTGTCTTAAACGTCATAAGAATAGAAATAGAAATTAACACAGGTATCAAGCCGGATTAATGGACGCATTCGAAACCGAAGCATCAGCGCCATTGGCCGTAGAAGACTCAGGTTGCCAGCTCTCAAACGGATTCTCCTTACACCACTGATCCTTAACCTCATACGATCTCCTCTCCCACTCTGCCGCCTCCCGCCGCCACCGTTCAGCAGCCTCCTCATTCATCCGCCTATTAGTCTCCACCTGCTCAAGATATGGTCGTCGAATCTCCTCCGCCGCCTGTCTCCACATGAGCCCCAGAACCTGACGGACTTCATCACGCGCGGCTTTCGCATTGGGGTTCTTGGACGTGGCACGTTTCTGCTCGTCGGCCTGTTCACGCGCTTGCAGCCAGTAGTCCTTCTGGTAGAAGAGGAAGGGGTTTAGGCCTGTTTTTGCGGGACGAGGCTGTGGGTGGCCGATTTCGGTGTAGATGGCGTCCCACATGGCTGTGTTGTAGGCGTCGCGGAGGGCTTTTTCAGCGGGGATAAAGGAGTTGTTGGTTCGGGCGGGTGGTTGTTGGTCTGTCGAGGAGAATGGCGTTGGCGCTGCGGGTTCCTTCCGCTTCTGGCCTGCTGTGACGGGTGTGCTGCTGATGCTGCCCTTTTCTGGGACGAGTGGTTGGGGGATCTCGATTGGGCCAGTGATGGCGTTGATGACTTCGGATGCGGCGCGCAATCCTGAGAGGTACGCTCCATGAACGGTAGCAGGATGCGTGCCGCAGGTAGCTTCTCCCGCAAAATGTAGATTCCCAACCGGCGTTGCCATCAAGTCATAGTCTCCCGGAAGTGACTCGGGTGGTACAAACGAGTAACTGCCTCTGGTAAACTTGTCTGTACCCCATCGCGTGACAATAGTTTCCAACGGGTCGGGAACCGCTACATGCTTGAAGACGTTGCGAAGCTGGCTGGTAACTTCGGTAACGATCTCTGCGTCCGGGATACGCTCCGCCTGGTGTGCGGCATCTCCGGACATCAGACCAATAAGAACCGGTAGACCAGTCGTCTTCAGACAGTTCCAGAACAAGTAAAACCGTCCTCGATTGGCCGCGTAATCCTCATGCTCTAAGCTGTCAGGGTTCGTAGGCTCGCGTAGAAGTCCAAACATGTCCCGTTCTGTATCCCAGAATGGTCTATCAAATACCAGGATCACCTTGTTCAAAAGGCCAAATCCAAGCCGTTCAATCGCCCCAAGCTTCCAGTCGGGGAGTGGAGGGGAGAATTCTATATCCTCGCTTTTCAGAACCCCCAAAGAACCGGTAAACACTACCCTGTCTGCTTGGATAACTTCGCCGTCTTCGCACTGGACCACGGTTTTCCCTTGACGGGCCCCGGTTATATCATAGTGAATTCTAGAGACAATCTTGTTTGGGCGGATGTCAAGCTTGTACGGCAAAGAAAACAACCCATACGGCACCTGCTGATAACCACCGATCACTTGAGAATGTTCACCATCGAACTCGTTCCCCACATCCTGATCCCAACCGGAGAGACTGAGCTGACCCGCGTTCGCAGCGTTTGCATACTCTAGATTCGCAAAATGCCAATTGTATAATCTCATATCCTTAGGCGTAAGCGGAATCATGCGCTGATACTGCCTGACACCTTCGTCCAGTACAGCACCCAGCGTTTGCTGGTCTGAAGCCTTTGCAACAGGATCCAAATCTAGCGTCGTGTTCACAGAAATCTCGGGGTTCAGCTTCCACCCCATAGTTTGACAGGTCAGAGCAGCAGATTGTTCTTCTGCAGGACCGAGGTCCGCGACGGAAGCAACCTTGGCCTTGATATCTGCCGTCTTGTGACCCACGCCCCGACGGACCCGTTTATTCGGTTTCAATAACCCGACAGTACCTGCAGCCCTGGCTTCCTCGTACTGTCGTACCGTTAGACCATCGCTTACGGTCAGATCACGACCTGAATCGATCAGTTCTCGATCGCCCTCAGCAGTCCGCGGGATTACGGATTTGTGACGATAGAGCCCAGAACGATCGAACACGTTGTTGTAGAGACTCTCGACCATAGCATCCTGTACTTCATCGGTCGGTGTCCCATCAATGTCGTAGAGTGTCGAAAGATCGCGTAGTAAGTGGTACGAAAGAGCCAGTTGACCGCGAATAATAGGATCCATCGGATTGCCATGGTCAAATCCCACGATGATATGTGCGCCCATCTCAGCCTTGGGGACATGTCCAGGCGGCAGGCTTGAGGCCTTGAGGCTTTGCAGAGGATGGGAATAGATCCGGCCACCAATCCTACGTCGTCCTTCCAAGACCACTACGCGTGGCTCACTGGATATGGTGTCGTGATATTGGTTGAAAAGGCCTTCTAGGTGCCTCGCGCAACCTAGTCCTGCCATACCAGCACCGATTACCACGATCACAGGGCCGTCCTTTCTCCATCCTGATTTGGCGGGAACGGCAGGAGCTGGAGGCAGGGGAATCTCGACACATCCAAAGTTGATATAGCCATTCCGAAGGAGCCATTCATACGCAAACAAAGCGAGATTCATCCAACGGTAGTCCTTGGCGCATCCGAGAGCCTCGTCCTTGGAAACGCTGACTAGCGGGTTCCTAGTCCAGAGTCGAAGAATCCCGTTGCGTATGTTCAGGTACACCGTCACATGCAGGTGACACAGATGGTCTTGTAAAGCCTCCTGCTCTTGAGAGTGCAAAGCATAAGGGTTCAGACGAGATGCATACGCTGCCGCAACACACTGCAGCCCATACGCTGCAGCAGACAGTCCCGATGGGATGGACGATTTCGGTCGAAACCTGGCGTGATCGGTCTTGCTGTCAGTCACATAGGATGGGGACCCGAAGGACGAGGTAGCGGGAAATGAATGGATAGGATTCAAAGGCGAAGCAGATTTTTTCTGATTGGTGGTCAATAACGAGGCAGATGTCATAGATTCATTAGGTGTGCTAGTGTTCGTATCCGTCTCGAGATCACGGAAAATCCATTCAGTGCTCTGTGATCCATCGTCCAGTCCACTGTCCGTGGCGCTTCTGGGTATCCTGAATTTGATAAACGAACCCTCCTGAGAATCCGAATGTTCCATCCCAGTGTGGCCCTGTGTGTCACCGTTCTGGCGTGCACTCCGCGGACGTTTAGCAGGGGGTTGAGACAACGACTGATGTGAAGGTAGCTGCGGTGATTGTGCGTTGCCATTTGGTTGGGTCCGTGTAGGTGGCATGTATTGCTTGATCTGCAACGTTTCGGATGAGTAGCCATTCGAGCCCTGTGGCAGAGTCTCCGTAGTTGGCATGTTTGGCATGTATTGTTTGATCCGTAGAGTCTCAGACAAGTGCCCGTTCAAGTCCTGGGTCTCAACAGAAGCCGTCGTCTCCATGCTGGCTGTGGAAGGGGCAGCCCTCAACGTGGCCGTATGCAGCCAGTAAGTATAGCTATGTATCAGTCTGCCTCAGGAAGCAGCAGTATCGTAGTTGACCATATAAATGAACGGATAGCAACGACAGACGTCAGATATGCGTGTCCATGCCGGGAGTATGGGCCAGTATCAGAATTCGAGTCTTCCGTCCATGGTGGGTCCACTTGCACAATGGGGGTATAGTAGAGGTAGACTGATTGTATGAATAGATGAATAGACGGGGCCGGAAAGAATGGTAGTTCCTATTGTACAGTTAGAAGAGACACTGGTGACCAGAATGCAGCAAGCAGATGAATGATAGGGTCTGAGATAGGAAGGTCTGTGTGCCCTGGAAGATAGACTTGCCTTGTAGATGTATGCGGAACAAATTGATACTCCTTCACCCTTTGCTGACCAGCTCAACAGAGATAAATCGCTGCAAAGTAGAATATAGCGGTGGATGAGTGCTGGTGGTGAAGGTGGTATGGATGGGCTGATTCTCTAGAAGGAGTGGTCTTTCTTGTTCGGGTCGCCGGCTGAGATACTCCTGCGTAGTTTCCAGTCCGCGCCGCCGCATTCTGCAGAACCTCTTCTCTACCTTCAAGACTATAAAATATTAGAGAGAATAACAGGAATAACAGAAAAGAATAGAAGATAATAAGGAATAAGCACCGGGATGTTGACAGGGTTCAGGGTATGCTGTGGTGCGTGCGATTTTAAACTGGGCTGCGACTTCTTCAGGCTAACCGTTTTAGTGCGCTCCAGTTGCGTCCCCGGAGAGATGCGTCGATAGTCTCGCCTAATCCCTACCTTAATACTCGAATTTCTTCTGAAATAGTGGATCGAGACCCTTATGGATATCAAATGGATCAATGGAAAGCCTGGGCTCTACAAATCTAGGACAATGCAATGTCGGGTCGCTATAGCAAGCCTCCGCACTCGAATCCATCCCAGTTCCGGACGCGATAATATTGCAACATGTATGTATAGGAGAAGAGAAGATAAGATAAAAATGAAGAATAGCTGCAATACATCACCCCTGATTCGACCGGACATGCGTATGCATCCGATATGTCTCACGCTCGGGCTCATCCCCGTCCCTGAACACGTCCGAGTCATTGTCCGTAAACTCATCCCGGTACGGGCTCACTGCATTCTTCGCCGGGCTCGAGTTTCCATCGTCACTTTCATCATCGATCACAATGTCCACATTATCGTCATCGAAATCGTGGAATCCCACGCGCTCCTCCTCATCACGGGCAAGAGTCGTGGCGGCCGCGTTGGCGTTCGGATCCTCTGAGAAAGCACGGTGGGGACGACGAGCAGAGTGGTCGCGGTCTAGCGAATTCCGGATTTCCTCTCGTTCTTTGGCTTCGAGTTCCTTGGCTCGGGCCAATGTTCTAATGACGGGAAGTCAGTATTGATCAATGAGAAGAATTCCACGGGAACAACGGACCTCTTGTATATATACCACCCCGTGAAAACTCCAATCCCGACGGTAAAAACAATACTGCAGATATTTATCGCTTTCGACCCTGGGCTCATCTTCTCATCCCCGGAAAGAAGACGTAGTCGACTACCGATGAACGCCGGCACCAGCAGTTTGGGTGATATGATTATTGTCGCCAATCCATACATCAAAGGATGGACTGTTGGGAACGTCGACACCGCACCGTTGCAGATCGAATATGGTAAAGGACAGAGACGGATCATGCACAGCAATTTGAGTCCGTCATACTTTAGAGTCAAGGCGAGAGCGGCGAATCTTTTGTCGTGTTCCATGAGACGGTTAACGAATCTGGATAAAACTGTCCGCGAGACAACGAAGGAGACCGTCGATCCAAGTATTGTTCCCGAGGCGTAGAGAAGCCACCTACCAGCAAATTCATCAGTCAGTGTCCAGGGTACCATGGGGAATATAGCAACACCTACCCCTTCCAAACTCCGAAAATAAAACCCGCCATCGTCCCAAATGTCGACCACCCAACCAGGGGCGGAAACGAAACAAAGAAAACACAAAGCCAAAGCACCAAAAATGCAGTCCATGACTTCTCCCAGTCCTCAACAACCGGCGCCATCCAATGGAATATCTGACCCGTGAAATACAAGAACACCAGGCCTAATGCAATCGAGGCCACCACTGCTGCCACCGCACCCGTTTTCTGCCACCAATTCATTTTGCGCCATGTCGAATCGATGCGTCGCCATAACTTCGCTCCTCGCTGGACCACCCGATCACGGACTGTAGCCGTAGCTTCACCTGTAGATGTCGACGTCACTTTGTTTGGCGCGGCGCGAGGGGAATTCCGCCGGCTCGTGGCCGTATGGTGACTCCATAGCGGGCGGCCGTCTTCGTCGGCGGGGGAGAGAGGTTCTGGTGGTGAGGTCGATACCGAAAGAGCCCGAGCCGTGGAAGCATAATCCGCGGGCATCTTGTATGGATGGAACGGTTGTTGATTATGATATCCCGCGTGTTTGGGTATTTTTTTAACGATGACGGGGATCGACCGGAAGTGGAGGACTTGCGCGCAGGGGCGAAACGGTCGAGATCCAGCAATCTTCACAACTGCAATTTCGATAACAATTGTATCTCAATCAATGAAAAAAGCCCGTACAAAACGTCGTTGTAAGGGACTGGGGATGGCCAGGTCGAGACAAAGGAGAAGCCGGCACCGACAACAATTCTCCGACGTCAGCGAAAGCTAACAGGAGGGAACGGATTTGGACGTATGAGTCGATTCCAGTCGACTATAAGGGGAAATATAGGATAGAGAGAGAAAAGGAGAGTCCATGTAGCTAGGAAGGCATGATCAAAGCAACGTTGTGAGTGATGATGGTGGTGGCGGTTGAGTTCGAGGGGGCGCGGTGAGTTCTGCCAAGTTTATTAGAGCAAGCATAAGCTTAACAGCCTTGCAGAATGCTGCCGGACTATTGCAGCAGATCAAAAATTTGCAGACTTAATTGTGTTACTTGCTCTATTTTTCATGCAGAATAATTTTTGTGTCTGCATAGTAGAGATCTCATCTCGACACGGTATAACTATACACCGGACTATTGACTGACAAAATGTTTTATTGAAAGTATATACATCAAGAATCGAGCTATTGATATGCAATTGGTTCTTATAAATATGCATTTAACACTGAAGCCCACACGCTATGTCAACTCCATGTCAAAAATATTATTTAAAAATGACGGATCGCTGCAAGTGGGATCAATGTACGCCGACAAAAGCCCCGGGGAGAACATATCCGGCCCCTCTGTATTTGTCGGAGGCATTGCAGGAAGATTTCCACCAACGTTGAGCAATTCAGGGCCTTCGACAGAAAAGCGTCCACTGGCAGGACCATTCTTCAAAGTGGCAGAGGAATTACTACTACCATGACTCTGAAACCACCGAGAAGGTCCAGACGAGGCAGCAAATGTCTCCGCCGCTGCTTCTCGGACATGTTGATATGCGTGTTGTGCGATAGACCAATTCCGTTTTAGAACTTTGAGACATCCGAGGACGAGAACGACGCGATTGCGATGATGCTCTGAGCATTCGGGCGAATGGATTCGACTAGTGGCTAGCTGGACTAGACCACACAGGGCGAGGCTGCAGATGATAAACGGGCTATATCTCTGAACGTTGGGGCGCATGGACAATAGATTAGACTGCTGCTTTGATGCTTCTGTAGCCTTGATATCGTGTACATGGCGGGTAAACGACGGTGGCAGGCGAGCAGGAGTGATCGGGCAGGTAACAGTCCCAGCGTCCGGTACGGCTGGTCGAATGTTACTCCGGGGAAGGTGTAGGAGCATGGCAGCGTATTGAATTATGGTATGTGCTTGGAATAACATCTCGTCAACAACGCCATATGTATCCACGATATCGACCTTATTAGGCGGGAGGTGGTTTGTCCAGCTGACAAGTGCGTTCTCGACCGCTTGTAGGTGATCTCGATGCGTTTCGCCCAGACTGTTCAGCACGAGTACTCGCGCTAGAATGTATGCAGCATCGATGCGATAGCTGAATGATGAATATCGGGAATTAGTAGTATCACCGTCATCGTCTAAGAACATGCGTCGGCTAAAGCTAGAAAACGAGGGTGCTGGGGGAACGGTATGGCTGTTTGCATATATTGATTCCTCACAAGGAAGTCCAACATCGTGGGCGATACTACCACATCGCAAGGCTATCTTCTTTTGAGAAGAAGCCATGTAGATCTCCATAATCGTGAGTTCCCACCATGTCCGTCGTAGGCTCTCTGCTTCAAGTTCCTGGCCGTCACAATACATTGTCGCGAATTCTTTGCGGTGCATTCTGAGCTCCAACGCACCATCGACCGCTCGTGAGAACGCTGTTTGGGCTTCTGTATTCTCACCGCGGGCGTATAGAATTATCGAATAGAGTAGGAGGGCCTTCACCATCGATGGTGATCTCGTGTCATTGGAGCTCAATTGGACAGCCGTGGATTCCCGCAACGATTCACTAGATATTAATAACGAATAATGACTTCCAATAAACCGGACCACTTGCTGCAGGCATTCCGGGTACCCGCGTCTTTCATATTCATTTGCTGGGACCAGGATAGGGTGTGCTGAATGGAAGTTCTCATAGTATTGACGGACGAGTCGTGTATCAGGATCCAATTCATTTTGGGCACTTGCCCCTGGTAAGAGACTTTGACCATGGTCCCCGGAAGTAATCGAAGAATTATCTTTGCCGATGTTCCCCATACTCGAAAATGGCGAGTTGATGACATTACCCCCTAACGGCACGGAGTCCCCGGGGCGCGATACTTCGGGGACTACTGAGCCAGATCCTGGCCGGCGATTATCACGGACTTTTCGATTCCGACCGCGACGCGAAGGAAGATATTTGCAATTAATACCGGTGTCCAAGCACCGGGAGCAAGAGGGCGTTTTAGCATCGCATTTGACGTGGTGTTGGCGGCACTCTATGCACGCTAGTGGCGATGGGCGGACCATTATAACCGAACCTTTTTTCTTTTCTCCGTAATTGCTTATCCTTGGTATTAGGGGTTTATGAAGAGAAAAAAACCTTTTATTCTCGATTTTGAATGTTAGAATGTATTGATTCCAAGGACACTATCCCGTTTATAAAGGTCGCCGTTCAACCCGAATCCTTCGGATTAAACGGCGATCTCGGGGACCTCAACCCTAGCAGACATGTCATGTGATGTCATATGGCAGATGGTTATTATCGGGCATCATTAAAGATAGCACCACCGACTCATGCAGTATGGTGATAGGAAAATAATGGATGTAAAGTACAGAGCTTTGGTAGATCAAATCCAAACCAGCATTGGGGACGTCTGCTTATCGTTGAAGACTTGTGGAGATGCATGTCCTTGCAGATCATGATAACCCTAACAAAATCGATTCAAGAACAACATAATGACCTATGCATTCTGAGAATTTCGCTCTGTTGTGAGAGCGGGCCATTTCTGTTTGAGCATAGGATCTTGTCCCAAATGTAGCTTCCACGGTAATGCCCATCCATTTCCTACCAGGCCAGTCAGTCCCCATCCTCACAAATAGACATAGAAAAGCCATACTAACAAGAAGCAGCCCATATGTAGCAATATAATTCTCGCACGACGGTGATGAGATATACCCAGTCATGGAGAACACGCAACCGAGAGAAGGGGTACGTCTGCTGAAAGACACCACCATCAATCTACAGTGCGAAATTGCGGGCTAGGTTCGAGTTATATCGACACCGGTATAAAAGACAAAGAATTTTTATGATATTGGTTTGTGGGGTTGAAATCCAACCGATAAGGTCAGAGTGACAAACAGACGGTATAAGAGATAGAGAGGACTATGTTTCTACGGATAGTATTCACTTTACATAGAGCGAGCGCAGCATCCAAGCAACAAGGGAGTGTTTCAATTTGATAACGGCGTATACTTGGGAATCCAAACGAAAATAGCGATAGCAATCCCCTTATTAATACTCATCACTTAAGCTTCCCACCCATCTATATCTCCCAGAGCTTACGGTCAATCGCTGCTCCAACAAGGCTTGCTTATCACCAGCGTACATGAATGTTTTTCCGCCGAGCTCTGAGAGCTGGTTGTCATCTGTGAAGCGTATCTGACAGTCGTGAACTTTGTAAGTGCTTGTCTCGTAGTATGCGAGTTTCTGGGCGTGTGCTTCATTCTGAGCCTGGTACGCATATCCAGAAACAACTTGATCTTGCTTTCCCTCGATTAAGGCGAAATAATCACCCCATTTGCCCAGCGCATATCCGGTGATCTGAGCCTTGCAAAGCACAGATTATTCTGGCAGGTCGAGAATCCATTTCAGAGTCGAAGGGGCTGTCAGGGTGCCGTAGAAGAAGTAGTAGACCGGGTAATCTGATGGAAAAGCCGGTGCCTTAGCGGGCTCTTGGTCTAAAGTTCGCTGGAATCTCATCGTCTAAAAGCACGTTTAGAGAAATCCAGGGAAAATGCTTAGAACAAATGACTTACTGAAAGTGTTATCTTCACTGGTTTCTGAGTTTTCAACAGTGGAAGCCGCGTATGTTCTCAATCACATGACATGACTCACTGTTTTGCTGTATTCACCATAAAGCGTTGCTTCTACGGACAGTTTGAAACGGTTTACACAGACGATGTTCGTTATCTTCGAATAATCAGAAAACGACAGGCGACTTTGATGGTCCAGACTTCTTCCTGTCCGCTTTGCGGTTGAATCCAATCCGGGAAGGGAGGGTGATGGGGTGTTTTTGGCGATGCCTATAACATAGTGCGTCCTCTGTACCACAATTCTTCCGGAAGATCCGTTTTATGCGATCTAATAGTCCCAGAATCACGAACTAGGTGTACGTACATAATGTATTTGTCAAGAAGGCATAAATGCTTATAATTCCGTATACTAGCAACTAATGGCTAGCCAGTCTCTTAACATTTCGTTGGAAAATAGCGACAGTTGAGATACACGTTCAAGAAATCGCTGTTGATGGCCGAAGTCTATATCTCATGGATCCTGCTCGCTTCTCGTTCACTTCTTTGGAGCCGCTGCCTTTTTTGCTACTCTTGCTTTTCTTGAGGCACTTAGTGCTCTTGGTGCTTTCTCCGTTTTTGCTGCTCTGCTTTCGTTTTGACCCCTTTGCCCCCGAGTTGGAACTAGATGGCTTGCCTGAAAGAGGGTATTTCTGTCTGTAGTGATAATGCTCCAGAGTTAGCTTGGTGTTTTCCTTCCCTTCCTCGGAATTAGCCGTCTTCTCTACAAGATTCCATTGAGGCTTCCAATGTTTTAATGGAATGCTCTGTTTATCAATGGTCTCGAGCAGATATTTTGCTATTTTAAATGAATTCTTGGTCGCGGCAGCCACTAATGGGTAGGGACAGGAATTGTTATCTCTTGAAACAGGATTCGCGCCCCGCCCTAGTAAGAAGGGAACGACCTCATGCTTACCGTTCCTGATGGCCTCGAGTAGGAAAGTCCAGCCAAATTTTCCCCGGGCGTCTATATCAACACCGCGGGCCAGTAGTATGTCAATCACATTCTTTGTAACATTTATATTTGGTGCAGACGTTGACTCATATAGTAGAGCACTTCCATGCCGACTTAGGGCTTCCTTTGACATGATACCTTGGTCTAGAAGAAGCACTAACACTGATGTGTCTGCATGGCGGACAGCCTCATATATTGCGCGTTCCGCTTTCAGGCTGTCAGGTTGAATAGCGAACTTCTGGGTCCCAGAGGCAAACCTTTGGTTCAAAGCAAATTCCACCGTGTCTTTACCTCCCTTCAATGCAGAGGCTAAGACAAATGGCCCATATTTCAGATCGGGGAATCTAAACTGGACTTTTTCATCCAACAACATGCGGACCATGGCGATATTTCCGGGTTCAAAGGCCCTTGCAAGAGGGTATTGACTCTTTTTTGTTGTAGTCTGTGGATTTGGAGTTTCTGTTATAGCCCGTGGGTTTGCACCCCTCTCAAGCAATAACTGGACAATGAGAGGGAATGGAATCACTTCTAACAAGGATCTTGATGTCACGGGCTCGGAATAGAAGATAATAACGAACTGAATTCCTATCTATACTATTGTAGCCATCAACGAGAATAATAGCTTTTGCCCCTTTCATCTGGCGGACAGCCATCCTCAAGTAACCTTCCCACGACATCTTTCCATCCACATATAGCAGCCACCGCGAGCAGCGTGGCGTGGTCTGATGTGTTTTCAGATTGGAATGTACCCTCCAGGCCTGTTACCGATGCTAGGTGCTCAGTCACCACATAATGCTTCTTGCCAGCAGCCAGGGTGAGTGAACGTAGTAGAGTGTCTGCCTTGGTATCAAATTTGACGCCATTTTCAAGTAAGAGACAAACCATACCCAAATGACCATTATTAGCAGCATGGCAGATTAGGTAACTCCTCGTTCTTTTGTCAAACAAGTTCGGATCGATTCCCTTATCAAGGAAGTATTGTGCCGCGCTCATATTCCCGCTAGCCGCGGCTATGGATATTGCAATACGGACCGATATACTACATCTGTTCATGGTTATGGGATTTTGTAGGGTGCTTGATGCTATCCAGGTCCCCTCTATACTCCACAGCTAGCCCCAGTGGTACCGGGTAACGTGCTTGCTCGGGATCGTACTTGTAGACAGGAGCTCCATATGTTACCAGCAGTTGAACAATAGATCCGTGTCCATTATTTGCTGCGGAAACCAGAGGCCCATGTATATAGTCCCAACAATATTCATTGCTGAAATCCACCCCCTCAAGAAATAGACGCACAATAGCATCGTGGCCTTCTATTGTGGCCACTTGTATTGGAGTTCTGTTAGTGCAAGTTTTTAGGAATGGCGAAGCACCTGCTTTGAGGGCCTTTTGAGCTGTTTTCTCATAACTGTGTTGCGCTGCCCATTCCAAAGCAAAGTTATTTGGACGCTTGGTGGGGTTTCGCTTATATAGTTCGTGGTTAAATAGCAGGTACAGGTGCTTGCTTGTCTGGGAGAAGAAATTTAATTCGCATTTATGCTGCAAGAAGGAGGCAATGAGCCCCAAGAGCTCATTTAGGAGACTCAATAAGTGCATAGTGCTGAAAAACATGGAGAAAAATACGAAAAGTTGAAAAGATTGAAAAAAAAATCTATACTGGAAATATTCGCTATGACATACATGGTCATATCTTTCTGTGATGTCTAGTAGACAAGTATTGGTCCCGGTGGTCAGACAAAAAACAAGAGCAAAACCATCAAAAATACTGAATGCCATGCTGATATGGTTACCGCCCTTCAATAAAAATCCCCATCCCTGAACACGCCCAGATAACAGAGCACTACCACCCACAGCTATCTTACGGTCACGATGCAGGGCGAGAATCTGTTTATTTTGTCTCTGCAATGCTCTGTTGCCCTTTGCGAGGCCCGGATTTGGTCCAGCTTGTCTGCAATATTCCCGAAAGGTTGGATATCGACTTTTGATGGGTCTTCGAAGCGAGATAGGATCTTGTAATTCCATCGATGAAGCCAATCCTGCGAGAAAGATTCTGCAATTTACTCAGAGCGGTTACAGCTTCCTTGTTATTAAATCCAGCTGCCTCTATGCCCACAGCCAGATACTGGGCGGGTCGCCGATATAAGGGGACTTTCTCGATATCAAATATCCGGAAGATCTTTGCATCGATTATCATTCGTAGAAACCTTTTGGCCGTATTAGTACCGGTGCCATCACGGGAATTCCCATTTTTCGAAAGGTGGTAGCTTGTATAGTCCCAAGGCCCTGGTATACTGACATGATAGGTCGTTTAGGAGGATTGCAGGTGTCTCGAGTTGGCAATATGGGAATCTCCTGCGACGATTTCCCCTGGAGGCTTCTCGCAATACTGGCACATATGTTGTGCGCTTTGTTTGTGGCTCCATCAGAGTCACGAAAAGCCGACATTTTATCAGCACGATCAACCCCATGCTTCTCCATCAATCTTTGGATCAAAATTTCAATTCTGGTCTCTTGTTCTGAAGTACTCCTTTCGGTATCAAATATCTCCTGGATCTCATCGCGTGGCACTGGCTTCTATCGGCGTATTCTAGCAATATTCGCGTTGGATAGTCCACGCGATTCGACGCGTGTTGCCAATCCTTGGAAGTTGTCGAGTCCTGTGTTCTCTTCAAAAGCTATTCTGAAGACCTCAATTGGGTCGACGAGGAAGTAATATGCGTGGATTGCGATAACTCGAGTCCGGTCATCAATGATGCCACTTTTCCTAGCAGCATTCAGCACTTCGGGGATAGAATCACAGTTGGCGGCACACATCATTGCTGAGTTCATGGGGCATCCCAATAGCCATTGAGCCATATAGACGTGGAACTGATGGTCCTGAATAATTGATTTTGCAAGCAAACGCTGTAGACCATGCACTATATTTCCGGGAGTAATAGTGCTCTGCAATATCTCCTCTGCAGACGATCTGTCTAGCATGGTCAGGCATCTAAATGTCGCGATGTCCTTTTCTTTTCTCGACAGCTGCTTGTAGTAACCGTTTTTCTTTGCATACTGGAAGAGTATGTTCGTATCGTAATGCTCGTATCCCTTCGTTTTCCAGATATCCTGGATTTTTTTCTGCACCCGAGCCACTGGCAGCCCCGCGAGCTCTGCGCCATGGTGGACTATAGCTTGGGAGATCATGGTTGCCCCAGTAGTCGATTTGGATACGATCAGGTTTTGCTTGAAGATGAGCGCTCATCCGACTGTCGTGTACCAACATACGCCTCTGCTCTGCTGTAAGTCAGTTTATGAAATTCTTTGATAAATGAGCCCAAGCTCAGGTATATTAATATAGAAAACCAACAGGGTAAGACTTACTGTCATGCTGTCCAAATTTGTTCGGAGCTTGCGACAAATAGAGCCTTCGTTGACTAGGCAGTAGTGTATTGTTTGCACTCATGCCTTACCGGTAAAATCTACATTTGTCAATATCGCCATATATGCAATTTGAATTTTGATACTATTGAAAAGCAGAATAAGTCGACCAGACCCTTCATTGCTGAATTCCCATCGACGTCATTCCAGAATCGCGATCAAACCGTACAAAAAAACTCATCCAGCCCGCCTGATCAAAAGCCAATTTCTCATGCGATATTATGTACTTCATGAAACCCCCATGCGAGACAACGACAATATCCGGTCGTCCAGTATCCGCCAACGCCGCAAACTCCTTCTCGAGGAGACTTTGGAACCTTCGCCCCCTTTCAATCAGCGCTTCCCGATCTGGAGCGTACAGTCCTTCTTTGGCAGGAAACAATGGGTCGAAGGGTAGCTCATCCCACAGAAGATGAGGGAATTCGGATCGCAGAATAGTTTGGTCAGAGCCGGTGTCGCACGGACGAGCTGAATGGGCTTGGATATCAGGCGATACTGAAAGCCTCGCGCCATTGGACTGTCCGCTTGCTGACGTCTCTGGGTAATATTTCTCGTCCAGCGTTTGCTGGAAACCGACAAGGGTTGTTTGAAGTGTCCGTTTGAGTGGTGAAGTGATGACGAGACCGACATTCTCATTGAAGGGGAATATCTGTGAGAGCCTTTCAGATTGCTGGACGCCTTTTGGCGTCAAAGGAGGGTCTAGGATTGAAATATCATGCTTAGGGTTATGGATGCCCTCGGCATGTCGGACAACGTGGAGACGGAAGACCATTTTCGGGCCGAAACAACTTCACTTCTGTGGTACTTCTCCGGAGGTTATTTCACAGCAGATTAATTGACAATCTAACGAATCCCGCGCCTATTTATATTGACCATATAGTACATACTAGTATAGCCAGGGCTGAGAGGTACCACTCTTATCTCCGAAGATATGCCCCCAATAAAGGTATATAAACCCGCTATCACCGAGACTAGCCCCTTTTGGAATACCATCCCGAATAACTTCATACATCGGCACTGGAGCCCTGAAAACATTCCTGTCTACTCAGCCGGACATTGTCAATGTGTGTATAGCTATACGTAAGGCTGTACGCAATTCAAGCTTTTGAGCAGAGCTATATATTGCTCTTAATGTCCGCTGGATGAATATCAACCATTCATTCCGATATCCTACCTTATACTCTCGTTCAGACGATGCATATCTCCTCTGTTTTACTTGGACTTTCAACCCTCGGGGCACCACTCACTGTTGCTAGTGCTGCCTATCAGTCCCCGTGATCAGCACCATCAATGGCGATGTCCGAGGTGCTCCGTCTCCTTTCCTTGGAGGAAACACGGCAACCGTCTACAAAGGCATCCCTTTCGCTGCTCCACCAACAGGCTCCAATTGCTGGAAATCTCCCAAGAAGCCGCATCTGTGGAATGGCGTGCTCAACGCCACCGAGCTCGGCCCTCAATGCGCGCAAACTCTCAGCAATGCCGGCATTTTCTCCACCGGCAAGAATACCACGAGCGAGGACTGCTTGTGCGTGAATATCTGGACGCCAACATACAACGATACCTCGAGTCTCACAAGCAAGAATCTCCCCTATTTTTCTGGGTCTATGGTGGCCGGTTCGCGGGCGGCTCCGGAGATGTTATCACCTATGATGGCACGGGCCTGGCATCGAAAGAAATCATCGTCGTGACGATCAACTACCGTCTTGGTTCTTTTGGCTTCCTTGCACACCCTAAGCTCTCTGCTGAGTCTAGACGCAACAGCTCTGGCAACTATGTATCTTGGACCAACAAGCGGCACTCCAATGGGTCCACGAAAATATCTGGAGCTTCGGTGGGAACCCTAACCAGGTTACTGTTGGTGGTTAGTCAGCTGACTCTACAAGCGCTTTAGATTCTATGTGGAGTCCGCTCATTAAGGGTCGTGCTCATGGCGTTATTGCGGAAAGCGGCGCTCGTGGGCCACACGATCTTCGAAAACACCCAGTTCGAGAACTTGACATCCGCATTCATGGAATCTCCCATGTGGCGTCCCAACCTCGACGGCTATGTTTTCCCGCACACCTACGGCAAAGCCCTTCGCTTGAACGCTCATTCCGATATCCCGATCCTCACTGGCAACAAGGACGAATCCGGTGTCAGTTCCGACACGAGCTAATACAACGTCTCGACATACCGCACGCTTTACCGGGAACTCTTCGGTGATTTCGCAGGCGAGTTTTTCCAGCTTTATCCTGCAAGTAACAACACCCAGGCCAGCGAGAACAGCAATGAGCTTTTCCGCGATCTCAGCAGGATCGGAACCTGGCGCTGGGCAGTCAACTGGGCGGCCGGAGGTGCAAAGAGCAACGTGTATACGTACTATTTCACTCGCGCTCCTACTGATAATCGCGAGGAAGGGGCATACCATGGATCTGGGATCTGGTACACATTCAACGACATCCCGTACTCTGATTACTCGAACGTCACCTGGTATGATTATGACTATGTTTTTGAGCGTCTGGGCCAACTTTATCCGCAAGGGCAATCCCAACGGTGATGGGCTGCCCAATTTTATCAAGACGACAAATCAAACGAAGGAGACGGTGTGGTTGGGCAACTCTTGGGGAGCTGGTCCTCTTTCTATCCAGGATAAGCGCATTGACTTTATTGAGCGCTGGTATGCTACATTGAAGAAGCGGTGAGTCTTACTCTGGCTAAACCGAACACCCTATCTGGCTTTGAAGGCTCATATAAAGTCGATATCTCATACTCATAGTGAGGGTTACGGAGGACCCCACTTTGAGTCATGTGACCAACTATCCGCGCCCCTGTTCAAAAATCGAGAATAATCCTCAAATAAAACAAACAACTCAATCTCCAGCACAATGCCGTTATTGGACTTGCCAAATGAGCTTCTGTGGCTCGTCGGCTCCTTTTTGGAGCGCGAAAGCGATCTGAATTCCCTTTCCCAGACAAACCGACACCTACACCAACTGTTTAACCGTGCTGTCTATGACCTAGACGTTAAGAATCCTTGGAGCTGCGCTTTAGAATGAGCCGTGCGAAATGGCTGTGAGGCAACTGTACGAATAGCAATTGATGCAGGCGCCTCACTAGACAGCGAGGAATACTATGAAAGTCAACCGATGATGAAAATGGCGATGAGGCTTTCGTGCGTCTGCTCCTTGAGAAGGGCGCGGATCCCAACAAAGACTCATATTGGGATTGGGGGCTCAGCCCTCTGACTGAGGCATCGAGGCTTGGACACGAATCCATTGTTCGGCTTTTGCTGGAACATGGAGCTTCCTTATACCGTCCTGATAGTGCTCCCATGACCTTTCCTACATTGCAGGTCTACAACATGCCATTGCCGAGCGCAGCAGGACAAGGGTATCTTGCGATTGTTAAACTCCTTACAGGAGCCGATCATGAAAAGCGATTTCGAGATCTTATTGGTCCAGTTGCATTGACCCAAGCTGCTTCTGGTGGACATTTGACCATTGTGCAACATCTATTCGAGGAGGGAGTTGATCCGAATTTGCACGAGTGGCAAGGTGAAGATGACCCCATTTCCTGGGCTTCTCGACAGGGTCGGCTGGAGATGGTTAGGTTTTTACTTGACAAAAAGGCTGAGATTTTGCCAAAGGAGCAAGACAATCTCCTATATCCAATGACCTTGGCCGCTAGCAGAGGCCATTATGCGGTGGCCAAACTCCTGGTATCAACATACGTTGAGACAATAACTCAATCTGGAAGTATCGAAGAACGAGGCACGCTATTAGCAGTGGCTGTCATCTGTGGATGGGAAATCACTGTGCAAAGACTACTTGAGCATGGCTGTCCCCCAGATACATTGTCTTTAGGATATAATCGAATGAACTGGAATGCCATCTTGACACCACTGGCGAGGGCTGTTGAAAACAACGACTATGAAATAATTGAGATATTGCTTCGCCACGGCGCAAACCCGAATGGACAAGGGTGCTCTGGACTGCGTGATAGTCCAATTTTCCTGGCAATAACAAACGGCTATCCGGACATCGTGCAATGCTTTCTCGACCATGGGGCGTATCTGAGCTGCCCGGAGAACCATACATGCGATTATGAAGCGAAAGTTCTGCTTGGAGCAATTCCATTCAAAACCGTCTTCCCGCTCCTGCTTGACCGAGGCGCAAATCCTGGGGCGATAACAGAAAATCATGAGTACCCCCTTGCACAGGCACTCGAGTCTGGCCATATTGCCAGGGTGCAATTGCTGCTAGACAGGGGGGTCCCGTTACAAACACCTCCCGGGTTGAAGTACGCCCCAAGCGTGCTGGCTTGTGCAGTGCTTGGAGGGCAGGCTATGGTGGAATTCGTTCTAGCCCAAGGATTTGTTCCCCTACCCGAGGAAACAGAACGCGCAATATATGTAGCTGCCCGACATGGAAACCCGGCTCTATTGGAATTGTTTCTGGACCAGGCGACAGACCAAGGCTGGTATCCAAACGCAAGAGTCCTGTTGGAAGCCGCATTAAAACACAAACTAGATGATGGAAAGGCCATGATTGGCTTAATACTCGACCGCGGTGTTGACATTGACACACGGGATCGAGATAATACGACTCTCTTATTCAAGGCCGCCGAGCTCTGCCATCTTGAATTCATTTCCTTCCTACTGGAGCGGGGCGCGAATCCTATATCAAGAAACGGCTCTGGTGGTGTTTGCCCATTGGTAGCTTCCGCAGCCAACATGACAACCTGTTCACTCCCGACAACAACATATCTGCTGGAATTTATTGAAGAGCAGGGTATTCCGTTGCAGGACTGGGAAGACCAACTGAAGGTGATAGAGGAGGCGACATATGAACCCTGGAAGGATCAAGTTACACGGCTTCTGCAGCGTTTGTACTGGAGAAATTTATATCCTCCTCCGTCAGCAAACGGGTTAAAAAGAAGACGAAACAGCAGCAGCGCCGGTGGCAGAGAAGTGAGGGGACGGCAAGATGCGTGAGATGCTCTTGGGTCACTAAATCCAGCGACTCGACCTAATATATATACAGTATGTATGTCCCTATACATACCTGTTTTTCTAGAATGACTGGCTTTCCTCTTCTGGACGCCGCCGCTTTAATAAGGGTACTCAGGGCCTGCTCAGTGAGCAGTCATGTGGCCTCCGAACTACTCACCCCTCTTTATATTGCGCGGGTAGTTCGACGGCCATGTCTGATGAATAGCCCTCAAAATTGCCCAGGTCGTCCACCCTACCATACAAGATGACACAAGTAGAAAGTTGATGGAGACTAGCTGAATCCTGAGTGGCGAACTCTAAGTGAAGCATACACTCAGGGCAACTGTAAATTAATATGAAGATGGGTTCCCAATGAAGCTATAAATGCAGGTACTTCCCTCCAAAATGATCAATTCTAGGTAGTGAAGGGTTTCTTATATGGGTTGTTGACAGCGTGGCTGTAATATGTAAGCCATCATATATGAGCTGTGACATTGCGAGGCGCTTGTCAATGAGTATACAAGACGGGGGTTTATTAATGGTTGTGCGGTCGGGGTAGCCCACCGCTGCGGCATCGTCGATTCAGGAGCCATTGGCGGTGCGTTGTGTGGGCACGTAGTCTCGGGAAGTTAATTGTGGGAAACGGGATCTAACGGTTGCGACGAGCTCACGAATCTGTATGAAATTATGGTACATTTATGATTATGAAAGGGTTTAAATTGCGCGGGTTTGATGAAAGTAATTTAGACAGAATGTGGGAAACGTCAATCTATCAATTGTATCCAGTCCGATCGCTTATTCTTGTTCCTCCTCCACTTAGTCCGTCCGACGAGCCGGACCCTGTGTCGCGAAATGAGAGGTCCAGTTGACTGCACCAGATCTCAACCACTGTCGTCCATCCCCCTGTTAGCGAGATAGCAAGAGCCGTTTACCCCTACCACAGCACTCTCAATATATTCTCAGTTTCGCATAGCAAAATGCGTAACTTACCATAACTACTTCCCTAGCGGAGATTGACGGTTTGAGCTTAGAGACTATGTCATGTGCATTTGTTTGCCTAGTATAGCACCCTAATTTGTATGCCAGCTGACTAGGCAGAAGTCTCGTCATGGTAACATCTTGCTTACCTCTATGAGATCAGTCCGTTTGGGTGAGCAAAGATATCTCTATTCTCTGTTTCTTCTTTCTCTCTCTTTTTCTTTTTCTCTCTTACCAGGAAGAAGACCCGAGTCAGCACCATGCATTTGTTCGACCTGCTAATCGAGCTTCTAGCATTCATCGTCTCCTTTCTCGAGCATGAATATGATCTGAATGCCTTCTCCCAGGCAAACAAACGCCTGTATCAGCTGTTCAATCGCGCTGTTTATACCCTTAGTGCCAATGACAAATTCTCATCGAACCCTGCGCTAGAATGGGCAGCAGATCACGGTAACGAAGCCACTTCGCGGAGGGCACTTGAAGCAGGCAGCTCACCATATCCCAAGTATAATGAGGGTGGTTACAGTCCAATGGCACTGGCTGCGATGGATGGTAATGAAGATCTCGTGCGCCTGTTCCTTGAGAAAGTGGATCCCAACGATGAATCCTACTGGGAACGGACGAAGGAACCTGTTTCTCTGGCAGCAGAAAAAGGATACAAATCGATTGTTCGGATTCTGTTGGACCTGGAGCTGCCGTCTACAAATACAACCCTAACTCAGAAACTACCAATACACCGCTGGAAATAGCGGTACGATATGGAGCAGATCTGGACACGATAAAGCTCCTGTCGAAAGCTCATGACGATGAGCAATTTAGGAACGATGTTGGCCCAGCTGCGTTATCAGTGGCCGCTGCTAACGGGTATACAAGCGCGGTGGAATACTTTCTCGATAGAGGACTCGACCCTGAAGACCACCGCATTGACGAGGCTGCTAAGAATGGCCATTTCGAGACACTCAGGCTATTTCTCAGCAATGGATTTGAATTTAATCATAGATAGCTAGCTAGCCTGCCATGTCCATTTATTTTGGCTGCTTGCAACAAACATTATGCAGTTGCCGAGCTCCTGGCATCAACAGGCTCCAAGATGATAATGCAATCCAGAAATACATCTGCACTATCCACGCTGCTTGGGGTAGCTGCTTTCTGTGGATTGGAGGATACTGTACGAAAAATACTCGACCAGGATCCGGATTGTGACCCAGATGATACCGGCCGGGGCTATAGCATACATGGCTAGAATCCCGACCTGACTCCATTGGGGAGGGCCGCTCAAAACGGCCACTATGGCATAGTTGAGCAATTACATGCCCATGGAGCAATGGCAATGCCGTCGGGTTACATTGGTAATGCACCACTTTTGTGCGCTATACCAAGCGGAAATTTGCAGGCCATGCTTGGCCATCATGCATATCTCGATTGCCCCGGTTGTCAGCCCGAGTTTGATGAGTTGGTCTTGACAGCAGCGATCCCGTTTGAGTCCACCTTCCGGTTATTGCTTAATAATGTAAATCCACGGGAGACAACAGATGTCCTCCTTACAGAGGTACTTGAGTCTGGAAACATCATCATCGTCCAACTCTTACGGGATGCAGGAATCCAGTTAAAAAGCCCTGACATCAGGTCCGGGCCTTTTATACTAGCTTCTACAGTGAAGGGAGACAAAGCCATGGTGGATTTTGTCTTTGATCATGGATTCTTCTTTGAAACCAGCGACGAGGAAGAAAGATACCAGGAAGCTGTGCGCGCAATATTCGCAGCTCTCGATAATGAAGACGCAGAAGTGTTGAAGCTTCTTATAAACAATGATATGTTGGTGACAGATGATTTCTTCTACCAAAATGCAGATGCACTGCTGGAAAAGTCAATATCGGTAAGGAACATCGAGCAAGCGACTGCCTAGCTCCTGGTGTCAAGAAACATGGAGACGCTAATGCGATCAAACGCAAAAACACGTGATAGGCTGCTATTGATAGCTGCTGCCTGTGGACGGGAAGGGATCGTGCAAAGGCTACTTGAGCATGGCTGTCCGCCAGATGGGCCGAAGCTCCTCAGATCTAGAGTTAGCAGGACACCACTGTCAAAGGAAGCTGGGAATGGGCACTATAGTGTGGTTGAGCTGTTGCTTTGCCATGGTGCAAACCCAAACCCATTCACGTATTTACTGGATCAATTACCAATGTGCAAAGCGATATCAAATGGGCATTTTCGAATAGTGCAATACTTGCTCGACCACGGAGCACATGTGAACAACAAGCAGATGAAACTCAAGGGAGGGGGGGCAATAAATGACTATGAGTTCATGATCTTATCCCTTGTGATTCCATTCGAGTCGATATTTCGGCTATTGCTTGACCGAGGCGCAAATCCAAGGTGTACAGAGCAAGTCCAGTACTTCCTTTCCTTGTCACTCAAAACTGGCAAAATCTCTTCGGTCCAAATTCTACTGGACAGAGGAGTCTCATTACAACCTCCCCCTGGAATTAGAAATGGACCAGCTATGCTGCGCTCTGCAATGGAGGGAGGTAAGGCTATGATGGAATTTGTCTTCGATCTAGGATTTACTTTGGAAGGATCGACAAACGGAGACGAAATATATGCAATATCAGATTTTGCTGTTCGGTGCAAAGATCCAGAGGTGCTGGAGTTCTTCCTAAGCAAGGATATTTGTACAAAGAAAACTTTGCATAGTTACATTTAGAAGCGACCTGCTGGGCGAGTTGGTGGCTACTCGCTCCAACCTGGAGACTGCAAAGGCCAAGATTGACATATTGCTTGCTTACGGTATTAACATCGAGGCACGGGGTAGGTGGATTTGTCCCTGTCTACTCCTTGCTATCATGAAAGGGGGTGATGATAACTAGTTATGGTTTCCTTCTTACTTAAGCGTGTGGCGAATCCTCTTTCAGAACATGAGACAGTCCGCGTTATGAGTCCATTGCCTCTTGCTGTTGAGTGGGACAGTTTTACAAAAACAAAATATTTGTTGAAAGCTATTGAAAAATGGGGTATTCCTTTGCAAGACTGGCGATATCTGGCAGAACAGGAAACGGTCAAAAAGCGCGAGCCTAAAATCAAACGGCTTCTCGAGTATTACTACTGGAGAGGAAGATATCCTCCTCCAAACTTAAAGGCAAAGGGGTTGGGAAGAAGACGAAACAGCAGCGGAGACGTTGCAGGAACCCCGAGATATAATCTTCGGGCAAGGAAATCGGCGAATTGACGCCCGGTTTTCTGAACGTGTCTGGACAACTATAAACTTATGTGACCTGTGACATGTACTCCTTTGTATTTATCCAGTGGCAACACTACGCTATTTACAAACATTAATTCCACGATTCCGGAACCCTGACCGGCATCGACAAAAACACCCTCCCATCCTCACTAAGCGGCAACCTCCCTCCCCGAATATTCACCTGCAACGCCTGATGCAGAAGCCGGGGCTCGTTCAACCCCAAGTCTCTTTCTTGTCGCCATCGCACAAAGTCCTCCTTGGGTGTACCACCCTTAACATGTTTGTTCCCTTCTCGTTGTTCCCTGACAGTCACATATGGCATTGGATCTCGACTCTGGTCGTTACCAGATGATGGAGGGTAGTCGTGTCCGGTATACAGTCTGTACCCGTCGGGTAATGAGAGAAGTTTCTGCATAGAACCGTATAAAGCATGTGCATCGCCATTGGGAAAATCGCAGCGCGCACTGCCCACGTCGGGATTGAATATTGAGTCGCCCGTGAAGACGTTACTTCCGATTATGTATCCGCTATGGTCGGGTGTATGTCCGGGTAGATGGAGAACTTTTCCTGTTATGTCTCCGATTTGGAATGTTTCGTCATCTTGGAAGAGGTGATCGAAAGCGTTATCGAGTTCTTCTTTCGGAATCCCATACCGTCGCGCAAAGGTATCTTGAACGTGTCGAATGCGATATCCGGTGCATACTGGTACCTGCGCTTGATTTTCCGCCTTGAGTTTCTGTTGGATATAGTATGCTGCGGTGAGGTGGTCTGCGTGTGCGTGTGTTTCAAGGAGGCGAGTGATTGTGTAATTGTGCGAAGTGGCGAAGTCCAACAATGCATCGGCTGATGTGGTGCTAATGCTCATCTGAGTCTGGTCATAATCCAGGACAGGGTCGATGATAGCGGCTTGGAGGGTTCGCGGACAGACTACTATGTATTGCCATGTCGACGTTTGTTGTTCGAAGATCGGGTGGATTATTGGTTCCATTATTTATCGTTATCTATCGATGAATGCGAAGATAATTGGGTTGTTTATTGTTTGAAGAATGCAGAAATGCCCGTCCGAACATTCCGGGTATTTATAAAATGCGACCGGGTCCCGGGGTTCATTGCATAGGGGATGTGATATCAGGTCGGGGACTAGTTATACTTCAGAATTGACATATGCTTATTTCTGGGACTTCAATTCGGGGCTGGGTGGTCGATCACGATCCCCGGGTACTAGTCGCCGAAAATACCATGGTACCAAGACCGTGACATCTCCTGAACCGTGGAATGTATTCACCGTCCATATTTGTTTTGGTTGCATACCACAGGGCTGCGGAGCCCTAATCGGCGATTAAGATAATGCATGCTGCATGGCTGGAAAAACAATTAAACACCCCCTGCATTTGGCCAATTGTTTTTATATAACAATGGCTCGAGACCCGATCGAAGGAATTAATTAATATCTGAAACAATGGAGTATTAGAGTAAAGATTACCCTCTTTGGAAGAATTTCGTCTCAGGAATTTTCAGGAATGTGATTCATGATCCGACGCGATTCTGCTGAAAGACCATGGATTCGAATACACATCACCGGAATAATGAAGCACCCAGCAGACAGAGAAGTAAACATGACAGTGTATGGCGCAATATTATTCGGAATTTCACTCCTGGGTTAGTCGTTCACCACGTGTGTTCTTGGCTTCAATGCGCTGATCGGTCGATAGGTGGTTTTCGGTTAATATGGGCACAGGGATCGTCTCTATTTTGCTCAACACCCTCCCCTATAATGGAGAGTGGCTCTATTGGATTTCCGTAGTAGTCTTTGCATTCAATGTGTTGATTTTCGTGATATTCCTCTTTTTATCGATCCTGAGATATGCGTTCTATCCAGAGATCTTCCCGGTGATGGTCACCCATCCGACCCAGTCACTGACCTTGGGCACATTCCCCATGGGACTGGCAACTATTATCAATATGATTTGCTTTGTCTGTGTCCCATCTTGGGGGCCATGGGCAAGTTATCTTGCCTGGGGCTTGTGGATGGCGAACGTTGTCTTTTCCGTCGCGACGTGTTTTGCACTATTGTTTATCATGTACGTTCTGGTTTCGGGTTTATAGCAGAAGTAATGCTGACATGAACAGGACGACGAGTGAAGGGGGGGTTCTGTTATCCTCCGCAAGTGCAACATGGTTGCTTCCGATTGTCTCGTGTGTTGTCACATCGGCATCTGGCTCGGTTGTAGCTGAGGTGCTCCCGGATCCACAATATGCTCTTGGGACCATAGTTGCGAGTTATGTGGTATGGGGGATTGGCGTTCCGATGGCATTGATGATGACGGTGATTTATCTTTTGCGGTTGATGCTGTATAAGCTGCCGCCCAAAGTAGCTATTGCCAGCACGTTCTTGCCAATAGGACCTCTAGGTCAGGGAGGATATGGGTGAGTGCACCCGTTGATATGATATAAGGGATCCCTAACAGATTGCAGAATCCAAAAACTCGGACAAGCAGCAAAGATGGTCTTCCCACAAACCGGGACGTTGCAGCCAGGAACAGGCGACATTCTGTATGATGTTGGATTTCTCGTTGGGCTGATATTCTGGGGCTTCGGGCTCGTATGGCTTTTCTTCGCGGTAGCAACTGTCCTGCGAGTGCGCAGGTTCTCGTTCAACCTGGGCTGGTGGTCATTTGTGTTTCCTCTTGGGGTTTATGCGACCTGTACAAACCAGCTGGGTCAGGATATGCCTTCGCGGTTTTTCAGGGTTCTAGGAACGGTATGTCAACGCACCTGCTTTTCTCATTAGTCCGCTCTGACTGGAAATAGATTCTCTCTCTAAGTGTTGTTATATCGTGGATCGTGGTGTCGTATTTCACTGCCAGAGGAGTCTACAAACAGAATTTGTTTGTAGATCCCTGTCTGACGGTTTCGCATGAGAAACAACAAAGGAAGCTAGAGCAGCAGCATCGCGACAGACATAGCTATCCTTGAGTATACAATAATGTATAATAATGTCAAGTCTATACACGTGACTTTGATACCAAGATTGATAGCTGAGTCAAGAGCGGACTCCATAGTTAACTAACTAGTTAACTAACGTAATTCACAAGCGAGTGACGCACCCAACGCGAAACGCGTCAATTAATTAGACCCTTCCACCTCAACCACCCACCATGCCACCAATTCGCTCTCAAAGCTCTAGAAATTCAATAGAGCAAGAGGGTAGGATCTCATTAGCTATACAGGCTATTAAGAACCAAGAAATCACTGCTGTCCGTCAAGCAGCGCATTCTTTTAATGTCCCTGAAGCTACTTTACGACGCCGCCTCCATGGTACACCTTTTCGCTCTGAAACCCGCGCCAATAATCAAAAATTGACAGAAATTGAAGAGGAATCACTTCAAAAATGGATACTCTCTATGGATTCTCATGGAGCAGCCCCCCGGCCCACTACTGTACAAGAAATCGCGAATCTTTTACTCATGAGGCGTGGATCTACCCCAGTTCAAACAGTCGGCAAGAATTGGGTCTCAAACTATGTAAAAAGGCACCCAGAGCTTTCAACTCGATTCTCAAAGCACTATAATTACAAGCGTGCAAAGTGTGAAGACCCAAAAATCATCCAAGAGTGGTTTAATTGTGTGCGACATACAATACTTCAATATGGCATTGACCCAGATGATATCTACAACTTTGATGAGACTGGCTTTGCAATGGGCTTGACTGCAACTGCAAGAGTTATTACAAGGTCTGAATACTATGGTCAGCAATCCCTTTTACAACCTGGAAATTATGAATGGGTCACTTCAATTGAGGCAATAAGTGCATCAGGGTGGGCCTTGCCTCCATGCATTATTTTTAAAGGCAAGGTCTTTATTGAGGGCTGGTTTGATAATGTCCCAGGTGATTGGCTCTTTGAA